TGTGGGCTCCTGGGCAGCCAGGCCTGCCTCTGGGTGTGATCTTGTGGGCTGCTGCGGCTGCCGGGCCAGGCGAGGACACACACTTTACAGGAATACTTAGAAAAACTCGTGTCAATAATGCAAGGCTCACTTTCAGATCTGTGTAATGGGGTACGATAACCCTCCCCCCAGAGATGGTGGCGATAAAGGGGCCCAGTTGTGCAGGCAGGAGGGAAATGGAGAGGGTGAGCAGCAGGGGCAGGGAGAGGGGCATCACCCCAGTGCCAGTGCAGGTGTGCCGAGTGGCCGTGCGCGTGGGGGCATCCGGGCTGCAGGGAGTCAGCTGCTGCAGGCGGGCCAGTCTTGCTGCTGTCAGGAGCTGCCTGGCTGACACCTGCTCCCTGGGCTGCAGAAGGAGGCCCCGAGGCTCTGTAAGCTTTGGCTGTGCTTGAGAGTGACAGGGAGAAAAGTTTCCCGGAGGGGGAGACAGTCTTGTCAGGACCCGCGGAAGGGCCAGGTGGCAGGGTGCAAGGACGGACTCCTGGTGGGCCTGGGGGAGGGGAGGGGGTTGGGGGAGGGAGGCACGCCTGTCCCCTCTCCCCATCTGCCACTCCATCCGTTGTCCCCACGAGCCCCTGCAGGGTGGCAACTATGAACAGGGGGCTCTAGAGTGGCACAGAGACGGCATGGAGTCCACGGGCTGCATCTGGACCACCGTAACCAGTGCCCTCATGTGCACTGTCCGTGTCCCTCCCGACAGGCCAGCTTCAGGGGAAGGGACGGGGCAGGCGGGTCGGGAACCAGGAGGCGCTGCTCCCAGCTGCTCTGTGCACCAGGGCCTCACATCACCCTCCCGGCAGCTAAACTGTGACCCTCAGCCCTTCACAGATGACGGAACAGGCCCTGTGGGGAGGGATTCTCATGTCCCCGCGGCTGGCAGGCAGAGCCAGACTCTCCCCGCTGACACACACCCGATTTCAGGATGGGTGCCCGTGCCCTAAGCTGGCGTCTGCGGCGGTGCCGAGGAGGACGCGCGGGTTCCTCGTATGCGGACACAGCCAGGGTCTGCCCGACCGGGCCGTTTCCTCAGCCTCTCCTTTCTTCCACCGCCCCCAGCACCCAGAGCTCACTGGCCCCCTGGGTGGTCACCCTCTCCCTGCTGGTCAGAAGGGGGCCTCATGCCTCCCGCAGACTCAAACCCATGGCCAGGAGGGTGTCGGGGCGCCTGAGGGCAGCGGACGTACGGTTGAGGGGACAGGAGTTTGGGAGTCAGGGACAGTGTTCACTCTGGGGGTGTGGGGGAGTCTTATTTGCTTCTAAGAGACAGAGCACCTGAGGCCAGTGATGGACTTAGGCCCAGCCCCCTAGGTCTTTGCCCTTTATTTGAGGAGGTGGGACTCAGCTTGCAATCACCCCAGACATCGGTTAGAGTAGGGGCCGCCACTGCTGGCGTTGTTGCCCCCAGGGCGCATTAGGCACAGTCTGGAGATGTTTTTGGTCGTCACACTGGGGAGCTAATATCAGCATCTGCTGGAGGCCACTGACCGCCCTATAATGCACAGCACAGCCCCCCACAATAGCCCTCCTGCCCAATGTCGGTCGCGCCGAGGTGCAGGAAGCCGGGATTAGACTCGGACGTGGTGCTGGAGGCGGGAGGCGTGTTTGCAAGGGGCCCGGGCGCCGTCGGGATCGGCGCTGAGGCCCAGGCACGCCCTTTCCCCACGGCCTTCCCCGTGTGCGGGATGGCCTCTGAAGTCCCGTCCCGTCCTCGTCCTGGCACGTCCTTGGGGCCTCTGCTTCCGGCCGGCCCACCCTGCCCGCCTTGTCTGTGCAGGGCTCACAGAGACCAGGACGGACGCAGCCATGTCAGAGCTGGTGCCCGAGCCCAGGCCTAAGCCGGCAGTGCCCATGAAGCCCGTCAGCATCAACTCCAGCCTCCTGGGCTACATCGGCATCGACACCATCATCGAGCAGATGCGCAAGAAGACCATGAAGACCGGGTTCGACTTCAACATCATGGTCGTCGGTACGGAAGGCCCGGGGCCCCCTGCGGTGCGGTGGCAGGCGGCCGGGTGCTGTGGGCGGGTGTACACGGGCAGCCTCGCTCTCAGGTGCGTGGCCTGAGGGTGTCGGCAGTGACCTTCACCTCCAGGAGCGGGGCCAGGTAGTGCTTTGAAACAGAATTTCCCGGACATGGTCACTAAGGCACTTGTCAGGTACCGGGAAGGGAGCTCCGCCGGACTCCGCAAGGTGTTGCCTCACTCGTAGCAACAGGGATCAGGGCTTCCCCCTCCCTGCTCCCCCTCCCTTCTCCGCCCATCCATCCATCACCGGATCCTGCCCACTTGACCTCGTAGCTCTCTCCAGCTCGCCGCTCCTCTCCATCTCCACCAGCACCCCCTGGGCCGGGCCGGCTCGCGCTTGGGTTGCCTCGGCCGCCAGACTCGTGCTGTTGAAGGACAAGGAGCTGGGCCAGAGCGTGAATCATCTAGAAGATTTTGCTGTCAACAAACATCAATTGAACTAAACGGTGTGCGTCGGGACATAGTTGGTTTCCTTTCTGGTCACGGCTTCTTATCTCAGGAACCAGTGGCAAGTGGCCTGGCCCAGGCCATCCTGTGTGACTCTCTCCCTGCTGGTGCCGGCTCCCCTTCATTGTCCACCAGCCACTGAATGGTTTTTGCAACCTGTAAAACTCATCAAGTCCCTTGTTCTACTTCAAACTCTTCAAAGCCCTCCTTTCTCTTCAGGAGAAAGGCAGGTGCCTTGTCTCGCCCGCACTACCTCTCTGCTCGGATGCTTCCCAAGGGGCATTCCACGCCTCGCCCCTATGGGACAGCTCTCTCGGGCTTGCCATGCCCCCTCCTACCTCTGAGCATTCGCACATGCTGTCCCAGCTTCTCATGGGTTATTTGACGTCCTTTGTCAGCTTTCAGCTTGGTTGTTGCTTCCTCCTGAGAGTCCTCCGTGATTCCCAGAGACTGAGCTAGCTCCCCTCATGTGCGCGGTCAGGCCCTGTGTGAGCTCTCCAGGGTGATTATCACAACACATCGCCACGGCCTGTGTTGGGGTCTCCCTCGCGATGAGCCGCGAGGTCCTGTTCACTGCTGCCTCCGAGCGCAGCACTTGCCACTCAAAAATACACGGTGACCAAGTGACCTTGGGAAATACCCAGACGGAGGAGGGTGAGCCCCAGGATGCGCCTCTCCCCGCAGTGCCCAGGGCAGACGTTCTCCCCCAGCCCCGGGCGCCTTCAGTGTGAGCCCGGATGCGGCCTTTTTAAGAACCCGCTCCAGCTGGCCACCGCGGCGGTTCAGTGAGACCCGTCCCTGACTTGCCACCTCCCCCCACCACCCTGTCAGCAGAGGCTAAAGGCCAGAGCAGCCACATAGCCAGTCCACTTGGGGCGGGGTGGGCCCACCTGGGCTCGTCCCTGTTCCTTTCCTGGAGCCGCGAGAATGCTCCGGAGTGCCTCAGCTTCACGGACCGCACGATGCAGCAGAAGTCCGGTTAGGATGCAGATTCTGAGCCATGGTCTGGGCCTGGGACCCTGCATTCCCCCGGGCGTCCAGATGGTGCCTGTGCTTACCCTGTGCGGCCAGCCCGTGGGATCTTGCACGCGCAGGTTTGAGTTGCGCTGCTCAGGCCAGCGGGGCTCGGCGCTTTTTCTTTTTGCCATGGAGCTTCTCCTGGGTGTGGCGCCGGTGCGGGTCACACAGGCTCTAGGGAACCAGGGCGAAGGAGGTGAAGGGGGCATCCTGCCCGCGCAGCTTCCTCCTCCAGCCCCGAGGCTCGGCGGTCACCTCCACGGGACGCTAACCGCCGCCTGCGAGGGTGACTTGGGCCAGCGGCACTGTGGGCTGGCCCGGGATTTATGAGTTGTAGGTGGGAACTGGTCCTCCAGGATCCCCTCGTCTGGGTGAGGGCGCCCCGCTGTGGGGCCAGGAGCACTGTAAGGTGTGAGGCAGGTGTTGCTCGCGTGCGAGTCTGCAGGAAGAGGTGGTAGCAGAATGTAAAGTGATCTGTTCCCACTGTGTTATTAAAGGTGGGAAACCCAGCTCCAGCAAAAAGCCCAAAACCCAAGACCGTGACCCTCTGTGAATGCTGAGCCTGCCACTCCCTTTCCTGAGGGGCCCGGCGCTCCAGGGAAGAGGGAATGTGGAGTCCAACTGCGGTCCCCCTCCGGCCCCCCCCGCCCCCCTGCGCCCCTCTGCAGGAAGCCGCTCCTGCCTGCTCACCCTACTCAGCCCTCCTGCCCCCAGCTCTCGCCTGCTGGGGCGCTGTCGGCTCGGGAGGTGGGCTGGGGTCCCTGCCTGCTCACCCTCCCGTCTCGTGGCAGGTCAGAGTGGACTGGGCAAGTCGACGTTGGTCAACACGCTCTTCAAATCCCAAGTGAGCCGCAAGGCCTCCAGCTGGGCCCGCGAGGAGAAGATTCCCAAGACCGTGGAGATCAAGGCCATCGGGCATGGTGAGGACTGGGAGGGGCTGTGCCCTTTCTCAGCGCGGCCTCGGCCAGAAGAGGAAAGAAAGGACTTTGGGGGCGTGAGACTCATGAGAAGGCCACCTCCAGACAGGGTAGAATGAAGCCTGAAACCCCAGGGAGTGGTCCTTGGACCCCAAGTCCAGGAGAGGGGAGGGGGTGGGAAGCGCTGCAGTGGGCTGAACTGGGTGGATGAGGGCGGGTGGGGCTAGAGAGGCGGGAGGGCGTTCCAGGTGCAGGGAGCAGCATGAAGGGAGGTGGGCGGTAGGGAGACCCCTGAGCGCCTCTTTTCCAGTACTGTTCCTGAAGAAGTCACCTGGGGCAGGGCGGGACGGCGGGCGGCAGGGCCCCTAGCATCAGCGGGAGAGGTGACCTCCCCGGTGCCTTTTCTGTTCACCCCCGCAGTGATAGAAGAAGGAGGGGTCAAAATGAAGCTGACTGTCATCGACACACCAGGCTTTGGAGACCAGATCAACAATGAAAATTGGTATATGTCTGCGGGGGGGGTTCCACCTAGACCTGTGGGGCAGGTGCTGAGCGAGCGAGGCGCAGGCTCAGTCCTGCTGACGCCCGCGCCCTCCGGAAGGGGCTGAGCAGGAGGCTTGCTGGAGGCTGAGATGGACTGTAGGGTGGACGGGGAGGTAGAGGCCCGGTGCCCAGGGGATTTCAGCTGATGAGCGCCTGGAGGTGGGGGTGGGTTTGTGACAGCTGGCAGCAGGGCAGGTTGGGCAGAACCAGGCCCTGGGGGCCGTTCCAGGCTGTCCGGAGGCTGTGGCAGAGGGTTTGGCCTGTGGGCCAGACCTTGTATCCCTGGATACAGAGAAGAGTGAAAAACAGGAGGCAGTGAGCGTGCGCGTGCGCAGTGTGCAGAGCGGAGCTGCAGTCAGCGTCCCGCCAGGAGGGGGCGCCCAGGTCTGGGTGGGAGGTTCCAGGCCCGGGTGCGCTCCAGTAGGGATGGGGCCGCTGGGCCTCTGCGGTGGGGTGTGCTCTGGGCAGTGCCTGGCTGCCCTCTGGTGGGTCAGGCTGTGTGCTCCATGGTGGGGCCAGGAAACAGGAGAGCAGAGTCTGAGCGCAAGGGCGGGCGGCCAGGGTCGTGCTGACTGTGGGCCCCGCTCCACACAGCAGTCCTCTCTGGCCCTTCCACAGGCCCCCTGAGCGCCTGTTACTTTGTTTTACTTATTACTTAAGAGAGAACAGAGCCTCAGAGGGGGGCAGAGGCTCCCCCAGAGTCTCCCAGCTGATAAGTGAGGGGGGGAGGCGTGGTGGGGATGCAGGTTCCTGTAGCGCAGGTCTGGGGGGGCATCCGCCCTTGCTAATGAGATGCTCCTGGGGGGCCGAGGGAGCACAGCCAGCAGGGGTCCTAGCAACCCCGGGGACCTGTGCATCAAGATGGTGTGGGGGCCCCCGGCCAGGCCGAGCTCCCAGGCCAGTCCTTCTGGGATGTCCACGGGCTCTCTGCCCTCCCCGCCCCCAGCTGGGAGCCCATCGAGAAGTACATCAACGAGCAGTACGAGAAGTTCCTGAAGGAGGAGGTGAACATCGCCAGGAAGAAGCGCATCCCCGACACGCGCGTGCACTGCTGCCTCTACTTCATCTCCCCCACGGGACACTCGTGAGTGCCAGCACCTGCAGCCGGGCTGGACCGCCCGCTCCTGGTGGGCAGCAGTACCCGGGCTCGGCCGGGGCAGTCCCACGTGGCCTGGGACCTTGAGATTCCCCAGACTTTGCCCAGAAAATCCTGACCTTCCTGCCAGGAGAGCAGAGCTGACCGGGGTGGCCCACTGGTGTCCCGGCACCGCGGGAGGAGGCATCTCCGTGAGGGGAGGGCTCCGCATTCCTCAGGGGATGCCTGCTTTGTGCCAGGCTGGGGTGGGGCAGCAGGAAGGGAGAAGTGGGGAGAGGGGCAGGGCTTCGGGCCAGGCCGGTGTTGGAGCTAGGAAGGGGCATTAGGAGGGGGCCAGTCCAGCTTGAACAGGTGTCCAGATTGAGGGTGGGCATGCTCAGGATGTGCCCTGAGGTTGAGGGTGGTGGGTGGGGCTGTGTGTGGTGTGAGGGGGTGCCAGGAGCAGGCACGGGCATGTACCCGGGAGCACTTACTGGGGACAGAGGCCCACATCACTTCTTACTGGGCCCGGCACTGGCCAGAGGTCCGTTTCTGGGAAGCTGGGCCATGTATGCAGCCCCTCCATTTTGGAGGAGCCAGGTGCTTAGCAAGTGTTGATGGAGGGGGCCAGGAACTTCCTCGCAGGTTAGCTTTATCTCCCCTAGAACCTGACCCTGGGGTCAGACCAAGATGCAGCCAGCCCGACCTCACAAGCCCCTGGACCATGAAGTAGAGCCCAATGGGGTCCCGGAGTCCGGGGGGAACTGGGCTCTCAGAAAAGGGATGGCCAGGCCCCTGCTGGGCCCTGCAGGATTATGGGGGCTGGGAGGGACCATGGAGAAGTGCTGTCCTGTGGGCAGGTAAAGACACAGGAACAGCGTGACAACAGTCCACAGCTGTCCTCAGGAGAAAATAGCCCCCAGGTCAGAAGAGCCACCAGGAGGGAGAGGGCGGAGTGGCCCGAGGGGCCAGAGGCCCCCGCAGGCTGTGAGGGCGTCTGCAGGTGCAGGCAGTGGGTGTGTGTCAGGGGACGGGGGGCATGGGGGGTAGCCTCTTGCTGGGGCAGTGGCCTCCGCCTGCGGGTGGCCTGCCATGGTGGCGGCGGCCGAGGGGGCGGCGCGGGGCTCTGACAGCCGCCTCCTCTGGGCCCAGCTTGCGCCCGCTGGACCTGGAGTTCATGAAGCACCTCAGCAAAGTGGTGAACATCATCCCTGTCATCGCCAAGGCTGACACCATGACCCTGGAGGAGAAGTCTGAGTTCAAGCAGAGGGTGAGGGGCTTCCCCCCTCATCGCTTCTCCCGTCCTCCCTCCCCCTGGTGACCACCCCCCCACTTCCCACCCGGCTCCCCCTTAGCCCTGAAAGAGGCTGCGGCTGGTCACATCCGGGACCAAAAGTCCGTCTTCGGCCCCCCACACTCGCCTACCCACACTCGCCTGCCCTCTCCCACGCCCCGGCACCTGACCACCCGCTTCTCCCCGCCTCTAGGTTCGCAAGGAGCTTGAAGCGCACGGCATTGAGTTCTACCCCCAGAGGGAATTTGATGAGGATCTGGAGGACAAGGCGGAGAACGACAAAATCCGGGTGGGTGCGTGGGACCTGCCCCCACACAGATGCCCCCGCGTCACGTACCGCCTGTCCTTGCGCCTGCTCCTCTCCACCCCCCGCCCCGCCCGCCTGACCCAGCGCAGCGGTGCCGTGGGGGAGGGTACAGACTGGGGCACCGGCCAGGACTGCAAGCCCACAGAGGCCTCCCTGCACCCAGGAAGCCATGCTCCCGCCCGTCTCCAGACGACACCGAAGTCTTTTTTTACCCAACGAAGTCCCCAAAGCCAGGTGTGGGGGGCTGGAAGGGCAGCAGGCAGGAACAGCATCCGGCTGGGGTCCTAGGTATGTGTGCTCTAGTCACACCCTGCCTCAGTTTCCCCCTCTGTAAAGTGCAGAGGTCAGATGAGGGAGTTCATAAACTCTTCCTAGGAGAAAGAACCCTTTAAAACAATTAAATCTCAAACAGAACTCCAATAAGCAAAGGGAAAACAGCTGCAGTGGCTGCTGGGTACAGGGGCACAGAGGCCACCTCCTTGGACCCCTGGGTCTCCTGGCCATCAGGATCAAGTGTGGATATTCAAGTAGGAACCTCTTACCTGAGCAGGTGAGATGAAAAAGTCGACTGAAGTGAACAAATCATTTTTTTTTTCTTTTTATAGTTGCACAGTATGAGGAACTTGAGCAGAGAGTTAACTATCTTGCCCTGATTTATCAAGTGGCAGAGACAAGTTTTATTTTTATTTTATTTTTTAAAAGATTTATTTATTTATTTATGCAAGCACTGGGCACAGTCAGAAGCGCGGGAGGGTGAGAGAATTCACCGGAGCCAGAGCGGGGAGCAGAGCAGGCAGAAGGACCGAAGTACACTGCTGAGGGGAGCAGTGGGCGGCAGGAGAGGTCTGCGCGCCATGTGGGACCCTCCTCCATGTGGGACCCTCCTCCGGTGGCCGGGGAGCAGCCGGGGATCGAACCAGTGCCGCAGAGACTGCAGGCAGCTTCGCAACCCAGCGCTCAACCGCTGCGCCACCGGGGAGGCCCTGAACAAATCATTTTTAAAATGACGCGTATAAATCTCAAATGGTTTAGAATCAATGTCCTTTGAAATTATTATTATTTTTTTTTAATAGAGGCATGTTTTATTTATTTATTTATTTGTTTGTTTGTTTGTTCTGTTCATACATGCACTGGGTACAGTCAGAAGCGCGGGAGGGTGAGAGAATTCACCAGAGCCAGAGCAGGGAGCAGAGCAGGCAGAAGGACCGAAGTACACTGCTGAGGGGAGCAGCGGGCGGCAGGAGAGGTCTGCACGCCATGTGGGACCCTCCTCAGGTGGCCGGGGAGCAGCCGGGGATCGAACCGGCGCCTCAGAGGTCGCCGGCAGCTTCGCAACCCAGCGCTCAACCACTGCGCCACCGGGGAGGCCCCTTTTGAAATTATTAAGATAAAATAACTTAAAACACATCACACTCGTTGGACGTTCTTTTCACGTGGGGGCCAGGGCTCTGCTCTGGGGGTCAGTCCACTCGTGATGCAGAAGCAACACACTCTGCCGGGTCTTTCTGAAACATCCAACTTAGCTTTCAGAGACAGCTGCCCACACCGTGCCCCCAGCCCATGCCAGTCGGCCTGGACGGTCGCAGTAACAAGCCCACATCAAACAGGCTTGGGAGCAGCGGGCTGGCTCCTGACGATGGCCCCTCCCCGACGTGGGGGGAGCCTATGGGAGTCAGACAGGTCTTGGAGCCCCAGGCGGTGAGCCGACCAGGGCCTCTGCCGGCGGGGTACGCGGGACAGAGGGGTGCTCCCGTCACTTGGGTGCCAGCGGGGTAGGTTTCAGGGGAGTTTTCTCTGCCCCAGCGAGCTCACGGATTGCTTCCTGTCGGCAGAGTTTGCAGAGCTCTGTGGGGTGTGTGACGCGCCGAGGGAAGCCGGCTGGCTGCGGCCGGGCAGCGAGGCCGGGCGCGGTCAGGGCAGGCAGAGGAGGGTGACCTGTGCGCCCTTTGTGTCCGCCCCTCCAGCAGGAGAGCATGCCCTTCGCCGTGGTGGGGAGCGACAAGGAGTACCAAGTGAACGGCAAGCGCGTGCTCGGCAGGAAAACCCCCTGGGGGGTCATCGAAGGTAAGGCCGCCCCTCTCGGCTGGTGCTGCTGCCCGTCAGGGTGACTTATTCAGCACCCCTGGGTTAAGGCAGTCCTGGGAGCTGAGATGCCACACGAGCGCTAGCCAGACCCTGCCGTAGCGAGCTCGCAGTCTAGCCGGGAAGCCGGGCAGGGCTAGCCGACTCCCAGGCAGGCGCAGAGAGCTGGTGGCACACTTGAGCCCGAGCCCCGGTCAGCATGTCCAGGGGTGGCACCTGGAGAGGCTGATGAGGGCGGAAAACCGGAGAGAAAGGGCTTCACCTGCAGCAAGCTGCTACGGCTTGTTCAGATGTCGCCATTTTCACCTTCTTGTAGATGGATGTGATCCCGGGGCAGGTGAGAATGATTCTGAGAGTTCTCAGAAAATCGCTCCCGTGGCCTCATCCAGCATATAACCCGGCGAGGAGTGGGGAGCCAGCTGTTCTCAGAACATCAGCCGGGACAGTCCCAGGCCGCGTGTCTTGTCCAAGGGTGCTTGAGGGGGGGGGGGGGGGGGAGACAGGAGTAAGACTCCCAAAGGACATGCCTTCCCTGTCCTGTGCTGTCTCATTTTCCAATGACCCTTTGTTAGAATATATATATATTTTAAAGATTTATTTATTTATACAAGCACTGGGTACAGTCAGAAGCGTGGGAGGGTGAGAGAATTCACCAGAGCCAGAGCGGGGAGCAGAACAGGCAAACTGACGAAATACACTGCTGAGGGGAGCAGCAGGCGCGACAAGAGAGGTCTGCGCGCCATGTGGGACCCTCGCCAGCGGCCGGGGATTGAACCGGTGCTGCAGAGGCTGCGGGCAGCTTCGCAGCCCCACACTCAACCGCTGCGCCACCAGGGGGAGGCCCTGTTAGAATATTTTATAAATAGCGGTTCTTACCTGGCTCCTCAACTAGGAACTGTTTATGAGACTGTCTCAGAGACTGTGAGGACAGGAGGGTTCGTGTGTTACTGCTCTTTGGCCCCCGTGACCCTGGCAAGTGCTGTGTAAACAGTAGGCACTCAGTCTTTGTTGAGGGAGGGTCCTTGGGTAGGGTGTGACCTTTTTCAGAAGGCTCGGTCGTCATTTCCTCTGTTACTGTCTTTCAGTCGGTGTATAAGCTCCTATGGTATGCAGCCATGTCTTAGGCCCCTGGCAGCTTTCTTAGATTTTTGGTGTACCGTGAGTTTCCTCATCTGCCCACAAGAAAAAGAATAGTCCTTGGTAGCTGTCACCCCAGTGTCTGGGGCAGGCTGTCACGGAGCCGCTCACTAAGTCTTTTTTTTTTTTAATATTTATTTATTTATACATGAGCTGGGGTACAGGCCAGGAGGGTGAGAGGATTCACCAGAGACAGAGTGGGGGACACAACAGGCAGGTTGACCGAAATGCACTGCTGAGGGGAGCAGCAGGCGAGACAGGAGGGGTCTGCTGCGCCATTTGGGTTTCTCCCTGGCCGGCCGGGAATCAAACCCGCACTGCAGAGGCTGCGGACAGCTTCACAGTGCTGTGCTCAACCCCCTGCGCCACCAGGGAGGCCCTCACTAAGTCTTTGTCCAGTGAACACAACCCAGTTTCCTGAGCCCCCAGACCAGCCAGCTCTGGAGGGGTGAGGGTGCCCTGTCCGGGGCTGGCCTCTGCCCGCCACCCACCTGCATGCCACCCTGGCCTGAGCAGAGCTCCCCCGCTGCCGTGATGGCACACCGGTGAGACGACCACCTGTTTTGTTTTGTTCACAGTGGAAAACCTCAGCCACTGTGAGTTTGCCCTGCTGCGAGACTTTGTCATCAGGTAAGGCCCCCACCCCCAACAGGTAGGTGGCAGGTATAATTCTTCGGGGTCAGGAGGCCATCTCTGCAGGTCCACTTCCTCAGACGCCCAGCGCGCTCTGCCCTGCTCCCAGCTCCTGGCAGGAAGCAGCAGGGGCCGAGGAAGCGTCACTGGCTCCTTTTATTCTGAGCAGCTCTCAGTCCTTGGGCTCTGGCCACTGAAGTGGCCTCAGACGCGGCCGTCCCCTCCGCCCCTAATGGCACCCCTCTGCCCTCTCCCCGTGTCCTTCAGGACCCACCTCCAGGACCTCAAGGAAGTGACACACAACATCCACTACGAGACCTACCGCGCCAAGCGGCTCAACGACAACGGGGGCCTCCCTCCGGTGAGCGTGGACACAGAGGACAGCCACGACAGTCACCCATGACGACACCTCCTCTGACCATCACACCCCTCTCCACACACGCATCCCAGCACCACCACCAACCACCTTCTTCCTTTCTACTCTGTCCCACAGGCCTGTCTGCTTTTTGTGAAGCATCTTGTCTGTGTGTGTGTGTGTGTGTGTGTGTGTGTGTGTGTGTGTATGTGAGAGAGAGAGAGAGAAAGAGAAAGTGCGTGTGTCCCTGTGTGTGTGCACGCGTGTGTGCAGGGGTGAGGTATTTTCACTTCCCTCCCTGGAAAGTCCCTTGTAAGTTTGGTTCCTCCATGGCTGTCCATTATCTGTCCTCTTTCCTTGTGTCCCAGAACAAAGCCGTGAGCCTCGCTCAAAAGGTCTGGGGGAGGTTTCATTTAAAAATGATGGGAGCAGGTGAGCCACAGGTAACGCCTTCTTACCCCTGAGCCTGCCGCCACACTGAGACACAGAGGTTCTCCGAGCTTCACCTGGGAACTGGGGGGAGCTGAGCAGTGGCCCCTCCCTGTGAGCTGGGGACAGTTGGGGGACAGGCTGGGACTTCCTGGGCGAGGCGGGGCGTGGGAAGGGAGAGGGGTAGGCCAGAGCTGGGCTCCCGCGGGAGGAATCAGTGCCCCGAGGTGGAGAGCAGCTCAGCCCTTCGGTCTGTGCCGCCCGCAGCACTGGGCCCTGTGCACACCCACTCGCCTGCCCGCTGCTCCCACTTCCCCTCCTTGACACTTGCCTCCTGGCTTCTTTCGCTTCCTTTAAGGCTTTAGCTTCCTTTCTGCATTTAGGGTGTAAGCCCAGTCTACTTCCAAAAACAACTTCAGGCCACCTTCAGAATAAAATCCCAGCTGAAAGCATGGGTCGGTCCGGACTGAGGCCCCGAGAGAAACCAGCCCCCCAGCGAGGCCTGAGCAGCAGCCCCTGTGGCCCGGCGCCGGGCTTGTGGGCGGCCAGGCGGAGGACACATGGCGGCTGGCATGGCTCCCGTGCCCGCCAGTTTTTCGGCATTAAGTTATAGAAGAACTGAGTCTAAAGGCAAAACAATACACAATATTTGTCTTTCTCCTTGGTTTGGCTTCACTGGCAAATTTTAAAACCACAGCTCCCTTCTCCCCATCAGACTCCCCCCCACCCCCCGGACGGGCCCCTCGCTTCTCCCCTGCTCACGGGCCCTTGGCTGCCTCTTCCTCTTCCGCTCTCACTCTCGTGCTGACGCCGACTGCATCTCTGTCCGTCTGTCTGCATCCCCCGCCCGCCCACTTCTGTAGACATTACATACATTTAGCCTTTCCTTGCTGTTCCCTGCAGCCCTGCACTTATTAGCGCTTCTGTGTGTCCCCTGTTGGTGTGAGAAACAAGTGGCTCTTTCTCCATTAGTGTGTGAGGTGGCTGATTCAGGGCTGGGGAAACAGTGTAGCCTCAGCCAAGGGAAAGTGCCAGAGTTTACAACAACCTCTCCTGACCTCCCCTTCCGGCCCTAGGTGTTTGGGCCTCGCAGATCCCAGCATTTGCGGTTGCTTACCACTCAGGTGCTAGGGACACACGGGCTGCAGACCAGCGTTCAGTGGACCGGGAGGAAGTGGGTGACCAGATGGCCAGGAACCCAGAACCCACGGTCTCTGTCCTTCCTGGAGACCCTGTACCAACTCAACCCACATCTGTCCTCACCCACAAAAGGATTCCAGGGTGGGCACCTGCCAGGGCAGAACAGCAGCAGGGTCAGAACCCAGAGGTCACCACATTTCAATGGGGGGGGGTGTCCCTGGTACGTACAGCAAGCAGCGCGTATGAGGACATGGGAGTGGAGGTCTAGGCCTAGCAGGGAAGATCTAGGGGCGGGGGCGGGGGCACTGGAGAGGCTGAGTAGGAGAATGATGGTTGGCGCCCCTAAACCCTCACCTGAGCCCTCCTGGAGAAGCTATTTTCTATGTCTGCTGCCAGCTGCTGGTGTCCACACCCTCAACCGTTCTCAACCCCCCTGCAGGGAGAAGGCCTCCTGGGCACTGTCCTTCCACCTGTGCCAGCCACCCCCTGCCCCTCTGCTGAATGAAGGCCATTTCAAGCGCGGCTTCTCCCTCCATTCCTCTCAGCTGCTATTGCTGCAGGGCCGGGCTCTTTTTAGTGCCGTCCTTGTCCAGCCCACCACCCCCAGCAGGCGGGAGGGGCCAGCTGCCTCTTTAGCACAGTTGCTTCCTCCATTCATCCAAACCACCCTCTCCTCCCAGTGGAATGGAGTTCTTGCCAGCACTGCCCTCCTCCATCGTCTGTCAGCCGGTCCCAGTCCATCCGTAGGGTGAAAGAACTCGCCATGAGCTTCTTCTGCTCTTGCAAACCCATACCAGCTACTCGTCACCATCCCCAAAGGAATGGCCTTGCTCCCTATCCATTCATCTGCATGAGCTGCTCTTGGCTTCCTTAAAGGGTCAAGAAAGCAACTTTTCTGCTTGTCAGATGTGTTGACGTCAGCTGTGTGAGCCCCAGTGTGGGACAAGGGTGTCTCCTTCATTGCTTAAGGCTTCTCTATAAGGATGGGTCATTACAGGTGGGAGGGAGCAAGGTCTAGGGTCACTTCTTGAAAAAAATCACTTGTGGCTGGCCCCGAGAGCGGTTTCACACCCTCCCATAACCAGGCCCCTGAGAAGAGTGGTTTTCCCATAGAGAGGTTTCTGGAGCTGACTTCCTTATCACTCAAAAAAGGAATTAAACACATGGAACTCCAGAAATGCATGAGATGTGAACTTGAGAAAGAAAAAAGTACCCTTGTCTACTTAGCAATAAGAAGGGTCTCTTCTCACCCACCCCAAGTACTGCCACCCCCGCCCCGGTAATGTGAGTAATGAGGTAGCCTGGCCACAGCCGGCCACTGCGGGTTCGGGGGAAATACCCGATGGAGGCAAAGCCGCCCTCAGATGCATGAATGTTTGCGAATGTCGCTGCCACTGCCCCCCACAGTGTCTTTATGGAACCCCCCTCTGCCTCCCTTCCCCACCACCACCTGGACACAACTTGCTCAAGGCTGGTGACTTGTGGGCCATTCATCTAACACCAAGTCCTGATGGAGCAAGAGGCCCAAGCCTAGGGGATGCAAGAACGACCCATTTCTTAAATGTGACCAGTCCCAGCCAAACTTTTGGTGACATTATGGTTCAATTTCCCAATTGAAAACAAGCCAAGAGACACTCAAACTGGTTGTGTAAATGTTGCTAGACTTTATGTGTTGTATAACTAAACATTGCTGTTTGAACAATTACTGTCTGGCCGTGTCTTATTTGCATCACTCCTTGGCCAAATCAGCCATTATTCATCATCTCACCCATGTGTGGGGGTGAGACAAGGTCCCCCTGGAGAAGGAGTAGCCACAGAAGCCAGAGCTGGAAGACACGCGGTGAGGTCAGCTCATCTTCAGTTGGCGTGAGGCTGGACACCAGCCCTTATTCCAGGGGTTTTAAACCCACAAGTGGTGGGGTCTCTCACCTGTGTTGAGGGGTGTTGGCTTTGCTGCAGTCTCTCTTGTTGAAAACATTTCTTTTCATCCAATTTCAGGTTTTCCCCCCTCTTTTCCTAGAAGGCAGAAAAACTAAGCCTACGAGCGCATCTTGTCTAGAGATCTGCCTATTTTACAGTGAACACTAAGAATAGTTAAGAATTTCAACCTGAAGCACCAGCCTGTCTCTCGCCTCTCTTGAACTTAAACCAACCTTTCTTCCCTTTGAGTCTGACACTGTCCTCTGTAGCCAGAAAACCACCTCTCACCTGTATACGTCTCTGAACTTGAGTGTGACGACCACATGTAACCACGTTTGGGGCCTCAGTGTTCTGTAAGGTAGAGATGAACACTGGGCTCAAAGGCTCTTGGAGTCACTCAAGTAAAGTGATGAGGGCGAGGACTACAGTGGCAACACCACACTGAGGTAGAGAGAGGTGAAAAAAATTGAGGACCAGGCAGTCTGGTGAACATAAGATGTACTAGAAGAACCTAATAGTCCTCTGGTCCAGTGCCTTCAGGCAGACATGGAAACTGAGGTCCAGACGGCATAATGACCTCGCCCAAGGCTGTGCACTTAGTCACCAAGGCAGGAAGGGGCTGGATTGCCACGCCTGCCTCACTGCTTCCTTCATGCAGTTTCTACAATAAACTTCACTTGTCCTAACAGTACTTCAATAAGTACCATTAAATATTCTTAAGGTACTATTTTTTTTCCCATTCCAATTTTAGCCTTTAATTATGTGGCAATGTGGTAATATATAAGGTTCTGTAAAATATTCTTTTTTTTTCTTTTTATATTCCCCATACAATTGCAACCCCCTGATTTTGACCCCAATCCCTCCTTTCCCTGCCCGCCCCCCCATAGTGTGTCTCTGGTTCATAGTTGTTGATTTTGATTTTTTTCTTTCTTATAGTTATTCTTTTTCCTGGTCCCTTATTTAAGTTTTCTAGATTCCTGCTATGAGTGAGACCATCCGGTATTGTTCTATTTCTTTCTGGCTTATTTCGCTGAACATGATCCCTTCCAGCGCCATCCATAAAACTGCATGTGTTTATCTTTTTTGAATGCTGAGTAATATTCCATGGTGTGTGTGAACCACATCTTCTTGATCCAGTCATCTATTTTTGGGCATTTGGGTTGTTTCCAAAGCTTAGCTATTGTCAACAGTGCTGCTATAAACATAGGGGTGCAGGTGCTCTTTGGAATGGATGTTTCTGTGTCCTTTGGGTAAAAACCTAGGAGTGGAATTGCTGGGTCCTATGGAAGCTCTATCTTTAGTAGGTTGAGGAATCTCCACACATCTTAAGGTACTATTTAAATGCTTTTAATTGTACTTCAAAATAGCTCTCAAATCAGGACACACCTTACAACTGATCACATGTCAGTATTTGACAACTGTTTTTTCTTAGTGGTCTATTTTGAAAGGCTGCATCTCGTAACCGACAGCACCTTCCGTTTGATGGGATAGAGCAGGCAGGAGGCCTTGCCCCCTTCGGCCCGAAGGCTCCCGGGGCTATTTGTGAAGTTTAAAGAAAATAAGCACGTGTACAGCACTGCAGCCTTCGAGGCACTTCCAGGAGAAAGTATCCCCAACACCCGACCCACCTTTGGCGGCGGCCGGGCAGGTATAACGGTGGACACAGACCCTCGACCTTCGAGCTGGCACGGACGACACGCGCGGGGTTGGGAGGCCCCCCTCACGGCCTGCCCCCCTCACCCCCTTTCCGGATGCGGCCTCACCAGAAACCGGCTCATTCCAGGATTTCTCGGATGGAAGCAAGTTCTGCCCCCTTAGGAGAGGGGAGGACTCTGGACCGGTCTCCAGGGCGGCAGCCTCCCGGCGCGGCCTGGAGGGCCAGGGGCTCCCCGCTTTCCACCTGCTCGCGGACAGGGCCGGGGTTCGGGTCCAGCCCGCGAGCAGAGGGGCAGCCCCGCGGGGCGACCACGCACAGCCCAGAGCAGGCCGGGGGCCCGGCCCCTCCTCCGCCCTCGCGGGTGGGTCTGCACCCCGCGCGGGGCTCACGAGCGCCCCCCGCCGCCCCGGCCTGCGCCACAATGTCCCCTCCCCCCCTCCCCGCCCGCTCCGAGCCCCGCCCCCGGCCGGCGCAGGCCCCGCCCCTTCCCAACCGCGGGGCGGCAGGAGGGCCGGGCCGATGGCGGTAAATCAGAACCACACGGGGAACCGCCGCGGGGTCATCATCCCTTACGGCGAGAGGTGACTGAGGGGCGCGGGGTGTCGCCGGGGGCGGGGTGGGGGCGGGGGCGGCTCGCCAGCGCTTAGCAAATCAGGATCCTTCCCGCCTTTTTCCTGCGCCTGCGCGGCTCCACCCCCCGCCAGGGGCGCATGCGCGACGGCTCTGGTGCGGCGTCGCGTCTGGAGCGTCTGCACCCGGTGAGGGGTCGGGTGGGTTGGGGGGCGGGGGAGCGCGCCCCTGCGCGTGGGGTGCTGACCGCGGACTGGCAGGCGGCGGACCCCTGGGAGCCTGTGACCTCTGTTGGGGCGGAGGCCGTCACCCGGGGTGAGGCCCTGGGCTCTGGGGCGGCGGAGGAGCTGTGTGTGGAGCATTCTGGAAAGACCCCCAAATGTTGGGAGGCCGCTCCACTCTTGGGGGCCCCTGAAGGCCCCTTTTTATCCCTCGACCAAGAAAAATGCCTGGTTTTCCTCAAGGGGAAACACCCGGGCCAAAGGAAGAGCTGCCGGGGCTGAGCTGGGGGCTCCCGGGCACGGCCGGGCCACGGGGTGCGTCTGTCGGAAGCTCCGTTGGGCAGGCCCCAGGGCTCAAGTCCGCATCCTTTCCTTCTCCCCTAGGGCATTTTCTGGGCAGATTTATGGGGTGGCCTAGACTACAGTCCTCCCTGGTCCCCAAGGACCCGGTTCAATTCTGGGACCCCAGCGGGCCGCTGATAGCTCGGTGACCCTGACCTGGGCTAGGGCGCTGCCCGTCCCCCGCTGGTGCCAGGTGGCTGGGTGACTTCTCAGGTTTTCCTTTTCTGACTTGGATTCGCCTCTTTCCCCTATCTGATGTCTGGTGGCTCTGGCCAAACCTCTAATACTGGACAGTGAAGACCGTGGGCATCCTTGCCGTTTTCCTGATTTTTAAAAAAAAAAGATTTTATTTATGCATACAAGAGCTGGGGTATAGGCCAGAGGTGGGGGAAGGTGGGTAGGTGAGAGGATTCACCAGAGAGAGTGGGGAGCAGAGTAGGTGGATCTACTGAAATACACTGCTGAGGGAAACAGCGGGTGAGACAGGAGAGGTCTGCTGTGCCATGTGGGTAGCTCCCTGGCCGGGCATCAAACTCATGCCACAGTGGCTGGTGATAGCTTGATCGTGCTGAGACTTTAACCCCTCTGCCACCAGGGAGGCTCCCTTTGTTTTTATTTTTTTTAAAGATTTATTTATGCATAAAGCACTGGGGTACAGGCCAGAGATGTGGGGGGTGAGAGGATTCACCAGAGACAGAGTGGGGAACAGAACAGGCAGACTGAGTGAAATACACTGCTGAGGGGAGCAGCAGGTGAGACAGGAGAGGTCTGCTGCGCCATGTGGGTTGCTCCGCGGCCAGTGGGGATGGAACCGACACTGCAAAGACTGCTGACAGCTTCACAGCACTGCGCTCATTCGCCTGTGCCACCAGGGAGGCTCCCCCCTTGTTTTTAAATGGATTGCCTTTTTGTTGACAACCATTTGAGTTGTCATTCTAGATATTTGAGTTATATATTCTAGATATTAAACCTTTAGCAGATATAGGATTTTCAAATATTGTTTCCAGTCTTAATTGTCCTTTCTTTAGCATACTCTGTTGGGGAGAAGGTTACAATTTATCTGCTTTTCTTTTGTTACTTATGTTTTTGGTGTTTTATTTAAGAAACAGTTGCTTAGTACAAAGTCGTTAAATTGTACACCTGTGCTTCCAGTTAAGTGGTAGTGGCCTTGGAGTGCAGCTAACATTACTGAGATCTTCTTCTTGGATATCTATGCTGAGATCTTCATGTGTGTCAATTTACATAACTTCTAAATGTCTGCTGTCTGCCCTTTCTTCCCCACAGTGTCTTGAAGCATTGTGAGGATGTGGACCTCTCCTTCCTGCAGTGGCCAGAGGAATCCCATCTCTTTAAGGGTACAAAGAGGGGGATGTTGTTTCTCACTTCCTACCGGGTAACTTCTACTTCTACTTTCATCTGATTAATTCTGCATTTGTGTTCCTTAAAAATGGAGAGAGAAATTAGATAGACTTTCAAAGTGTTTTTTTTAATTTTTAAAATTTTTTTTAAGATTTATTTTTTTTATTTATTCATACAAGCACTGGGCACAGTCAGAAGCGCGGGAGGGTGAGAGAATTCACCAGAGCCAGAGTGGGGAGCAGAACAGGCAGAAGGACCGAAGTACACTGCTGAGGGGAGCAGCGGGCAGCAGGAGAGGTCTGCGCGCCATATGGGACCCTTGCCCGGTGGCCGGGGAGCAGCCGGGGATTGAACTGGCGCTGCAGAGGCCGCGGGCAGCCTCGCAACCCAGCGTTCAACCACTGCGCCACCGGGGAGGCCCCAAAGTGTTTTTTTTTTTAATTTATGTATTTATTACAAGCACTGGGTACAGTCAGAAGTGTGGGAGGGTGAGAGGATTCGCCAGAGCCAGAGCAGGGAGCAGAACAGGCAGACTGACGAAGTACACTGCTGAGGGGAGCAGCAGGCGGCAGGAGAGGTCTGTGCGCCATGTGGGACCCTTGCCGGTGGCTGGGGATCGAACCAGCGATGCAGAGGCTGCAGGCAGCTTCGCAGCCCAGAGCTCAACTGCTGTGTCACCAGGGGAGGCCCCAAAGTGTTTTTTTTTTTTTTTAAAGATTTATGTATTTATATAAGAACCGGAGTACAGGCCAGAGGTGTGGGGGGTGAGAGGATTCACCAGACACAGTGGGGAACGGAACAGGCAGATTGACTGAAATACAGTGCTGAGGAGAGCAGTGGGCAAGTCAAATGAGGTCTGCTGTGCCATGTGGGTTGCTCCCTGGCAGGCCGGGGATCGCACTTGTGCTGCAGAGGCTGTGGATTGCCTCATAGTATGGTGCTTAACCCTTTGCACCACCAGGGAGGCCCTCAAAGCAGTCTTGCCCTTAGGGTTGCTCTTAACAAAACTCGATCCATGGGGCCTCCCTGGTGGCGCAGCAGTTGAGCGCTGGGTTGTGAAGCTGCCCGCGGCCTCTGCAGCTCTGGTTCGATTCCTGGCTGCCGGGTGAGAGTCCCACATGGCATGCAGACCTCTCCTGCCTCCCGCTGCTCCCCTCAGCAGTGTACTTCATCAGTCTGCCTGTTCTGTTCCCTGCTCTGGCTCTGGTGAAGTCTCTCACCCTCCCGTGCTTCTGACTGTACCCAGTGCTTGTATAAATAAATAAATAAAATTTAAAAAAAAATAGAAAATCTCTATCCATGGACAAGTTGCATCCCTTTCCCAAAGTTTCTTTCCTCCCTCAGGTGATCTTCATAACCTCACACGCAGCCAGTGACCCCATGCTTTCGTTCATGATGCCGTTTGATCTGTTGAGTAATTGCTCCATTGAACAACCAGTCTTTTCTCCCAACTACATTCAAGGAACCATTCATGCAGCTCCGGATGGTAAGTATTCTCCCTCAGAAGTGTTTTGCTCATCTCAAAAGCTTCTAGAAGGTTTAAGATTCAGACTTGGTTCACATTGGCATTTAAATGAAAACTGCCCTGTCTCTTTGGGCAGCACTTTTCTCAGTGTCTGTGGTGTCCATCTGTTGCCAGCTCTGCCAGCCTTTTAGTGAGTGTGTGCCATTTCTACCCCCAGGTGGCTGGGAAGGACAGGCTACTTTTAAACTATCCTTCAGAAAAGGAGGTGCCATCGAATTTGGCCAGTTGCTGATGAAAGCGGCCTCTGCTGGTGAGCAATGCTAATGATCTGGTAGGCACTTTGGGGGTTTGAGGCGTGTGGAATTGAAGTAGGACTGTTATCTAGTGGAGATTTCCTCAATTCTGGTCAGGCAGTGGCAGTGGCACATTTATTCAGCAGGTATTTCCTGAGCCGCCTACTATGTATCAGGTATCACACTGGGTGACGGTAGCGCAAAGATGATGCAGCGCCTCCCTGTAGTACCCGATAGTTTTCTGTCCAGTTAAATATGGCCTCAGATATTATTGACTTCAGGGCAGAAAGTCCCAGCTGCCTTAATTCTTCTTGCTCTGGCATGAGCTCTGTCTTCTCTGTGCTTTGCCTTCGAGTCTTTGAGACTTAGTTGCTACCTTTCATGAGGAGAGAAGAGGTTCTGCCATGCCCTGTAGCAGCCATGTCATGGAAGTATTTTGAAGCCAAGCACTCTTTTTTATGATCTTTTTGTTCATTCTAGCCTCCCTTCATGCCCCGCTTTCTCTTCGCCTTTTGTATTCCAAGTCAACCAGATTGTTTTGTGCCTTGTTCTCTTATCTCAGAGACTTCGTGCTATCTGCTCTGTCTGGAATGCTCCCTTGCCTTCCACCCTTAACTCCAGACTAGTAGAGACATACACGGTCTAGTGGAGACAGGCATATGCAAGTACATTATTGGCTCTAAGACACGGGCTGTGGTAGGGGAATGGACAGATTTCTGGGACACACAGAGCTATGTAGTTTCTAGCCTAGAAAACTGGCTGGATTGTGGTGCTATAAACCATGGTCAATGGTATGAGACAATCTAAGTTGGAGAGGAAATAAATTCAGTTTTAGACATATCAGTACTGGTAACACTGAGTGCTCACCACACACTGGGGGGTGTCCAATGCGTTTACATGTGTGGGTTATTTTATCCTCACTAAAACATTATGATGTAGGTATTATCATTTTCTTCATTTTATAACTGGGGAAACTTAAGGCAGAGATGGATATATAATTTCCCAAAGCTACACAGTTAGCAAGTGCAATGGAGCTGGTATTTGAATCCTAAACCTACTTTCTCTCTAATTTTTTTTTGAAAAAAAATATAAAAAACTGCAAGGGCCTCCCCAGTGGTACCGCCGGTTGAGTGCTGCGCTGTGAAGCTGTCCACAGCCTCTGCAGCGCAGGTTCGATTCCCGGCCAGCCAGGGAGATACCCACATGGCACAGCAGACATCTCCTGTCTCGCCCGCTGCTCCCCTCAGCAGTGTCTTCGGTTTGTCTGCCTGTTCTGCTCCCCGCTCTGTCTCTGGTGAATTCTCTCACCCTCCCACACCTCTGGCTTGTACCCCAGTTCTTGTATAGATAAATAAATCTTTAAAAAAAAAGTTTCAAGAATATTGCAGTGAACTCCCATGGACCCCTCATCTCCAGTCACCCATTGTCAACATTTCCCACAATTGTTTACCTTATTCTTCTTTTGCTTTTGTTGTTACTGAACTGTTTGGGAGTAAGTCACAAAGGTCATTTCCTTTATTCCTAAATATTTGAGTGTGTAATTCGTAGGAGCCTTCTTATCTAACCTCAGTATACTTACCAAATTCAGGAAAATTTAATTTTGAAACAATACTATTATTTCATATGTTGTTTATATTCAAATTCAAATTGTTTCCAAATTCTAGCTTTTTTTTTTTGTAATCCAGGATCTAGTCTCACATTGCATTATTTATTTATTTATTTTTAATTTATGCAATAGCTGGGGTACGGGCCAGGGGTGCAGGAGGGTGAGAGGATTCACCAGAGACAGAGTGGGGAGCAGAGCAGGCAGATGGACCGAAGACACTGCTGAGGGGAGCAGCAGGTGAGACAGGAGAAGTCTGCCGTGCCATGTAGAAATCTCTCTGGCCGGCTGGGAATCGAACCGGCGCTGCAGAGGCTGCAGACAGCTTCATAGCGCGGCCCTCAATGCGCTGCACCACCGGGGAGGCCCTAGTCTGGTATTACATTGAATTTAGTTACTCTGTTTCTTTGGTCTCCTTTAATCTGGACTCAACCTTTTTTTGTTTTTCGTGACATTTACATTTTAAAAAGAATACAGGCTTGGGCCTCCCTGGTGGCGCAGCGGTTGAGTGCTGGGCTGCGAGGCTGCCCACAGCCTCTGCAGCGCCGGTTCGATCCCTGGCCGCCGGGTGAGGGTCCCACATGGCGCGCAGACCTCTCCTGCTGCCCGCTGCTCCCCTTAGCAGTGTACTTCGGTCCTTCTGCCTGCTCTGCTTCCTGCTCTGGCTCTGGTGAATTCTCTCACCCTCCTGCACTTGTGACTGTACCCAGTGCTTGTATGAATCAATCAATCAATCAATCAATCAATCTTTAAAAAAAAAGAATACAGGCTTATTTTGTAGCACGTTCCTTCATTTGGGTTAGTCTGTTTCCTCTTGCATATGTTCAGGTTGTACATCTTTTTTTTTTTTAAGATTTATTCATTTATTTATTCATACAAGAACTGGGGTATAAGCCAGAGGTGCAGGGGGGTGAGAGGATTCACCAGAGACAGAGTGGGGAGCAGAACAGGCAGCTCCACCGAAATACACTGCTGAGGGGAGCAGCGGGTGAGGCAGGAGAGGTCCTGGGGTATTGTTGGACACGCATGTCATGGGATGTAATTCACTTGGTTATTTGGTTGACAACTGCCTTTTCTTCTCAGCCTCCAGAGGAGTCCCACTTAGAAGCCTGACTGTGCTGGTCGCACCGGGGAGCATGATGTGCACTTCGCAGGCGCCTTGTGTAGGTAATACATGCCAGGCAGCTTTTCTTCGGAGGTAGAAAATATACCAGGCACTTAAAGATCGCTTCAACTGCTAGCTTGCTCCAGTGCTGCCGCAGGAGAAGCAGCAGAGGTTTGGAGGGTTGGGGCTGGAAATGGTTGATTCCTTGCCCTCACTTCCAGATGAAAACCCTGGACCTCAGTTCATAGGCTTGCTTTTAACTATAATGTATGAACATGTGGGGAAACTGAGCAGCTCCAGTTAGTGGGAATAGCCATTTCCTGCCTCCTTGCTGCATGATGTGCATGTCTGTGGGCTTTAAATTTTGTGTACAGACAGACCTCAATAGTTACCCTAGTTTTTAAAATCTAACATTCAAAATCTAGTAGTATTGTTAAGGTTTTATAAAAATTATTTTAGTGAGTTGAAATTCACATTATAATCACTTAAAACTATGCAGCTCAGTGGTATTTAATATATGTGCATTATTTACAGCCATCAGCTGTCTCTAGTGCCTAACACCCAAACCACCAAGCCAGCACTTCTCATTGTCCCCTCCCCAGGCCCCTTAGGATCCTCTAACCTGCTCTTTGTCTCCGTGGTTTTGACACTGTCAAATACAATGTAATGAAGCTCTACCCTTAAGGTTTTTTTTTTTTTTTTTTTTTTAATTTATACACGAGCTGGGGCACAGGCCAGATGTGCAGGAGGGTGAGAGGATCCACCAGAGACAGAGTGGGGAGCAGAACAGGCAGACTGACTGAAATACACTGCTGAGGGGAGCAGTGGGTGAGACAGGAGAGGTCTGCTTGCCATGTGGGTTGCTCCAAGGCCGGCAGGAATTGAACCAGCACTGCAGAGGCTGCGGACAGCTTCATAGTGCGGTACTCAATCGCCTGCGCCATCAGGGAGGCCCTACCCTTAAGTTTTTATCTAAGTTTTGTAATTGTGGTTCTTATATTTACATCATTGATTCATTAGAAATTAATTTTGCATAGGGAATAAGGTTAAGGTCCAACTTAAATTTTGCATGTGATTATACAGTTTTCCTAACATCCTTTGCTGAAGAAACTGTTCATTTTCCACTGAGTATCTTGACATTCTTGCTGAAAATCAGTTGGTCATAGATGTTTATTTAGGTTTATAGCTGGATTCTCAGTTCTACTCCATTGCTATAGAAGTCTTTCCTCATGCCAGTGCTACATTGTTTTGAACTCTGTATCTTTGTGTATGTTTTGAAATAAGGAATTGTGATCCTTCTAGTTTGTTTCTTTTTCAACATGGATTTGGCTCTCCATGGTCCCTTGCAGTTCCATATCAATTTGTGAATAAGTTTTCCCTTTTCGACCTCCCTGGTGGTGCAAGGGATTAAGCACAGCACTATGAAGTTATCTGGAAACCTCTGCAGCACAAGTTCGATCCCCGGCCGGCCAGGGAGCTACCCACATGGCGCAGCAGACTCTTCTGACTCGCCCACTGCTCCCCTCAGCAGTGATTTTCAGTCAATCTGCCTGTTTTGCTCCCCACTCTGTCTCTGGTGAATCCTCTCACCTTCCCGAACCTCCAGCCTGTACCCCAGTTCTTATATGCATAAATAAACAAATTTAAAAAAAAGTTTTCCCTGTTCTGCAAAAAAGGCCATGGGATTTTGATAGGTATTGTATTGAATCTGTAACTCACTTTGGGAAGAACTGATACCTTAATATTAAGTCTTCTAATCCATGAACATGGGAAGTGTTTTCATTTATTTAGGTTTTTAATTTCTTTCAGTGTTTTATAGTTTCCAGTGCAGAAGTCTTTGGTCTCCTTGATTATGCTTATTTCTAGGTATTTTATTTTTTGGATGCTATTGAATATGGAATTGTTTTCTTATTTTCCTTTTGTATTATTGTTAGAACTTTTTTTTTTTTTTTTTTGTGGGACCCTCACCGGTGGCCAGGGATCGAACTGGCACTACAGAGGCTGCGGGCAGCCTCGCAACCCAGCGCTCAACCGCTGCGCCACCAGGGGAGGCCCTAGAACTTTATTTTTAATTAAATTTTTCATTTTGAGATATAGCTTCACATGCAGTTTTAAGAAATAATACCAGAAACCTCCTTGTATCTTTTATCCAGTTTCTTTCCCAAGTAACATCTTTCAAAACTGCAGTACAATAGTACAACTGCTTGCTACAATCGAAATGCAGACCATTCCATCACCACAAGTATAATCCCTTCTGTTACAGTTACGACTTATAGTTACACCTGTTTCTCTCCCATTCTCTCCTCCTTGACAGAGGCAATTAATAGTTTTCCATTTCTTATTCCATTTCTATAATTTTACCATTTCAAGAATGTTACATAAAAGGACTCATGCAGGATGTAGGCATTTGGGATGGGGTTTTTACACTCAGCCTGATTCTCTGAAAATTCAGCCAGGTTGTTGCGTGTACCAGTAACTGGCTGCATCTGGTTGCTCCTCGGACCCTAATATATGTTTTCTTTTGGTCAAATTGTAGTAAAATGTCCCTATTTTCATTTCTAATTTGAATAATTTGAGTTTTCTCTATTTTTCTTGATCAATATTAGCTAAAATTTCATCAATTTATTGATCTTTTTGAAGAACCACCTTTTGGTTTCATTTATTTTTTCTATTTTTCTATTTATTTCATTTATTTATGCTTCAATCTCTATTACTTCCTTCCCTCTGCTACCCTTGGGTCTAGTTTCTTCTTTTTTTAGTTCCTTGATTTGTCAAGTTAGGCTGTTGATTTGAGACTTGCTTTTAAATCTTAGCACTTAACAGCTGTAGATTTCCCCCTTGGTACTGCTTTTGCTGCATCTGTAAGTCTTAGTGTGTTATGTCTTTGTTTTAGTTCCTCTCTCAGTACTTTCCAGTTTCTCTTGTGATGCCTTGCTGGGTGCATTGATTGTTTAGGAGTGTGTTGTTTAATTTCCACATTTGTGAATTTTCCAGTTTCCCTTCTGTTATTTAGCTTCAACCTTTGTGACTAGAAACGATACTTTGCCTATTTATCATATGAAATCTATTAAGACTTACTTTTTGGCCTAACATTGGTCTATCCTGAATACATCTCATGTGCACTTGAGAAGAATTCATATTCTGTTGTTGAGTAGAGTGTCCTAGATGTCTGTTAGATCCCGTTGTTTATTGTGTTTTTTGTAAGTACTCTGTTTACTTATTTTCTGTTATTATTATACATTACTGTGAGTGTAGGGTATTGAAGTTTTTCCAGATAACATTTTCCAGATAACATTCCAGACCTATATTTCAGGAATTATAAGCCAAAGTTAAAATTATTTTAAATTTCAAGCTAACAATTTAAAAATTATACATTAGTCTTTTGAATTATGTAGAAAATTTTTAAAATACAATTACAAACCATTGTTACAATATTAACTTTTCTGGTTGCCAACTATTTACCTACATTGAGCTCTTTATTTCTCTGCACAGCTGTGAGTTGCTGTGTGGTGTTCTTGCACATCACCCTGCAGGGCTCCCTGAGGCATTCCCTGCCAGCTAGGTATGCTGGTAGTTGACCTCCAAGATGCCATCTCTCTGGGGTGGCTTCAGTCCTTCCTCACTGTTGAAGGAATTTGACTGGGTAGGACTTTTTGTTTGATAGTTTTTTTTTTTTTTTCCTTTGAGCACTTTGAATATGTATCAGCCCACTACCTTCTGGTCTCCACAGTTCTGGATAAGAAATCTTTTGATTACATTATTGGGATTTCTTTGTATGTGATGATTTGCTGCTTGTGGCTTTCAAAATTTCCTTTGTCTTTGACATTTGGAAGTCTGATTGTAATGCGTCTTAGCAGGGATCTCTGGGTTCATCTTACTTGGAGTTCATTAAGTTTTCAGGTATTTATATCCTGTCTTTCATTGAAGATGGGACGTTTTCAGCATTATTTCTTCAAATATTCTCTCTGCCCCTTTCTCTTTCTTTTCTTTTTAGGGATTCCACAGTGTGTATATTGGTGTGCTTAATAGTTTTCCTCTGGTCCCTTAGATCTGCTCACCTTTCTTCAATCTTTTTCCTCTCTGTTCCTCAGACTTGACAAGTTCCTTTGTCCTATCTTCAGTTTCACTGATTCTATCATCGGCCTGTTCAGATCTGAATTTGAATTCCCCTGGTGAATTTATTTCAGTTATTGTGTTGCCAATCGGGTGGGTTCTTGTGTTCCAACAATTGAGGAATAATTACCGACACACCGGACTGAAGATTAGCAAACTCAGGTTTTTTTTTTTTTTTTTTTTATAGAGGCATGTTTTATTTATTTTGTTTGTTTGTTTGTTTTGTTTATACATGCACTGGGTACAGTCAGAAGCACGGGAGGGTGAGAGAATTCACCAGAGCCAGAGCAGGGAGCAGAGCAGGCAGAAGGACCGAAGTACACTGCTGAGGGGAGCAGCGGGCGGCAGGAGAGGTCTGCGCACCATGTGGGATCCTCCTCCGGTGGCCGGGGAGCAGCCGGGGATCGAACCGGCGCCTCAGAGGTCGCCGGCAGCTTCGCAACCCAGCGCTCAACCACTGCGCCACCGGGGAGGCCCGCAAACTCAGGTTTATGGCAAGAAAGACCCCTGACAGCAGGAGGGGGTCCAAGGGAGGAGCCCCCATTGCTAGGGTGCTGTTTCCTTTTTAAAGGGCTTCAGGGACTCTCCACTGCTCTCAAAAACTCCCGGGGCCCTTTTTCTACTTTGTGGTACTTTTCCACTGCCCTACTTTGCCTCATCACCCCCTTGCCTCATCACCCCCAGAGGTGTGAAGTGACCACAAGTGCTGTTCTTTCCCTATACCTCTCCTGTGGCTGCCAGCTCCTGCCTGCCAGCCTCATGGCTGTCAGCCTTTGCCCACTAGCCCCCCACTCCTTCAGTTGGACTTTTCAACTCCACAATTTCCTTTTGTTTTTTTGGTTAGGTTTTCCATATCTTTATGGATAGTTCTCTTTTGTTCATCATACATTGTTTCCTTGACATCTCCACATTTTCCTTCATTCTTGGAGCATCTTTAAAGTTTTTAAATCTTTTAAATTTTTTTCTAGTTAGTTTAAATGTAAATATGGATTACAGCAAAATAACTTGACAGTTATCCATTCACTTTGACCCAGTTAAATCACTTTGGAAATGTAACCAAGGAAATAAATAAAATCTGTGTTTATTAATTGGAAAATTACAATACAGGAATTAAGGAGCACCTATCCATATGATAAAATATTATCTAGCTTTTGATTTATGAAGTTAATATAAAGAAAACTTTGATAATGTGAAAGTCATAAAATTTTACAGTTACTATAATCATGCTTGTGTAAAAAATATTAACAGAGGGGCCTCCCTAGTGGTGCAGGGTGTGAGTCACAATGTTATCAAGCGATCACCAGCCACTGTGACATGAGTTTGATCCCCGGCCAGGGCGCTGACTTCTCCTATCTCCCCGCTGCTCCCCTCAGCAGTGTATTTTAGTAGATCTGCCTGTTCTGCTCCCCACTCTGTCTCTGGTGAATCCTCTCACACCCCCCCTCATAACTCTGGCCTGTACCCCAGCTCTTGTATACATACATAAATCTTTAAAAAATACATTAATAGATATCCTACAAAGAAATAAAACAAAATAATGTTTGTCTTTGATGATGGGATTATAAATGACTTCCTAAAATTTGTCTTTATTTTACAAATACATATTCCTCATAGAGCATATATTAGTTTTTTCATAATCAAAACGTGCTTAATTAAGTAAAATATATGCACAACTGTAAATGTACAGATATAACTTTGGGGTTGTTTCATGTTAATTTAAGTCCTTCTACAATAGAAAATGATAGTTTTCAATTGGTGGTGGCTGAAGAATTTAGTCATAGCATCAATGTGTCTGAACTCTCTTTGTGTCTCAGTTAGCTTCAGCATTATTTTTTCATTTCCCTCCTCCGAACTTATTCCTTGTCCTCAGTTATCACTTTAAGAAATGAGTAACTGAACTTTTTTTTGTTCTCAGCGTACCCAGTTTTTGTCTATGGTGCCCCACCGGGATATGGACCCCAACATCCGGGATATGGACCCCCACCACCAGGATATGGACCCCCACCACCAGAAATTGTGCCCTCACCACCAGGATTTGTGCCCCCACCACCAGGATATGGATTCCCGCCACCAGGATTTGTGCCCCCACCACCAGAATATGGACCCCCACCTGAAGGAAGTGAAGCCCCTCCTACAGTATACGAAGCCCTGCCTGCTGGAAGTGATGCCCCACCTCTGGAAGATGAACCTTTACCTGTTGAAAGTAGAGCCAGGAGTCAAAAAGTTGTAGTCCATCCTGCTAAAGATGAGACTTCTTTTCCCTCTACCTCTTCTCAGGCCAATATTCCACCTTCTAAGAAGTGAACCTGGAAGACTCACCAGGCAGAAGTGGCTTCCTAAAATTGAAGTCAGGAGGAGGACTGAGGAACATGATTAAAGACCCATCCCAGGTATCTCTCTCACCTTTGCAGGACAATCTTATGGGGCTGTTGAAACTTACTTTCATGCTTAGATTTTGGAAGCAGAGTCAATTCTTGATGAGATGGGCTAAAGGAGCAGTGGAATTGTAGGGCTAATTCCCCAGTAATTTGGTTGACATTAGGTGTATTTTTCAACATTCCTTGAATATGAGTGTGAAAGAACTTCTGCCTCTTTCCTTCTCCCATTCAAGAAACATTCATTATGCTCAGCTTTCTAGGCATGATGTAAGATATGTGTTATAGAAATATTAAGTTAAACAGTTGTTTTTCGCAGCATTATTTATATGGATGTAACAGTCTAAATTTCTAGTAGGGAGAGAGAAATTTATAAATTATAGGACAGCCATACAGTGGAATATTATGCAGCCACTGAAAATGATGTCTATAGGAAGGGAAGGCCTTCTTTAAGAAGACCAAAAAGAAGTAAGAAAGGAAAGCAGTGATATATTTGACTATATCAAAATTTTAAACTTCTGAATGATAAAAGCTAAAAGATGGGCAATAGAGTAGGTGAAAGTCATCTCCAACATGTATAGTAAACAGTACAGCAAGTCCTTGTTTCAGTAACAGCTGGTTTCATCATCATTTCATTATAACATTGAGGGAAAAAATTGGTTCCTGACCGGGGCCACTCTGTGTCTGCCTGGGCTTCCTCCCCCGTCCGCAGATGTGCGTGTCAGGCTCACTAGCATGTCTGCGTTGTCCCGGTCTGAGTGAGAGAGAGTGACTATGCCTGCAATGGAAGGGTGGCCTGTCTGGGACTGGATCCCACCTTGTGCCCTGAGCTGCCCCAGATCAGACTCTGGCCTCCCTTATCCCTGAACTGAAGTGAGTGGACTGGAAAAATGACTGAATGAATACAAATGACTGCTTAATATTAGAAGTGTTTTAGGTCTTCATTTAGAAGTTTGGTGATGTTTCTGTGATCAGAAATAAGCCATAGGACCTTAACTTTTGTTTCTGTCAATTAGCCCAGGATAAAATTGGTCTCGTTATCAGTTGTTTCACGTAAAGTAGCAGTTTTCAAGAGCCTGTCAATGCGAAGTGAGGACTGCATTCACAGTGCTGTACGATCAGTCCCGACCTGTGACCGCGCCAGCCATGCGATCTAGCCGCGCAGAATGGAACGTGGTCTGTGGCTGTGTCCTCCCCGCTGCCTTCCATTCATCTTTCAAGGCAGCCAGGAGATATTTCTGAGAAGCTTCCTGAACTCCACCATTGGGGTAATTTCTCTTCTGCTGGACTTACAAATTCCCTCTGCATGTTTCTGGTGAGTTGATGTCAATCCTTTGGGGGTGGCTCATATGCTCATCAACCCCATCACCTGTGAGCCGCTTGAGAGCAGAGGATGTATTCCAGTGCAGGGGTCCTGTGGTCCGCACAGCACACAGTGGGTGTCTTGTAAACATTTGCTGTGTGTTCCTTGACTGCTTATACACACACTGGGTGCTGGCCACCTGCTGAAGGGAGTGATTTGCAGAGTCAGCTTTGTTTGGTAGACTGTGAGGAAGGATTAGAAATTAAAATTTCAGATTTAAAAGAAAGCTCTCGTCCTCCTGGCTGGTGGAGTTGAACAGTCTTGAAGGCATGGATGTCTCACGTCTCCTACCTCTAGTCTTGGTTTGTGTGGTTTCTACTGCCAGACCGCAGATGCGCCCATGGACTTACCTGGTGTTTCCAGGCTTTTGAAAGTGGACCCGTGATCAAGTACTGTCATGCGCACGCTTTCGTGGGTGCTCAAAGGCTTCATAAGCTGACCTTACTGCATCCTCACAGCAATCCAGTCAGGTGGGCACTGCTAACATTTTCATTTTATTGCTAAGCCTACCAGAGTTTAGAGACCTTAGGAAATGGAGGAATACAGGTCTGTTGAGTGGTAGAGGCAGGACATGGATTCAGGCTGACTCTAGAGCCTGGTGCTCTCACCTCTGAATGGGGACCCTGCTCCTGGCAACCTCTGTCATTCCACAGGTGCCCGCAGGAGTTTGCTGTGCCTGTGGTGGCCTGATCTTCTGCACGTATCTGACATCCTGGTGAGTTCTGCGCCCCTTTCCCTGCAGTGTGCCTGCCTCTGGTGGTGAGTGTGTTTGGAAACTAGACTGTCAGTGCAGTCAACGGAGGGTTTCTCATGAGGCCAGAGACTGAAAGCAGATCTTCTGCTGTCACGTAACGGGTATGAGGCCCACTGCCCTCAAGTTTGCTGGCACAGGAAAGGGAGAAGCCTGAGCTCTTTGAGCATGACCTCCTCACAGCATAGACGTGAAGGCTCTGCTCAACTAGCTGCTTTAGCGATGCCGCCTGAATACAGGCACGTACAGCGTGGGAGGCAAAGCACTTGAGAGGGGCAGTGACTGTCGGGGGCTGGCCAGCTGCTCGCTGTATGCTCATCCCATGTGCCTTCAGAGCCCGGCAATGTGGGTGCTTGGACCCATGTCACGAGAGGGAAGCAAACAGCTAAAGCACTCAGCCGGCCAGTGAGTGGCGGGAGGTTCAGAACGTGGGTCTCCACTCTCATTGACACTCTTGTTGAGAGTCTCGCCTGCCTCTCCTGTGCATTTGGTAGACCAGTGATCAAAACATGAAAATTCCTTCTCTCAGATGACTTACCAGACACAGTCAGAAAGTCAGTGCATATTATAAGGCCCCTACTAGGCACATAGTCAAACTACAGAAAAAAGTAAAGAGAGAAGTTGGCAGGAACTTGAGAAGCTAGAGAGTAGGTAAGGGAGACAGGAATGCTGGGGGGCTGGCAGAACAGACCGCAGGAGACGCCTGTTGAGAAGGTAATATTTGAGTAAATTCTTGAGGAATAAGGGAGGTAGGTGAAGGACTGGTCCTGCACATACGTGGGGAAGAGTGTCCTGGGCAGAGGGGACAGCTGGTGTAAAGGGGGGCAGCTTAATTCCAAGGTGCCTTCCCTTACACCCAGTGCCTGGAACCACAGAGGAGTGTGAGAAGACTCCTGTTCTCAAGACTGGGAGATGCTTGAAAACCAGCACCAAGCCAGCCAGAGAGGTCGGAACTAGTCCTTATAGAACAGTTTGGGAGGGAGACTGGTGTCTGGGATCTTGTCAGAAGACAGGCCTCCTTGCCACCTGTGTCCTGAGGAGCAAAGAGAAGATGCTGTGACCAGAGAGGCTGGTCTCACCCTGGTTCTGCACCCCCATTAAAGCCTGCTCGCTGCTGCACACCTGTGCTGTTTCTCAGGGCGTCTGGGATGGGCACTGCATGGTGCACTCCCTTGGGATGACCCCGTGGGACAGCGTGGACGCGCCTGGGCTCGGCTTTCTGGCGGGGCTCTGCTCCACTCATGCATTGCCTCGTTCCGGGAGAGATGGGCCTTCTCAGTGCTGAAGTCGCTGCACCCCGAGGGAGCACTCGCCTGAGTCAGGGAAGCCTGTCCTCCAGCTCTCAGGGAGAGGGCCAGAGTAAGTTGCGAGCCTATGGGCTGACCGTGTGCCCATGGTGCTGCCCTCTTGTGCTCTGGGCTTCTCTGAGGATACTCTGTGTGATAAGACGTCGTCCTTGTTCTTGCCCTTTAGACGTGAGTTCCTTTAGTCTTTGAATGTATTTAAAATAGCCGACTTGACACCTGGTGTGGGCTTAAGTTAAACAATACAAAGCTTGCTCTTCTCTGCCTGAGTGCTGTCTCCGGGCTGCTGCACACCGTCGGTTTTTCCAGAGCCTTGTGACAGTTCATTCTGAAAACACGTGGCAGGTTGTTCATTGCTTTTATAGAGGCGCAAGTGTTCGGTGGTTCTTACTGGACCATGTGTGTTGATCCCTTGCTTGGATCTGGTTTCATACAAGCCATAGAAAGACATTTTTGAGATAGTTGGCAAAAATGAACAGATTGGCAATTAGGTTACTTTAAAATTGATTTTGCTGGATAGGAAAATTTTATTAAGGTCATATGCATTTTTTTTAAAGATTTATTTATTTATGCATACAAGAGCTGGGGCACAGGCCAGAGATGCGTGGGGGGTGAGAGGATTCACCAGAGACAGAGCAGGGAGCAGAACAGGCAGACTGACAGAAACACTGCTGAGGGGAGCAGCGGGCGAGTCAGAAGAGGTCTGCTGCGCCATGTGGGCTGCCCCCCGGCCGGCCAGGGATCGAACGGGTGCTGCAGTGGCTGTGGACAGCTTCATAGGTTGTCTTAACCCCTTGTGCCACCAGGGAGGCCCAAGGTCATATGTATTTTTAAAGGTCCTATCTAATAGAGATACACTGTGGTGTTTCGAGTTTGCTGAGATTTGCCTTCAAGCGCGCCAGCTCACGTGTGATCAAGTGCATGTGGGAGGAGGGACGGGAAACGACGGCGCGCACGGTTCCTGGAGCTGTGGGGTGCGTACACAGGGGCTCCCTGGATTGCTTTATTTTTGTTTGAAAATCTCTCTAGCTATCTGTAAATACCTATGAAGTGTCTTTCAGAAGGAGGAGGGGTACCCTTGAGTTCAAGCCAGGTAGCCTTGACCTGGGAAAAATAATAGAGTCCCTAACTTGCTCGGGAGAAGGGAGCAGAACAGCATCCTGGGAGGCTGGCAGGGTGTGCGTGGAGAACAGAGGCCGGGAGAGAACAAGCCAGACAGACGGAAGAACAAGTCACACGGCTAGTAAAGGCACATGGTGTTTCTGGGTCTGGAAGACAGGAGCAGACGGGTCGAGACCGGGCTGATGGCTGTTCCCAGCGCCCAAGCCTGGGTGTGGGCTTGACCAGTGTCCCCAGGCCACAGGGCGGTGGGAAGGCCTTTCCTGGGCTGGCAAGAGGAAGGTTCCCCGAGTGTTCCACTCGGCTCGAGCAACACTGTCAGCAAGAGCTAAAGCTGGCGCTGTGCTCAGGGTGACAGGTGTCCTCGAGGGAGGCTTCTGCTCTCCTGAGGGACCCACAGCCTCAGGACTTCCACTGGGAGAGGCCAAAGCTCCGAGACTAAAATTCCTCACACTGTGTTTTAAATACAGGGGCCCCCTGCCCAGAGGGAGGGCGCGCCTGCGGGGCGGGAAGTGCCGCTGGGCTGCCTCGTCTGCCTGCTGCCAGCTTCTGCCGGAGGCCAGGTGCCTGTGGCCTCCGCTGAAAAAGGGGCTTGGGCAGCAGGGCCCGAGGTGGGCAGTCCAGAATGGCCAGGCTTGTGATTTGAGATCCTGTCCACAGGAGGAGCAGCAGGAAATGTATTTTACGACACGAAGACCCCCTGGACATGCCGTGAACACTGCTGGGGGCTCGAAGCCCCACTGCAATCAGGTTAGAGCGGAGAAATCAGGGAGAGGCCGGGGCACTGCTGGGCAGAGGACAAGCTTCAGGGGCCTTGAGGGAGAAAGCGGAGCTGATCCCTCACGCGCACCAGCCCAGAGCACAACTGGACAGAGCCCTGTCAGGAACTGTGCGAGCTAAAAGGCAGCAGACAATGATGTGAAGTTCCTGCACAGACCAGATGCTTCCCCTGAGCAGTGTTAGGGCCTGGTGGTGGGGATGTGGCCAGCAGACCCTGTAACACCTGTGTCGGGAGAAGAAGGGGCACAGACACGGGGCCCGGGACAAAAGCACCCCTGAGTTGGGAAGGGCAGGGACTGCGGCTGGGGGCATCTGGCATGTCTAGCAGGTCACTTGCAGAGCGCGGGGCCAGGAGATCGCACGCGTCTTCCACGTGAGGCGCTCTTTGAAACAGGCACCCGTGTACTGCCGCGGGAGTCCCCAGCCGAGGCTGCCTGCGGCCCCAGGTCCATGTTACAACTACTTGGCTAAGAACGATTTTATTGGTGACCCCCTGCGGGAGCCAGGGCCCCCCCCCGCGGTGTCAGCCCGCCAGGCCTTCTCAGGCAGGAAAGCCAGCCACGGGCCGTGGACGTTCTGGTGGAGGTGAGGCCCCACCCTGATTAGAAGAAAATTTCCAATACCCGGTGTCAGAGGCAAGAATCCCAACGGGCATCTTGTTGTGGGCTGTGAGGACCAGGCGGTTGGCCAAGTTGCTCAGCACTTCTGTGGCAGAGGCCAGGAAGGCCCTAGGAAATCACCCAGGTTGCCACGGCGGTTCACAGTGAGGCAGAGCGTGGGGCCTGGCCCTGAGGTTGCACTTGGGGTCTGGTGGGATCAGGTCACCGAGCAGGCCTGGGTAGCAGAGAGCCCTGACTGCTGGCCCCCACATGCAGAGGCTCCATGATGCGGGCTCCGGGGGGCCACCACAGCCTCTCACGTGTCCCAGCTTCTCAGTCCTGGGACTGTGCCCGCTTCCTGACTGGGTACAGGTACCACATCACCACACCTGAAGGGTTGACGGTCACCGTGAAGTTGGTTTTATCCTGGAGGCCACTGATGATGTTGCCGGTGTAGACGTTCTGGGCCTACAAGGGGAGGGACGGCAGCAGTGCCCCTGGAAGAACGGCTGGCGGAGACCCGTCGGGGGACATACAAGCCTGGACTTGGCCTGTCTGTGTTGAGCCTCCACTGTGCCCTCCCAGAGTGGGTACCCTGAATCTCCCCATTAATTCTCCACCACCAAAACCAACAGGTGACAAACACAGGCAGGGGGAAAGCCCAGCCCTTGAGAGCCTGAGGCCCGAGCCCCAGCTTCAGTGCCTGCAGCTGCCCCTCGGCACCGCCAGAGGACCATGGCCCAGAGCCCACGGGAGTGAGGCCTGCCTCTGCAGCGGCCTCCCCAGGCGTCTTGCAAACCTGAAGCGCCGCAGGCAGCAGAGCACTCACCTCATACACCTTGGCGCTGGAGAGGCCCAGCTGGGCGAGGGAGGTGCCGTAGCGGAAAGGCATGTCCGTCCGGCGGCTGAAGAAGACCAGAGCGTAGGCCTCGTTGGCCAGGGGCCGCAGGAACACCTCGATGTGGGACTTGTCCTGGCACAGAAGAGGGCTGCTCAGGCAGGCCCCCAAATCCCCTCCCCAGTGCTCCGTTGAGTTCTGCATCACATGGAAGCTTGGGGGGATACCATAGCTCTTCAGCACCCCAGCTTATCTAACGCTACCTCCTTCCTCCCTTCCCTGACTCAGCAGACGCTCCCCAACACACACGACACGGGCAGGGCAGCCGTGGACGGCGGCTGCGCAGAGCGCAGGCTCGCGGACGCACTGCCCGGCCAGGCCCTGGTGTGCCTTGAGGGTGCAGCCGAGCTCCAGCTCCCTAGGCTCTGCAAGTCCCTGGTTGCTCATGGGTGAGACGGAAGGAGAAAGAGTATCCAGAATGTCCAGCACACGCAGCTGCTCGACAAGCGGTGAAGGCCGCTGGCGTCAGGTGTGCTCCCAGCACCTGGGGGACACTCAGCTCCGCCGCTGCAGATGCGCCAGACCCCTGCTTCGCTGTTCCCAAGCACGCGTGCTGACGGCTCCGGCTCCCGGGATCCCTGAGTGGCCCTGCTCGCCCCTGGGCAAACGGGGCACAGCGGGAGCAGCTCCCAGCTAAGCCTTCCACTGAAAGCAACCATCAGGGGGCGCCGAGCGGACATCAGGGCCCATCCTCGCCTCCCCTGCCGGAGGCGTGCAGCCTGCTCAGGGGGACCCTGTCTCAGCCTCGTCACTCCCTCCACAGGCAGTACCTTGAGAATCCTGCGTCCCTGGATGCCGAGGGGATCCTGGTTGATTTTGATCATGAGTGGATTCTGCAGAATGCCCATGTTCTGGGGCGAGATGGTGCGCAGGTCCGTGGACATGAAGAGGGGGGCCGCCAGCACCGTCCACAGGGCCATCTGGGACTGGGCTTGCTCGAAGCTGAGGCCAAAGTTCCCAATGAGCAGCTGGGGGCAGGGGAAAGCGAGCGTGTGAGTCAGCTCTGCGGCGAGCCTGAGGCCGGAGAAGAGAAGGGCGCCCACACCATTGTCCCGAGGCGTGGCCTTGGGGCGGGTCAGCCACTTTCTAGCTGAGCCCAGTTTTTTATTTCAACAAGAACGTGGGGGTGACTGTGTGCTCCGGCCATGTTGCTCAGATGACCCAGGGGGTCCCGTCGCCAAAACCTCTCTACACTGGAGGATGCAAGTGAGGAAACGCGGCCGGGCGTGGGACGGGAAGCCAGCCCGACCGGGCCCTGCTCCCACCGAGCCTCCGCCTGGCGCGCCTGGACAGCAGGGGCCCCGGGCCCCAGGAGCGTGGGTCCAGTTACCGCTGAGGCAACACTTTAAACCCAGTGGAGGTCCAGGCTGTGCCAAGCGTTTTAAAGGACCCAGGGTGAGTGGCAGAGCTGGGCTGGGGCCCTCGGGCAGCCGGGCTTCTCTTTCTCCAGGCACCTCTCGGCCTGGCCTGGTAATTACTGTAATTGTCACTGGCAGTAAATGCTTGCTGGCTAAGCGAAGAAACAGCTAGAGCGCTGTAAGGCAAACTGCAAAAGCGCATCACCAGGCTATGAGTGAGGCAAGAGGGGCCGGCTTGTCCTGCAGAGGCTCCGCGGGAGGCTAACGGGGTGCGGGGCACCGGACTAGCCGGCGAGGACAGCGAGGGACAGATGCGAGAGCGGGTGACGTGATCTCTGCCCTGCAGAGGAAGGTCCTGCACAAACGCTCAAGTTTCCAGCAACAGCAGGGGCGATTGTTAACAATGAGCATTCCTAGCCGATGTGCCCCCCAGCATTCTGATCCCAGAGGTGGGGCCGGGGCCCGGGGAACAGAATTGGAAACCAGCTCCCAAGGTGAATCTAATGCAGCTGGCTCAAGGGCACACTGCAGAGAGGCTGTTCTGGAAGCAGGCAGCGAGCAGCCCGGGACACAGCCCGGGGCCCACGCTGGTACCATGTCTGGATCGTTCCAGTGTCCGGGGCCTGCCGCCGGCTGCAGTACGTCCTGGTATTTCACGAACCAGTCCAGGATGGAGAGCACGCTCTCCCAGGAGTCCTGGATGTCGGCATAGTTGCGCCAGAGGTTGCAGATGTTTGCCAGCAGGCTGTAGTTCACCTGGGGGTGGGGCAAGGCAGAGTGCAGCGCCAGTCACACCACACCCAGCTGCCTGGAGGCCAGGGCTGGGGAGGCTCAGCAGGGGACACGGGGTGAGGATGGGGGTCAGAGAACAGGCCCCAAGCTCCTACAGGACGAGAAAGGCCTCAGGGGGGCTGGGGTGGGGTGGCCTCCCCTCTACGTGTGCTGGCACCAGAAGCTACTCTGCCCTCACGCTGGCTGGGCCAGGCCATGGACGGTGCGTGGCCTGGGACAGCTGCAGCCCTCGTGCCGCACACAGCCCTGGCCTTCTCAGGGAGCGCCCCGGCTCTGCCTGCACTCTGGTCTGCAAGCTTGACCCCACCCCTTCTAGTGCCCTGGTACTGGGGGGCCCTGGCGAGGCGCTCACAGGCTTTAGCGGCTGGGCCCCACCTGTCCTCAGCCCATGGCTCTCCCGGCCACTTACTCCCAGATGCTGACACCCTGCTTTGTGCTGGGTTGACACATGACAAGTGGCTCCCGCGCCTTGAAGGCCCGGCCCTTCACCTGACAAAGGCCTCCTTTCTCTAAGAGCCCCATCTGGCCGAGGCCCCCGCCCTGTACAGATGACCCTACAAAGCCACCCTTGGGCAACTAGTGAGAGTTGTCCTGACCACCTGGGAGGCGAGGGTGCCCGGGTGCGGGGGCCTTGAGGCAGGCACACAGCATAGCTTACCTTGGGGGGAAGACCCCCTTCATAGGCTGGCCAGCTGCAGGAGAAGGCAATGGGGCGGCCTGTGGCGTTCAGGGCAGCAGCCATCTTGGGATACCCTAGAGAAGTGTAACCCCCACATTTCAGGACCGAGGAGCCACAGGAAATGTGAGACCTCAGTTCAAGCCTTTTCCCACCAAAACGTGAGGAAGTGGAGGTGCAAAAGAGGGGTGCCCCGCAATCATTTCCTGGCCGGGGACGTGGTGCCAACCTATCTTTGGGAGGCCAGGGAGCCAAGACCGCCCCGCCCCCAGCCCCTGGGTGAGGAGGGGAACTGCGGCTCTGGCGGGCCTTCCGGGGCCCCCTCCCGTCTCCCTGATGGCCGGCCGGCCGTGGGACCCACCCAGGGCCTGCTCCTCTTGGGTCGAGTAGCAGCCGTCCAGTTTGAGCATGTCCACCTTCCACTCGGCGAAGGTTTCAGCATCCTGGCCCACCTTGTCCAGCGTGGTGCCCGCGTAACCCATGCAGGTGAAGTTGCCTAAGTCCCCGTAGATGCCCAGCTTCAGGCCCAGGGAGTGAGCCTGGACGGGCGAGACACAGCGGGCTCAGGAGGACTCTGCCGCCGCAGGCACGTCTGCCTGGGTCAGGAGCCTTCTGTGGCTCCCCCCACCCATAGGAGAGGGCCCAGCCTGCTGGCCTGGCTCCACACCGCTATGGTCTGCCCCTCCAACACATACACCTCCCGGGCTGCTCTGCTTTCCAGACCTTTTGCTTCTGCCATCCCCTCCACCCGGAGTGCCAGCTCTCTGCTACTGGAGAAACTTTTGAAACCCCAAACTGGATAAGATGCCCGTCCAGGTTCTCAACCCCACAGTGGGCCAAAGCAGCAGCTCAGTTATGTTCCGCAGCCAGGGTCACGGACACGAGCCCAGGTGAAAGGCGGGCCGGGCCACTTACATAGTCAGCCAGGAAGGAGATGCCATGGGGGAAGCGCTTGCTGTCAGGCACCAGGCGGCCCTGGGCGTCACGCCCGCTGCTCCAGCAGTCGTCGATGTTGAGGTAGATGTAGCCCAGGTCCCGCCATCCATCCTGGGCCAGCCGGTCAGCCATCTCCATGAAGAGCTTCTCACTGGGGAGGGGCGGGGGAGGGGGCAGTTCAATGCGCAGAGTGGCCTTCACCTGCCCCCCCAATGCTCTTCAGCCTTCTCAGGTGTTCTGCGTGTGAATCTAGGTTAGACGATCCGGGGCCAGCTAAGACTCATCAGACAGGTAAGTGACGGGAGGGAATGTGGCCTGGGGCGGAAGCAGGCAGCAGTGCTAGCCCCCAGGCTGGGGACGAGGGGCAGGTCTGGGCCAGGGGAGGCACTCAGGTCTGGCTTATCTCCACTCTTCCCTCCTTTTGATTATCTCAGGGGCCCTGTTCACAACCGATGAGGCCCCAAGCAGGTCACAAGACTGCGTGCCAAGGGTCTGCAGAGTCACCTCTGGCTGCAGGCGCTCTGGCTCCGGGGACTCTGAGCCTGCCTCCTCTCCCCCCACGGGGGAGCCTGGGCAAGGCTCCTCCTAGGCGGCCTCACCTGATGCAGTTCTTTGGGTCCTCCTCGCAGTTGATGTTACAGCGGAAGCGCTCCCAGGCCAGCCAGCCCATGGGCGGCGTCCGCAGGAGCCCGTTCTCCAGCGCCAGCACGGGGGCCACCAAGGCCAGCAAGAGCACTGCAGGGCGGCGGGAGGGATGATGTGAGTGGCCCCGGCCCCCACCTCAGCCCCCGCCGGGCTAAGGGGTCACTGACTCCCCTGCGGCTTCAGGCCCCTGCACAGCACTGAGGGGCAGATGGGCCTGGGGGGCCCCCATGTCCTCTAGACTCGCTTCACACAGAACCGGACCTCAGGTTCTTTGTTCTCCACCGGCCCCAGCAGGCCAGGCAGGCTGCACTGCACCCTGGTTCTCCTGGGTGAGCCCCTTCCCTCTCCAGCCTCAGTTTCCGTATCTGCAGGGCGGGGCCCCACTTTAGGGGTCACACAGGGGCGCCGCCGCGCGGGGAGGCGGGAGAAAGGACGAGGGCGCTTTGGAGGGAACTCCGGGGCGGGAGCATCTTCTCCTTCGCGACCCAGCTCCGAGAGCAGAAACAGGTCTCCCCACGCAGCCCCATCGGAGCTGGCGGCCCCGGCCCCGCAGGGCCCCGCCCTCCCAGAGCGTCCCCGCCGTCGGCCCGTCCCTACCTGCGGGCAGCGACATGGCTCGGCCTCGGCGTCGCAGCACCTGCCCCGTCCGCTCTTTTCACCGCCGAGTGCCGGCGTCGGGAGCTGAGACAGGCCAGAACGCACCGGGCTCGGCTCCCTCTCTCGGGCCCCGCCGCCCCCCGCCCCCCCCCGCGGGAGTGCCACACGGGCGTCCCGGACTTCAGACTTCGCCCCCCTCGGCAGCGCAGGGAGCCCCGGCGCCCAAGGGTGGCTCCCCGCCGGCTCAGGGCCGGAGCGACCGGCGGGGAGACGTCCAGGAAGGCAGGCGCGGGCCCCGGCCGGGCGCGTCTCCCCGAGCTGGGCCTCTCACCCCCGCGCCCCGCGCGGGGACCCTCCCGCCCGCGGGGGCCAGCCCGGAGCGCTCACCTCCCGCCCGGCGCAGACGCCCCGCCGGCTTCCGACTCGCGAGCTGCTGCGGGCGGCGGCGACCTCCGGGCGCGGCGGCGCGTTCCCAGGCGGGGCCGGACCTGCCCGGAAGAGCCAATCGGAAGCGCCTAGCAACGCCGGCCCCGCCCACACGAGGCCCCGCCCCGTTCCGGCTCTGCGCGCTCCCGGGGCGGGCGCGAGCGGCGGGCGGGCCTCGGGCTGTGCCCCGCCCGGGCGAGGCTGGGCCTCGCACCCCGGGTCCCCGAAGCCGCGGACAGGGCCCCGCACCCTGGGGGCGCTCGCGGCTAGCCGTGGCGTGGAATCCGCCAAGGCCTTGTGGAGGCTCCGGAGGGGACGTCCTGACGCGGCGCCGCCGGGCGGGGAGGGAGCGGGGCGCCCCAGCCGCGCGCCCCCCGGCCCCCGCCCTCGAGCGTCGGCCCAGCGGCCGCGGGCGCCAGACGCTTTATCCCCGCCCGCGGCGGCCACTGGGGCTCAGGTGTGACTGACCCGCGCCGAACACCTGCCCCCGACGCGCCTCGGGCCTCCCGCCGCTCCTCGAGCGCCGCGGCCGGGCCGGGCACGCGCTTCCCCCAGGCGGGGCCGAGCCGGCGCCTCATCTCCGCCGTCAGCTCTGGCCGGTCTGTGGACACCGCAGCCTCCCGCGGCCCGAGGCCGCCGCCCTGCCCCGCACGTCCCCGCCGCTGCGAGCGGCTGCGGAGCCCGTCAGGCCCCCCATCTTAAGCGAACGCCGCCGGGGCGGCAGCGGCGGGCGGGAGGCGACGGCGGGGCGGGAAGCCCGCGGGCGCCGGTCAAGCCCAAGGCCCGGAGGGGACGTTTGGGCCGAGCCCCCGCGGAGGTCGCGGCGCCCGCGGGAGCGGGGCGGGGCGGGGCGGGGCGGGGGCGGGCGGGGCCGCAGGCTGCGGGGCCGCCGGGACCTCGGCTCCGGGGGGAACGGCGCGCGGGGGTCCGGGCTGCGCGCTCCCGCCCTTCCCCGCAGCGCGGCCGCGGGCCCCTGGGAAAGGCGAGTCCCAGAAGCAGGAATGGGGCGACCCCGGGGAGCCGTCGCGAGGCTGGAGGCTGGGGCTGGGTGGGAGCCCGCCCAGAGGAGGCGTCGGGGCCTGGGCCGGCCCCGGCCGGGGCTGCGGGAGCGGCGGGGCGGGCCGCGGGGGGGCTGCAGGGGGAGCAGAGGGCCCCGCGCGGCGGCCGGGGGTGGGGACCTGGGTTCGAGGCCGCCCAGCGCTGAGCAGCTCCGGACTCAGGTTAGTGCCGGCCCCCCGGCCTCAGTTTCCCCCTCGGTGGATCCCGGGGCAGCTGCGCGTCCCAAGGCCGAGAGCCCGGGGCGGAGAAGGGCGGGGGCGGTCACTGGAGGCGCCCCTCCCGCAGCCACGTCGGCAGCCCAGCGGAGAGGGGCTCGCCCAGCCCGGTGGCCTCGGGCGGTGGCGAGCCGGGCCGGCGGGCGCGGGAGGAGGCGCCCCGGGAAGGCGTGGCCGCGGGGACGTGGCGGGAGAGTCCGATGCGCGGGCCGGAGGCAGCCGCACCCCGAATCCGCGGCGCGCCGGGGAGTTCCCGGTGAGCGACTCCCGATCGAAGGAGACGGCGGACCAGGAGTCCACGCGGTGGACCCTCCCCAGCCCGCCGTCCCCCAACAAAAGACTCCCCAAACCCGCGGTTCCCGGGCTCCCGCTGGGTGTGCCGTCCGCCCCGAAGCCCGGCAGAGGGGGCGCCCTTCCCAGGCCCGCGGAGGGGACCCCGACAGCTCTGGGAGCTCCAGACCCTCCTCCGGATGCTGGGAGGGAGGCCACGTGCAAGCATCTGTGATCTCCAGCCCAGGCCCTGTTGTGTCCATGGCCTTGTGCTAGTTATGATTTAATTAATTTCTAAATTAGTTTATTGTTATTTATTTTGGGGTGTTTAGTGTCACCCGGCTGGAGTGGGTCCAGGAGGGAGGGTCTTTGTTTTGCCAGGTGTTGTACACCCAGGTAATTCAACAAATACCTGCGAGGGCCTCCCAGAGCCTGCACTGGAAAGGATACTGGGGTTGGGGGGCCACACCCCAACTCGCCCTTGACCTTCTGGGGTTGGGACAGCACTGGAAACACAAAGGAGATCACTGTGGGGTGAAGAGAACAGAAGTGAGGGGCTGCTTCTTGGACCACCTTGACCATTAGGACCCCCCCTTAGTTCCAGGGAGGGGCAGGCCTCTGGGGTCAGGGACTGAAGCCCACACTTTAAGCACTTAGTGCTGACCCTGCCGCAGAGGGCAGGGAGATGAGGTCTCGGCCTGAACTATGGGGCCCAGCCCCTTCAGTTGCTCCCAAGTGCCTGGCTTGCTGAGTGGATGGATGGTCAGAGGTCAGGGAGGGCTCCCCGGAGGAGGCAGTGGCCTCAGGGGGCCCCCAAGGTTGGGTGGGAGTTCTCATCCGTTAGGTTGGGTTGACTGGGTTTGAGAATTGTCTTGCAGGTGCCGGGTAGCACGTGGTCATAGGACTGAGCAGTGTTTCCAGACAAGGGGGGCCTGCCCCCACCCACGGGGCTCTGCTGGTAAGTGGGTCACTGCTGAAACACCCCAGAAGGTGTGAGGGAGTCAGGAGACCAAGCTGTGCTTCCCACTTGACCTTGAGCACTTCACCTTCACTGCTCTGGGCCTCCGTTTTCCCTGAGTCAGGAGGAGGGTAGGATTCGGGGCCACCTGTGACCCGCGGGGCACCCACATTCCGTGGCTAAGGTCAGTCCTGCCCAGCCATGCCCTTGTTCATAGCTCACTCGGCCCCTGAGCGGCCCCCCTTGCAGCGCCCCCACCGCTGGAGGAAGGCAGCAGATCTGCCCCTCCTGCCCCCCCACTGCGGGGGCTGCAGAGCCTTATCCAAGGACATCTGCCATTAGCAAAGGAGGGGAGCCCCGCGAGGACGGCCTCAGGAGCCGGGGGTCCTGCAGAGGGAAGGTTGAAACAAAACGGTTTCTCTGGGGCTGGGTCCATTTCCGCTCCGTTGGGGCCTTTTTCCTTGGGGCTTGAATGGGCGGCTCAAAGCCCTGCCGAGGCCCGGGTCTGCTCTCGGCCCCTTGGCCGCTTCCGAGAAGGCTCGTAGTTTGACCCGGAGACAAACTGCGGAGGGCGGCAGGCTCGCGTGTGAGAGGCCGCGGTCCTGGCCGAGGCCGAGGCCGGGGTGTCGCTCCGGGGTTACAGGCGCGGGAGGGGCAGCGCGGGCAGCTGGAGGTTTCGGGGAACCGCCTTGCTGGAGCCGTCAGGTGGCGGCCGGCCGCGCCCAGGGGCTCTCGCTGCCGGTGCCCGTTCCCCGGGGAGGAAGAAACCCAAGTTTGTGAAGCCCGGAGGGGAGAAAGGGAAACGGGAGAGCTGCTCTGGCGGGCGGCGCGGGGGGCCGGGGCCCTGCAGCCGCCCGCCGGGCTCACAGCCGCCGCCTCGCCACCACCCCGGCGCAGGCCCCGCTCCGCTCCCCGAGCGCGACACCAGAGCCGCCGCGGGCCTCCGGGCTGGTCTCCTCTGGGCGCCCCCCTCTCTGAGCCCCGCTTCTCCGCTCTCTCCTCACAGTTCTTTTGGGAGCCATGAAGCTGAACGAGAGGAGCGTGGCCCACTACGCCCTGAGCGGCTCCCCTGCAGACCACACGGGCTTCCTGCGCACCTGGGGGGGCCCGGGCACGCCTCCCACGCCCAGTGGCAGTGGACGGAGGTGCTGGTTTGTCCTCAAGGGCAATCTGCTGTTCTCCTTCGACAGTCCAGAGGGCCGGGCACCGCTGAGCCTGGTGGTCTTGGAGGGCTGCACGGTGGAGCTGGCCGAGGCGCCTGTGCCCGAGGAGTTTGCCTTCGCTATCCGCTTCGATGCCCCCGGGGTGCGCCCCCAACTGCTTGCGGCAGATGGGCCGGTGGCCCAGGAGGCCTGGGTGAAGGCTCTGTCCAGGGCCAGCTTTGGCTACATGCGCCTGGTGGTGTCCGAGCTGGAAAGCCAGCTGCGGGAGGCCCGCCACCGCCTGGCCTGGCACCGCCGCTCATCCAGGAAGGCCGTCAGCAGCCGCTGCAAACCCCAGCCTCCTGACCACTGGCCCCTGGGCCTGGAGAACGGCCATTCCCTCTCCAGGGACTGCAGCCCCATGGGCTTGGCTGAAGAAGGGGGCAGCAGGCCAGCCGGGCGGGGCTCGGTAGAGTGCGAGTTGCAGGGCGCTGCCAGCCTCCTCCTGGGCAGGGGGCAGAGCCCTGTGTCCCCTGAGAGCTCTTGCTTCTCTACCCTGCACGAGTGGTACGGCCAGGAGATCGTGGCGCTCAGGCGGGGGTGGCTGCAGAGGGCCCAGAAGAGGCAGCCAGCGTTCAAGGGGCAGGCCAGGCCCTGAGCTGGGGCCTTCGGATTTTGTCCTGCTGGTCAGGACCCGGGGCCAGTGCTTTTTCAGTTTCATGTTTACTCGTTTCTAAAGTTGCTGTCTTGAGGGAGGGGTTCTCCCCTTCGTGCTTTTTAGGTTTCCTCCACGTCCCAGACCCCCCTCAGGCCTGGAGGAGACCGAGGAATCATCCCTTCAAAGCCCTTTACTTCCTGAGGCCCAGCGAAGAGAGGCAGCCTGCTCAGCACCGCGGAGCAAGACCGAGTCTCCTGCCTGGACTCAGCTGCCCTGCTGGGGGATGTTAGTGCCGCGGAGCCAGAGGGGACTGGCCCATGGCCACAGGCAGCCCTGCCAGCCACCCTACGCACCTCAACAGCCAGTTTCCAACATGGGGAGTCACGCGTGCATTTAAGCACCAAAGCTGGCTGCGTGTTGACTTGAGGGATGCTGCAGACATTGCCAAAGAAAGATTTATTGTCATGGAGGCTTCAGGGGCCCATTTTCTCCTGAGTGGTAGGAAGACTGGGCTTGGGCCCCCATGCTGCGGTCTGGAGGGGCCCTTTAGAGGAAGGGAGACTGGCCAACAAAGTGGGATTTATTTTGCTCAGAAAGCATTGCCATGTCGCGCACCCCCACCCAGCTGCCCTGCCAACGGATGGTGCTGCTCTCTGCCCAGGAGGGGCTGGTGGCTTTCCTGGGTCATCAGAAAGCCTGTCCTATCCTCATCACCAGCTCCTTGAGCTGCCCTTGGGAAGCTGAAGAAGCGAGAGGCGGTGTGGCTCCTGGGAAAGCCAGGCTGTTGGGTGGGTTCTCAGCCCTGGGCTTTCTAGGAATCTGGGCACAGAATTCCCAGAACCCTTTGATAAACTCTTCTCTCCTGACTGGGCTCCCCAAGAGGTATTCCTGGTCCTGAGCCCCCTGGGAGCGCCTTCACAGACCAGCTTGCCACCCAGTGGGTATCTGCCAAGACCTCACTGCTCCTCTCACCAGTGTTTCCCTCCTCCCTGCACTGGGAGGCGACGTGGCCAGGTGGGGGTGGCAGAGCCAGGGGCTGGCCAGCCGGAGCCACCGGTGGCTGCGTGGAAGCGCCCCCCCCTCCCCTCTACACAGTTTGCCCTTTTTAGCCTCCCTGTCCCTTACTGGGGCCTTGGGCTGTCTGGGCGGCCAGGTCTAGAGCCAGAGGCCTGCAGTGTCTTCAGTCCAGGAGGCCCCGCTGCCGCCCGGGGCCAGGACCCGCCACCACACCTGTCTTATGCGCACGAGTCGCCTTTCTTATGGCTGCGGCACTTGTTATATGATTAACGCAGTTTTCTACTCCTCTGGGTTCCCCCAGTTTATTGCAACCACCACCTGCTTCCGTCTCTCCTGTAAGGTGTATTTTCCATCTGGCCTGTCACATACACCTTGGCCTGAAATAAAACCCCAAAACATTCTGGAGGTGTTAGGGGGAAAAGGCTGTCCTAAAGCTAATTCCATACAGGCTTCGTGGACTCCACCCCCACCCCAGGCCAAAGCCAAAGACACTGGGAACTCCACATCCCATCCCCACCCAAGGGAAGGTGGCTGGGGCCTGAGGGTGGGGTTCAGCAGCCAGGTGGGTATAAAGCCAGACACGTGGGCTTTGGGGGGGTCCCCCATTTTGGCTCTCGGCCAGCTCGGAGTGACTTTGGGTTTCCAGGTCGGCGGATCGGGTAGGACGCATTCAAGACTTTATTTCCCTATTTTCCCCCTGAGTTGTCCATTTTCCTTATTTCCTTTTCCCTTGTAAATAAACCTTTTATGAACCTTTCGTGTGTCCTGCAGTGGAGTATTCATAAGTCCCTTGTAAGCGCGCGGGTGAGGACCCACAGCCGGGCACCCCGTTCAATATCGGGGCTGCCCGGTAACGGCGGTACGGCCGACGCCTCTGAATCACGTCGTTAAAGTGTCAGAAAAATACAAGTGTTTGAGGGACAAGTCGAGTCAGTTCTCCTTTCACCAAACACCGGCTCCGCAAGCGCAGGCTGTGCCCGGCGCAGAACCAACGCAGGCACCGCGGCCCCCCCCGACCCGCCCGAGCGGACGGCGCCACCGGCGGCGAGAGCGCAGGCGTCCCTGTGACGTCACCCCGCCGCGTCTGTGACAGAGGCCTTACCCCACCGCTTCAGGAAGTGGGCGCACTGCGCAAGTGCGAGGGCTGGCCCTCTCGTCTGGTCCCGGAAGTCTCGCGAGGCTGGGGCCGGCGTTCTTCCGAGGGCGTCACCCAGGCTGGGCTGGGGGCGGAGCTAGGAGATGGCGTCTGGAGCCGCTCGCTGGCTGGCCTTGGTCCCCGTCCGATCCCGGGTCCGCCGGAGCGGGTCGACCTTGAGGCCAGGAGGCGATGTCTCCGCCGGACAGGGCGGCTCAGGTGGGAGCCTGGTTCCGTCGAGGTCAGTCATCGTTACTCGCAGCGGCGCCATTTTGCCCAAGCCCGTGAAAGTGAGTTTCGGCCTGGAGGTGGGGCGAAGGGGGCCGAGGCCAATCACTGGAGGGCGTGTGTGCGGGTCGCGCTGATTGATAGGAGCAGAGGCCAATCGTCAACTGCCCTAGGCCGGAAGGCCGAATAAGGACAACGTTTTTGCGCTAATGAGCCTATTTTGACAGGTGGGAGGAAAGGGTCGGGTTAGGTCCGAGGGTTGAGCGGGGGCCGTGGAGACAGAACCGGGAGCCAGAGCTGAGAAAGACGGTATTTTGCATTAGCTTGTCACGGGGAGCGGGGTGCTCGAGATGCCCGCAGCCTTCCGTGGAACAGACAAAACTTGGGCGCCTCTGCTCTACCTCAGTGGATGAGGTGAAAGGCCTTTGTGAACAGAGGGTATGTGGGACGGCTTACATTTTTCATGAGTTTTGAGCTAGTATTTCATTCCCGTTGACTTGCCGTCCTCAGAGACGTGCAGGGAATTACTTCCATTACTGTTTTTACAAATGTTAGGCCAGTGTCCAAAGCTAGCAGCCGAACTAGGTTCTGGAATTCAGGTCCCAACACCGAGTGTTCTCACATGCCATCTGTCTCCTGGAGTTTGTGTAAGTAAAATGCAGTTTCTAAATCCAAACAAGCTTCTTTTCGGCTCCAGGACTACGTGAGAGTTACAAAGCAAAACAGAATTTTTTTAAACTAGTCTGGCCTATGTTAGCTCCCATCGACAGCAAAAAAAAAGCAGGGTGCATGTTGAGGAAGAGAAGGCATAGCTGGAAAAAATTTTTGAAACCCCAACTTTGTAGGATAAAAGGAAATGGTGAGATTTTATCAAAATTCCCTTACCTTACACCGTGATCATTTTTCAAAATACAGATGATTTCACTGTTTAATGTGGTAAAAATCAAATTTCTCAGGCACCAGGGAACCTGTTACTTAAAGAACTGTATAGATTATGTCACAGTCCAGCTCTTAGTACTTTCTCACCGTTTATAGGTATCTGCAAGTAATGACCAGGTTGTGCCCTGATTTTAGATGTTGAATCTCTCATACTTTTCTTTCCCATATGCATTTTAATGGCCCTGAATTTTCCCAGGAATTTAAAAATCACTTGGTTATGATGGGTCTGGGGTCCTCAGGAGGGACTGGACTGCCCCTGAAACGGCCAGACCTTCTGTGGTCCTGCCAGAGCTCTGGAGCTCATAGTCCCGCTCTGACCCCTCCAGATGTCCTTTGGCCTTCTCCGTGTGTTCTCCATCGTGATCCCCTTTCTCTATGTCGGGACCCTCATTAGCAAGAATTTTGCTGCTCTACTTGAGGAGCATGACATTTTTGTCCCAGAGGATGACGACGACGATGATTAGCAGGTGAGACTTGCCTTTCCCTTGCATGGACTGAAGCAGGAAGGGGGTGAGGTGTCTGAACTGTGATGTGGCTTGGCCTGGGAGCAGCAGTGTGGACACTGGAGGGAGCAGCACTCACTTGCTGGCTAAAATTTCTGTTTCGCCTTTTCTCTGTTGGATGAGGAAAGCTCTCCTAGTGACTTAAAAATTCACTGGGGTGTCTTCCAACTAGGTCAGATCCCAGCCAGCCTTTCATTTGCCTTTTATGTACCCTCATGCTTTCAACCCACGAATTTTCTCATCACTTTAATATGCTCACACACCCACCACAAATAGCGTCAATTTAGCAGCTCAACATTGAAATTTAGAAGCCGAGGTCCTCACCAGTCAGCTCTGCAGTCTGTACAAAGGCCTGGTTCCCATGCAGCTCCCACCTGCCACCACGCACGCCCCATCTGGCCGCATCTATAGACTTCTGCTGTGCCCGTGATGTGCTCACACCCATGACCCACACCTGGATTGGCTCATTTACCACATTCCCAACCACACCTACTTCCAGAACTCACTATTTCTTGAATTACACACACTACAAGCCCTAAGCAGTGACCCTTTTTTCCTAGTTGGAAGGCTGCTTCTCACTGCTTTCTTAGAAGTCTTCCTTCATTCCGGCATATACAGGAATGAAAATGCTGCTCTACCCCTCACTCACCTCTTGTGACCCTCAGTAGCCAATGTTTAAACACACACAAACTCTGCTAGACCATGAGCTGCTGGCCAGCAGGGAACATATTATACATACCTTGTGCCCCCAACAGTGCTTGGGACGGTCTCTGTTCAGTAAATATGTCTGACTGAGTCATCAAACATACTCGGGCCTGCCTCTCTCCTGCCGTGTTTGCTAGGGCCGCTCTGGAACCCCACTCAGTGTGTGGATCCAGGGCTGCTGTGCTGCCTCACTCATCGGTGTTTCCTTCTTTACAGGGCATGGAGCAGGTGCAGAAAGGGGAAAGCCCTCCCTTGAGAAAACTGGTGATGTTTGCAGCCGCCTTTCCTTTCTTAGCAGCAGAAGGGTCCCAGAAAGCCCCCAACCTGCCAATTCCAGTGAAGGCCCCTGTGTGGTCTGTGACTGTTGTCCAGATTTTTAAGGTCTGGGAGGTTCCCTGAGATGTGCTAAATTATAAATAAATGTAATAATTATTAGCTGTTTGACTGAATGACGGTTCAAGCTTCTCCGTACAAGTAGGCAGTTTCTCGTTCCTGCTGTCCTTTCTCTATCAGCTGAACATCGCAGCCTTTGATTTACAATCTGGGATCTCCAGGCGCCTGTGGATCCACAGTGTAATTATAGGAAACTGGGGCCATTTTCATTATTTACAAAAGCCCAAGAGAAACTGCTTTCCCCCAGTAAAGCTTTGTCGGCTAACTAAGCCTCATGCTTTGCCTTGAGTAACACCACTTAGGTATCACAGGCCAGTCATGAACTTTGTTAGTTTAAAAGTCCAAGAGATGTCATTATTAGGATGATTAACTTGGGTTCTATAGATAAAAAGATAATGATGGAATTGCTGATGCTGAAAAATTTGGGATTCCAAAGGGTGGCCGTATCTTAGATCCTGAAGAACCCCAGTCCCGCATCTAGACTGTCCAGGAAGGAAGAGCAGGGACCACCATCCAGAGTAAACATCTGGTATTTAACCTGTCAACACGTTTTCTCCTGTGGCTGGAACTACGCCCCAGTTTGCAAAAACAGCAGGAATGTTTCCGCTCTCTGTGTGCACTATGCAGCTGGGCCCCTAAGCAAGATGCCTAATTGAGTAAGAAGTTAATCTCCTCTCAGGGACCAGTGCACGCGGAGGGGCCAGGCCTCTGAGCAGCCGTTTTCTCGGAGCCCAGGGAAGAATAGCCCAGATTGTCGGCTTTACTTCTGTCCTCTAGTGTTGCTCTGATCCCTCTCTCACAGCAAGAGCTGGCTAATTTTGGATCGTCTGTGCCGTCACACCAAGCTATCCAATTCTGGAGGCTGTAGAAACACAGCTAAATTAACGAAGTCATCCAGCCTCATACCCAGTGTGGCAGTTTCTGAGCAGATGGCCTCATCTTTCCTGTTTACCGACACGCGAGGCTCTGAGAAAAGAGAATCTAATTTACAGGAAACAGCGCACTTCAGGAAAAGGGAGAGAACAGGTGGTGTGTATACTAAGGCCACACTTGTTCAGGCAAAAAAGAGAGAGACAACAAAGTAGAGCTTCCCGTTGGTTCACCAATAGAATTCTACATGAAGCGAGTTTATTTGTGCTGTAAAATACTGAAACCAACATGCACCTTTCTGCTGAGTGGCTTCATGGGTCATGGCCAACGTAGAACTTGGACAGGAAGTCCTGTGGCCTTGGCGCTTCTGTTTCATGGAAGAACCGCATGACATGTGTCCGCTGCTTCCACACCTTGATCGTTTCCTCTAGCTCCATCTTTCCCTGCACAAGGGAGGGGAGAGGTCTCGGTCAGCGCAGTGGAGGGGAAGGAATGTGGTGCTGAGTGGTCAGGGCTCTGTCCCCTGATCTGGCATGGATTTGTGGAGTAACATGCTCTTCCAGACCAGAGTTTCATCTGGAGAATGAGACAGTTGGACTACATGGTACCTGAGGCCTTTCAAATAGTCTCTAACTCTGTGCCGTACTAGTTCGGAGAGGGGACTTGCGGTCAGCAGGCCCCGTGAACACCAGGGTGAAGTGCCCAGTGATGCTAACGTGGCTGAGCAGAGATCGAATCCGGCCCCGGATTTGATCCCATTTACACAGGACTTGGCCAACTGCCAGTTGTAAGCTGGCAACCAGGTGAAGCAGTGATTTCAGGCGCAAGGCTGCAAGAGTTCCCACTTTCCTCCATGTCTCTTCAGTTTGAAAATGCAAGCCCTGGTGGAGTTTCCCCCTTTAACCAGGTGATTACCTCCCACTGAACTACAGTTGCTGACCCAGCTGCTGCTTTTCAGAGTCAGTCAGGGTCAGTTACCTTAATGACCAGGAGATCCACCACCCGGGGGTCGGTGACGTGGGCGTTCTTCATAAACATTTCCCGGACTTTATCCCGCCCCTGCTTTACAGTGATGTCTAGCTGGAACAGGTGCACTGAAGAGCAAACATGATGCGGAGAAAATGACAAAAAACATGTTTTTTTTTTAAAAGGAATATTCACTGAATGCGTGGGCTCCCCATCATCCCGTTCGCCCTCTGCTGGATCCCGGGGGGCCGTGAAGGAGCACGGGACGTGGCACCTGCTCTCAAGAGCTTGCATTTCATCTGGGGAGACAGAAAGGCTGAGGGAGGCAAATAGGAACAGCCTACGCTTCCACCGGGCGAATTGTTCTTAATGAATACCTAAGTGCCAGGCCCTACGCTAAGCACTTTCTAGACGGATCACCCTCTTCAATAAGGCAGCGCTCTGAAGAAGGTACTAATGTTATCCTCAGTTTACAGATGAGGATACTGAGGCCTGGCCAGATGAAATAACTTGCTTAAGGTCACACAGCTAGTAAGGAGCAGAGTCTGGAGCAAATCCATGGGCCCATCACATTCTACTGCTTCTCACACACAGGGAAGTGGCTGTGCTGAAGGCGGCTGTGAAGCTCCAGCTCCCTTCAAAACACCTTCCCTCTCAGACTAGCAGTCTCGGAGCACACTAAATCAAATCAAAATGGTGGCAGTCCCTGACATTTGTAGGGCCTTGACAGTAAGATGGGATTTGCCCCAACTTTTCTCTCATCCAGAACACGGCAGCGCTGAGGGGGGCCAAGATAAGACAACATGTCTGCACCTGGGCAGCTAAATTCTCATCTTTCAGGTGAACAGGCTAGTTCTCCGATATCTCAGTGAAGGCAGGGGTAGGGGAGCAGGGGCAGGTGGGGGGGCTGAAGGGGGGGCTTCCTGAGGACTCAGGGGCAGGTAAGGAGGGAGCGAGGCTTGGGAGAGCACAGGGGGCGAGGTAAGGCACCTCACGTGCAAGAACTGGATAAAGCACCCTTGACCCACTGGGTGATCTCGGGAAAGTCACTTCTCTGGGAAATGTGTCCTTCTCTGGGCATGTGGGAACCCGATGATCACGCAAGTCCAAGCCACTTGTTCATGGCCCCTAATGGGCGTCCGCGGCCATGGTCAGGGGCTCGGACTGCCGCTGGGCTGCAGACCCGCCACGGCTGGCCCTGCGCCCTGGCCCGGCTCCCGCGGCCGGCACGTCGATGACAGCCCCGGCTCTGCGTCCGGGCCGGGTAAAATACTGGGACAAGCCGGAGCGGGCGAAGGCCCCTAGAAGCGCGGGGCGGGCGCTGGACAAGCTATCTGACCCCGACGCCGCCGTCCGGCCGGGCTCGCCAAGGCGGGGACCCTCCTCCCCGGCGCGGAGCCCCCAGCCCCGGGCTGTGACCTCCGCGGCGCCGCGACAGCCGCGACCTTGGCGGCCGCCTGCGGGGCCCGCGGCGCCGCCGCCTCTCACCAGTGGTCGGCACCTCCCGATACCAGGCGCGGTAGAGCTCGCGCACCCTCCGCTTGGCCTCGCTCATGTCCCGACTGAAGATGGGCTTCACCGAGGTGCTGCCCGCGGCCGCCGCCTGCCGCAGGCCGCTCGCCGCCATCTTGCTCGAGACGCCGGCTCCCGGCCCCACCCCTTCGCGCCCGCGAGCGCGGCCGAGGGGCGGAGGTCCTTTCTCATTGGCTAAAATTGGACGCCACGCCCCCGAGCCCGGCGGGTGGGAGGGAGGAGAGCTGGGGGGCTCTCTGATTGGCTGAAGGGCCTCTGCCGAGGAGGAGCGGGGCCGTGAGAGCCGCGCGTGCTCGTCTGAGGAAACGCGAGCGACGCCGTTGGGCGGCCGTTTCACCGGCGCCGCCAGGGGGCGCTCGCACGCCGGGCGCTCCTCGGGGAGCTCCCGCGGCCTCGCGGGCTCGCGGAGCTTCCACCCGCGTGGCGGCGCCGGCCGGGCCCTCAGCCGCTTCTCCCTGGCGAGTCCCCCCGGGGAAGCGGCGGCGGCGCGGCGTCACGGCCGCATCCTGGCCGTGCCCTTCCTGGGGCTCTTCCCCAGCCGGGGGCGGGTCTCGCCGTCACCCCGTTCCGGACGGGGACCTCGGCACCCCCGACTCTGATCTCTGCGAAAAGCAGCCCCTGGTCTGGCATCGAGGGGCTCCGTGACGGTCCCGAGGTGTCTCCTTCCCGGCCTTCTTCTCCCGAGGCGCCTCCGCTGGCGGGCCCGGCGCTGGAGCACCCCATTCAGCGGGGCCGCCGACCCGGCGCAGGCCCCGCACCTGCCGTGCCGAGCGGCGCCGCTCCCGGGGCTCTGCCGGGCCGCGCGCGGGGCGGGGCGGGGCGCCTTTCCCCTTGGAAGGGTAAAGGTCAGCGGCCCCCTGCCGCGTTCTGAGGCGTCCGCGCCCTTGGGAGCCAGCGGCCTGGGCGCCGCGGCCCCGCCTGTTCCCCGGGGAATCCTCGCGCCCGCGCCCTCACCCCGGATCCGCCTCATGAATGAAAAGAAACTCCCGGGCGACGCCTCAGCGCGGAGCCCGCCCCGCCCCGCTCCGCCCCGCACGCCCGGGAGGGCTCGGGCCCGGGATCCCGTCAGCGGCCTCGGCCGCCGCCGCCGCCCGCCGTCGGGTCCAGGGGCCGGGTTTGCGGCTTCGGTTGCCGCCGCTCCTCGCCGCTGACGCGGGGGCTCCGCGGGCGCCGGGCGTGGGGGCCCGAGCGCCGGGGGGGGCCCCTCTGACCCCCGACCCGGGGCCGCGCGGGCGGGGGCCTCCCCGGGCCGGGCCCCAGGCTCTCGCGCAGCCACGCGGGGTGACTGCCGAGTAGCAGGAGCGGGTGCAGCGTCTCACCGGTCTTCCCCTCCATCCCCGGCTGGCAAGGACGGGGGCGCCTCCTTTGCGCCCCTCCCCGGCGCCCGCCGCGACGCTGCGCAGGGGGCTCCCCGTTCCCGGCGTCGGCGTCGGGAGCTGCGACTTCCTCCGGGTCTGCTCCGGCTCCCGGAGGGCGGGGCGCGCGGGGTCCCCCGGGGAGGCGGCCCCCACGACGACCTTGGCGCTCCGGCCGCTGCCCCGGGAGAGCGGCCTTGCCGGGCATGAACCTCCGTCGAAGTTTTCAGAAGCAGAGCGCGGTGGACGGCAGCCCGGCGCCCTGTCCTGCCGCCGGCCGGGACTGCGCCCGGCCTCCCCGGGCGGGGCTCCGCACCCGCTGTCCGCCGGGATCCAGAGGCCCTGCGTGCGGGGATGCCGCCGAGCGCCACACCAGCCCCGGGCCCCTCACAGTAACCTGCGCGCCCGGGACGCGATGCCTCGGGACTCCTCATGGTCTCTCCCCACCCACCTGGTGGGTCAGGGCTTGGAGTTAAACTTGTCTCTTAACCAGCAGGAAATGTGTGGGCTGTGAAGCTGCCCGAGGCCTCTGCCGCCGGGCAGGGTCCCACGTGGCGCGCAGACCCCTCCTGCCGCCCGCTGCTCCCCTCAGCAGTGTCCTTCGGTCCTTCTGCCTGCTCTGCTCCCCGCTCTGGCTCTGGTGGATTCTCTCACCCTCCCGCGCTTCTGACTGTGCCCAGTGCTTGTGTAAACAAATAAATCTTTTTTAAAAAATGTGCTAATTTACCATTTTTTGTTCTAGGCTGAGATTTTTGGGAGAACTGATATCTCCATATGAATCCTACTAAACCCACTTACTTTTTCCATTAGAAAGTCTCCAAGATTATTCTGTTAGTTTATCTAGATCTGCCTCATTTTAGTTGGAGGTTGTCCTATAACCCTATAGTGTTTTCATAAACGTAAGTCATTTCCAACTCTGCGTTAAAAATGCGGAACATCCCCCCTCATGCTTCATTTATGCCTTCTTGTGATAGGCTCTCTGCAAAAGATAAATAGAAATAGAATTGCTGAAGCAAAGGGATGTGCATTTTAATAGATATTTCCAAATTGCCCTCTCATCAGTGAAAACACTGGTTTCCTTCATCCACTTCAGCATTTAATATTGTCACTTTCAATTTTTTTTTTTTGCCAATTTACGTGGAGAAAATAATAGCTCCTTGATTACTGATGAAATTGAGCTATTTATGTGGTCGCTTACATTTCTTCATATTCTTTGCCCCTCTTTCATTTGTTGTCTTATCGATTCGTAGGAATGCTTTTTAATAGTCCCTGTAGTAATCCTTTGCCACATAGACTGCAAATACCTATTTCTCGTTTGTCTTCACCTTCATGACTTTGTAGTATAGAAATTTAAATATGTGGCATAGGCATTTTGTGTCTCATTTAAGAAGAACTGGCCGTGACTCAGGAAAAAGAAAAGCTGGGACCAGAACAGCACTGCGGGCTGGAACAGGAGGAAGCAGGAGGCCCCGCCTGGGCAAGGGTTCTAGGTGAAGAGGGTTATAATCTAGGAGGTCAGAGCAGAGAGAGCCCAGAGGGTGTTTGGTGAAACAGCCTTACTGGCCACGAGGAACACCCAGCGCCACCGCGGCCCTGCACGCAGGTCTAGAGCCGCGTGACAGAGCGGAGGGCCTGGCAGGCCAGGTCAGGCCAGAGCCACAGGCTGGTTTATTGTACAGCGGGGTTCCCGGCACAGGAGTGGTGGGGGCCGGCTGCACCCCGCTAGCGGGGCACCGCGCACAGCTGATAGGGGGAGGGGGTGACCAGCACGGAATAGACCCCATAGTCACTGGGCGGGGGCTGCCCCGCAGGCACGGAGAAGCTGAAGCGCTGCAGGAGGCAGGTGAAGAAGAGGAAGAGCTCCATGCGGGCCAGCGGCTCCCCGAGGCACGAGCGGCGGCCTGTGGCGGGATGGGGCAGGTGAGCCGAGAGGGGACCCCCCACCTCCCGAGTCCCTCGGCCGGCCGGCCGGGCTCCCCGGGCACCTGCTGAGAAGGGCATGAAGGCCTCCTGCCTCACGAAGCGGCCCTGGGCGTCCAGGAAGTGCTCGGGGTGGAAGCGGTGCGGCCTCTTCCAGATGGTCTCGTCCTTCAGCACCGAGGACAGGTTGGGGAAGAGCGTTGTCCCCTGGGGGAGAGGCCCGGCATGGGTGTGCTCTGGGCTGGGGGAGCCAGATACCCCACCCCACCCCCGCCAAATACCCCGGGCACAGAGCTGCTTCCTGGTCACTACACCTGGCACTCCAGGAAACTTCTGGAAGCTCCATGTCTCCTTGACACAGCTGGTGAGCAGCCTGCCCCCAGAGGCGTCCTTGCCACCTGTCCTGCGTGCCGGGGCTCCCCCACACTGGCAGCTTCAGCTTGTCTCCCCACCCGACCGGGGCTGGGTGTGGACAGGGCAGGCCCCGCCTCTGCTCTCATCCCCACCAGGCTGCACACCGGGTCCACTGGAATTTCTGACTGGGCGGCTCGGGAGCAGTCCAGGTGCCGCCTGGCCACCCGCCAGCAGCCAGCAGGGACAGGAGGTGCAATCGGGGAGGAGAGCGCAGGCCTACCTTGGGGATGAGGAAGCCCTGCACTTCGATGTCTCGGGAAGTCATGTGGGGCACGCCCAGAGGGATGATGTCCCCGAATCGCTGCACCTCGTGGACCACGGCCATGGTGAAGGGCATGCGGGCCTGGTCCGCCATCTCTGGTCGCCGCCCCTGCCCGATCACCTCATCGATCTCCTCTTGGACTCTGCCTGGACAGACAAGCGTCCCCACAGTTGTGAGCACCCGGCACAGGCCCACGCCCACCTCCTCCTGACCCCGGACAGGGGGCTGGGCCCACGGGGACCGGTTAAGCTGTGGGCCTCTGATCAGAACTCCCGGAGGCCGAACCAAGCTGGGGACATAGATGCTCCCACTACCATGCATCACCCCGTTCCCCAGGGCCCCAGGCCAGGCTCACGCTGCACATCGGGGTGCAGGATCATGAGCAGGAGGGCCCAGACCAGTGTGGTCGAGGTGGTCACCATCCCGGCAAAAAACAGATCAGACACCACCATGCGCATGTTCTCCTCATTGAAGCTGCTCTCCGGGTTCCCCTTGGCCTGGATGGTGCAGAGAGGGTGGGCTCAGGGCCTGGGGAAGGAGACCCCAAAATGGCCTCTCACTCTGAACCCAATGCTAGGTGTCTGACCACGGAGTCAGGTGTCACACAGGCCCCGCCTCCCGTGGTCTCACCTCCTGGGCCACAACCCACGCCTCACCTTCTCCACCTGGTCCAGGAAGGTGTCGGTCAGGTCTCGGGGCGGCTGGTCTGGGTCCCGGCTCAGCCTGTGCTCAGCAATCAGCTCATCCAGGATGCTCATGAAGCCCTTCTGCCCTGCGAACAGCTTGGCAGCCAGCCCCGGGATGCGCAGGAGCACTGGGATCGCGTTCAGCACCTGTGGGGCCAGAGATGGGGCATCTGCTGCTTCCAGCTGCACCATGAGCCCCGCTGCCTCCAGGTCACCCACCGTCCACCTGTTCCCCCCAAGTGCCCTTCTTGACCCTCTTTCCTGGCCCGGAGCTGCCAGCAGGACAGACCTAAACTCTGAATGGTTCCCGCTTCCATCAGGCAGCCGCGGGCCCAAACCCCCCTCTCCTCTGCATAAATCCTCCCCGCGCACACGCGGTTGCATTCGGGGTTCTTGGCCGCGGAGAGCACCCCCTCCCAGCCTCGGGGCTCCTCCTCCCGCACCTCGCGAAGCAAATTGCTGTCTTCCTTCAGGGACTGCTCCATCAGGCCCAGCAGTCTGCTGAGGCGAGAGTCGTCGTACTGGAAGCGGCGCCCGAAGATGAGCGAGGTGATCACGTTGCCCACCGCTTTATCCAGGAGCGAGCCGGGGCTGAAGGGGCGCCCTGGGGGGGCAGTGAGGTCAGGGGGGGCCTCCTCCCGCGCCCGGCCCCCCGCGCCGCCCCCGGCTCTCACCCGCCTGCTCGGCGATGGCGGCGCAGAGGCAGGTGGCCTCCTCGGTCACCCACTGCTCCAGGGACTTCTTGCCCAGGCCGAAGTCGCGCAGGGTGGACACGGAGAAGCGCCGCTGCTCCCGCCAGGGGTGCCCATAGCGCGCCAGGACCACCCCTGGGGCGGGGAGGGGCGGGGCTGAGCGTTGGCCCCGCCCCCGCCCCCCGCCCCTCGCTGGGCCCCGCCCCGCCCCCCGCCTCTTCCCTTTACACACCCTTTGGACGGGCCGAGCCTGGCGGGCTCCCAGTTGGCCGTCTCCGGTCCCGCCCCCTCGCGCAGCCCCGCCCCTTTCCGTCCAGGCCCCGCCCACACCCGCCAGCCGCCCGCACCCTCTCCCGTTCCACGCCTGCGCGGGGCTTGCCGGGCACCCCGCTCGCTCCCGCTCCCGCCTGTGGGCTGGGCTTGGCCCGCTGTGGGTTCTCCCCCGGGACCCTTTTCGCTCTGGAGGCGCTGTCCGCCCTCTGCTCCCCATGTCCAGCTGCTCTACCTGCAGCCTGAACCCGAGCGGCAGGACAGGACCCCGCGCGCCCTAGGCCCGCCCAGCGCGCCGGAGCCTCCCGCCCCCGCGGGCCCTTCACACCCACCCACGCGCCCCCGGGACTGTCCACCACCCGCTCCGCTGGGATCTGCGTGTCGTGGGCCCCTGCGGCGCCCTCCTCGGCTTGCCTTGGGCGCGCGGCCCGAAGCCCAGGTGCTCGTAGGTGGGGCTCGACGGACGGTCGGAGGAGCCCTCTCCGCGGTCCACCAGCGCCTCTCGCACGGCCGCGAATCCGTTGACGACCACCACGGGCGTCCAGCCCAGCTGCAGGCTGAACACGTCGCCGAAGCGGCCCCGAAGCTGCAGCCGAGGGTCGTGGGGTCAGGCAGGCCTGAGCCCGCCTGCTCTAGTCCCGGTCTCCTCGTCCCGGGGCTCCCCGGTTTGCCTAGACAGGGGGTGCGTGGGCTGCATCTGAACCCCAAGCCTGGGATCGCATCCCGCGTGGTGCATCCCTCCTCCAGCTGGGGCTGGTCACCGGCGCGCACCGGCTGCAGGCCAGGGTCGGCGAGCGGGGCCTGCGCCCATGTTACAGGTGAAGCAAGCGAGGGCCGCAGGATGAGCAGCGAGGAGCAAGAACCCCCCGGGCGCACAGTCTGAACCCGTCACGGCACTTCTCTCCCCTGCCGTCACAGGTGCTGAAGCGGGGCGTCCTCTCCCCATTCTCTTGTCCTCGCCCCCGACAGAGTCCAAGAGACCCGACTCACACCACGCCAGCCTGGCCAGCTGGGGAGTCCACCCCACGCCGGCCTTTGCCCTCTCTGACCTTCCTTGGAAAACTGCGCGTGTCCTTGAGCCCTCACCAGGGCCCGCCCCCCGGGGCCTCGGCCTCTGCCGCCCCTGTGGGCCCAGTCCTTGTCCAGCCCGCGGCCTCTCCCCACCCGGGCCTGCCCCTCGTGAGGCCCCAGGACGCGCCCCCTCCTCACCCGGCTCATGGAGTACGGCACGTTATTGAAGTCGAGCTGCAGCAGGTTGCCCAGCCCCGGCACAGGCGTGGGGCCTGGCGGGTAGCGGCTGGCCCAGCGAGCTCGCCGGTGCATGAGGTCCACGAGGAGCAGGAACACGGCCACGGCCACGGCCAGGAGCCCCAGCGTGTCCCCGGTCAGCAGCGCCATGGCTCCTCGGGGCTCACCGGGCTCCTCCGGGCACCGCTGGCCTGTCTCCACCCAGGCACCCAGACCAGGACAGGCAGGCCCTGCCACCACCCCACCTGGCCACAGCCTTGCCCTCTTTATAAAGGGAGCTGAGACTGACCTTTGCCCTGTACCCTGAAGCAAGGGTGGGGGTGACTGGGCAGCCAGAGGATCAAAAGGGGCAGGAGGGGAGAGGGTGTCCCACAGTCCCGCCCTCCTGCCAACCCGGGAGCTGACAGCTGGGGTGGCGGACAGGAAGGACCTCCACCCCCGACCCACCTCGCTCCCCTGGGCTGCGTGTCTGAGGACGAAGGCGGCGTGCTGAGACCTGTGCCGGCCACCTCTCCGGCCCCAGAACGCGCCCTCCCTGCTCAGGTCCCCTGCCTCCCCGAGGGCCCACCTGGCACGTCCCCGGCACCTGCCTGAGTATACAGGGCCCTGGCCCGGGTGAGGGGAGCGGACTCCGGGTCTGAGCGTCTCCACCTGTCCCCTTGTCCGCACACTGCACGCCGAGAGCACAGACACGCTCGTCTCACACTCACCGTCTCCAGACACCACCCGCGCGCCACCGTGGGGACTCACACACCCACACACACACACCCGCCCCCCTCCCTCACAGACACCAGCACACACACTCACACTCAAGGTACATGGCTCTCACGCACACACACACACACACACACACAGCCTGGCAGCCGGGTGGGGGGACAGTCGTTGAAGGGGCCTCTGTGGGTTGCGTCTCCTACATGGGTCCCCCTCCCCCATCCCAGCCACCTCCCCGTGACGGTCAGCAGCGCCATGGCTCCTCGGGGCTCACCGGGCTCCTCCGGGCACCGCTGGCCTGTCTCCACCCAGGCACCCGGACCAGGACAGGCAGGCCCTGTCACCACCCCACCTGGCCACAGCCTTGCCCTATTTTGCTTTGTCCATTTGTCCACTTTGTTTCCGGATACTGCCTGCGCCATCACCCGACTTGTGTCTGTACAGAAAGTCTTTATCTTTCTGCTGCCCAGTCGCTCCCACGTTACCTCAGGCCACAGGGTGAAGGCCAGGCTCAGCTCTGTTTGTAGAGGGCCTGGCAGGGCGCCAGGTGGGGTGGTGGCAGGGCCTGCCTGTCCTGGTCCGGGTCCTGGGTGGAGACAGGCCAGCGGTGCCCGGAGGAGCCTGGTGAGCCCCGAGGAGCCACGGCGCGGCTGACCGGGGACACGCTGGGGCTCCCCGCCGTGGCAGGCACTGCAGACCCGCTCTCCAGCCCTTCAGCCCAACTCCTGAAAGAACAATCCGTTGGAGAAGGAGGGGGCAGCGGCAGGGGTTCCCTCCGCTAGTCCAGACAGCCCTGGGCCGGGAGGTCATCCTCCCCTCTGGGGCCGGAGGACGCCTCCTCTGGCCGTGCCATGATGCCCCGGGGAAGGATTCCTGGCCCGGGGCTGGCGGGCCCGGCCACACTGACAGGTTCTTGAGCTGAGCTGGGTGGAGCGGGGTCTTGCTCTGAAGCGGGGAACAGTCTGGAACCGGAGCATGAGCAAGGTGGGCGCGGGGCCCCGTCGCAGGCTCCAGCCGGAAGAGCCGGACATCTCGGAGCCGGGGCGCGTCCAGGCGAGCGGGGGTGCCAGCTGCCTCTGCTCCGTCCTCATCTCCACTCCCCTTCCTGCGGCGTCTGCAAGTGTCCCCGCGGCCGGCCTCCTCTTGGGCCGCCTCCGGGTCGGCTCCGCGGTCTCCTCTGTCTGCGCGGGTCATCCTCGATCCGCAGCGGCCACAGGTTCCCCCACAGGGCGCACTTGACCTGCCTGCTGGCGGCCTGGGCCTGGGCCTGGTAGTGCTCCCCCAGCCCCCGGCCCCCGGAGCAGGAGCCAGCCCTCAGCCCTTGCCAAGGGGGCAGGCCCTCCCCGTTGGCTGCTGGGGAGTCCAGTCACCCCGTCTCTCCTTGAGTCGTCACTGGGGTTCCAGGGCAGTCTGTCTCCCTAGGACCCTCTTCCTCGCATTTCCTGCCGCCTCTTCTTCTCGGGTTCCCAAACTATTCTTGGCAGTGACCTCAAACCAAGCAACATGTCCTGCAGGGAAGCGCAGCTGAGGATCTACCTGATCACCGCCTGCAGCGCAGTGTTGAATGCAGTGGCGGGGCCTGGCGCGAGCCTGAGGCCACGATCTTCTGTGAAGCCCGGATGAACTCACAGGCTTCCGGCACTTCCCCTCCAGGATGCTGGCGAGAGCTGCAGCCGGGCCGTCTCCAGCGTCAGCGATGCTGTTATCCCGAGGTACTCAGAGCTCTTGGGTCAGCTCGCTCCACACAAATTATACTCTCTCGCAAGGCTTCGCCATGGCGGGCCTGTGCTCCTGCTCATCCGTCCGCTGCTCTCGGCCTTGCCGTGGGCGCAACAGCGGGTCCCGGCGTCACCCCCTCCTCCAGGGCGGACTCCCCTCGGGAGCCTCGGGCACTGCTGGGTGTGCCCCCGGGTGCCCTCGCCGGCAGCGGTGAGCTTGCTTGGGGAGGGAAGGCTGGCGGCCACCGCCTGCCCAGAACACACCCCGAGGGGGCGGCCGTGGCTGGCGCCGAACTCGCCCCCAGTCCCGGACCTCGCGCATTTGCTGTCTGTTGTGTGAGGCGCGCGGAGCTGACCGTTGACTTGCTGACTCCGCACACTCGGTCAATCCCGGCAGCTCCTGCTTTGAGCAGTGGGGAAGGCGGCGGGTCATGGCCCCACGTCCCTGGGGTTCCCACGTGGGAGGGTCAAGCCCTCCCTAGCGGAAAGGGTCCTACGCTCGGGTCCTGACGCTGCTCAGTCATCGCTTTCTCTTTCAGTAATCTGTCCTCTGCTTTCCGCACAAGGCATTCCCCTGTCACCTGCCGTCACCCCCGCGTGCTCCTCCCCAGGGTGTGGCAGAGACTGCAGGTCCTGCAGGTGCAAGGGGCGAGAAAGCCCCCCGCACCCCCCTGGATCATGCAGAAAAGCCAGGCTGTGCCCCTCTCCACCACCCTCCCCAAAGCGGGGCCTCGGCCAAGAGTCAGTGGATGCCCCCGCCGGTCACCAGGGCACCCACCAGCAGCGCCACCTCACAGCACATGCATGGTGGGGAAGCGGCATCGCCCGGCCCGACATCCTCCCTGGAGCAGGAGAAACCCAGCCGTCCCCTGACCTTCGCTCCGCGGGTTCCGACCTCCTCCGTGCGCGCCTGGCGGCCGGGGAACGTCTACGGCGCTGGCCCAGACGCAGACGCTTTCATTTGGTTGTCTTTACCTCGATTATTTATTTCAGCCACGTAAGTTGAGCTCCTGCCCCTGGGGGCACACGGGCCTGTCTGGTCCTCAGGCAGGGCTCTGGGCCTCCAGCGACCCTCCCGGCCCCGGCCGCCGTCTGCGCGGCCGCTCCTGCTCTGTGGGCACCTGAGGCCCCGCTGAAACCAGAAGCCACCCCTGGCTTTGGACAGCATTTTAGGCTGTGAAATTATCTGCTCTGCAAATGTCCGCTATTTGTTTGTATTATTTGCATTGCTTTACTACAAAGAATTCTCCCAGACCCCCTCCATTTTGAAATGTTCGGCGCGGTCAAGAGGAAGCCAGGCCAGTTTCTAACAGGAAGAAACTTTACTGGGCCCCGGGCGAGATTCGCCGACCCCCACAGGGAGTCTGTTGTGGGGGGAAATGCCCTTCCGTAGGGTGAGGAGAGGTGAGGCAGGACAACTGGGTTGGCAGCGGGGGAAGCAGGTTTAGGCGGAACAAGGTTGTTTCTCGTGGAGCCGAGTTGTTTTCCTCCTGTCTATGGCGTCAGTTTCGGTTTGATGGTGTCACTGGTCCTGGTGCCAGGGCCATGTTGCTATTTTCTTGGGGGCTTCCTCACTCCTGGCCCCTGCATGGACCTTTCACATTGTGTTGAAAATGGCGGCGTCTCCTTCTCTCCTATGGCCGAGCAGTATCCACGGTGGGAGGAGCTGGTCTCCGTGAGGAGCCTCCCCTCGTTGGGCACTTGCGCGCCTTCCTGGTCTGAGCCGTCAGGCGTGACAGCTGAGCACGCTGCGGAACAGACGGGTGCGGTGTTTGGTGGCTTCATGTCCACATGGTGTCCAGTGGGCTGCTGGGCCGCACAGTATTTCCATTTTTACATGTTTAAGATAAAGGCGGGGGCCTCCCTGGTGGCGCAAGCACAGCCCTGTGAAGCAATCCGCAGCTTCTGCAGCATGAGTTTGATCCCCGGCCAGCCAAGGAGCAAGCCACATGGCGCGTCAGACCTCTCCTGTCTCCCCGCTGCTCCCCTCAGCAGTGCATTTCAGTCTGCGGGTTCTGCTCCCCACTCTCTCTGGTGGATCCTCTCACCCGCTACACCTCTGGCCTACACCCCAGTTCCTGTATGCATAAATAATTTAAAAAATTTTTAAAAAATATAAGGAGACGGTCGTTTCCCCCCGTAGCTGCTTTATCACAGACATAATGTGTGTGCGTGTGTTTCTGGGATTTCAATTCTGTTCCATTGATCCGTGTATCTATTTTTGTGCCTATACAATATTGTTTCTAGCAGTGTTGCTTTAGTGTAACATTTGAGCTCAAGCAGTAGGATTCCTTCATTTTTCTCCCTTTTCCTCAGCTTTACTTTTTCAACTTGAGGTCTTTTTGGTTCCATATATAGCCTATATTTTGTATTCAATTTCTTTGGAAAATATTGTTGGCATGCTGATGGGGGGTTCCATTAAATTTATATATTATTTTCAGGGGCCTCCCTGGTGGTGCAGCGGTTGAGCGCTGGGTTGCGAAGCTGCCCGCAGCCTCTGCAGCGCTGGTTCGATCCCCGGCTGCTCCCTGGCCACCGGAGGAGGGTCCCACATGGTGTGCAGACCTCTCCTGCCGCCCGCTGCTCCCCTCAGCAGTGTCCTTCGGTCCTTCTGCCTGCTCTGCTCCCCGCTCTGGCTCGGGTGAATTCTCTCACCCTCCCGCGCTTCTGACTGTACCCAGTGCTTGTATAAATAAATAAATAAATCTTTTAAAAAAAAAAAAAAATAAATTTATATATTATTTTCAGCAAGATAGTGATTGTGATTATATTGATTCTCCCCATCCGTGAGCATGGGATTTCCTTCCATCTCCTTATGTCATTGTCTTTTAGTAACATTTTGTAATTCTCACTTTATAGGTCTCTTATCTTAGTAGATTAATTCTGAGGTATGTGATTCTCTGTGAAGCAATTATAAATGGAGGTATTCCTTAATTTCCTTTGCTTATTGTTTGTATAAAAAAGACTGTGGGTTGTTGCATGGTGATTTTGTTGCCTGCCATTTTGTTGTGTGCATCTAATAGCTTGTTTCCAAAAGCTTTTTGGCCAAGTATTTAAGATTTTCTGTATGTCATCTGCGATTCATGATCATTCCCTTCTTTCCTGATTTAGAGTCCCTTTATGTCCTGTCAGTGTCTGAATGCTTTAGCCACGTCTCTAATGTTAAAAAGCAATGACAGTGGACATCTTTATCTTGTTCCTAAATAAAAGGGAAAGCTTTTGGTTTTTCACCATTAAGTATTATTTGGTTGTTCTTTTTTGGTAATATATGGCCTTTAATATATTGAGATATTGAGATAGGTCTCCATATTCACATATTATTTAGTGGTTTTAAGGTAAAGGGTGTTGAATCTTATCAAATGCTTGCTCTGTATCAATTGATATCATATAATTTTTTTTTTTTGTGGGACCCTTGCCGGCGGCCCAGCGCTCAACTGCTGCCCCACCAGGGGTGGCCGGATATCATATAATTTTTATCTGTATTTTGTTGATGTATTACATTGATTGATTTATGTATATTGAACAATTATTGCATACCTGGGATTAATTCCACTTGACCTTTGTGATAAATCATTAATTGTAATTGGCTAGCATTTGTTGAATTTCTCCATCAGCGTTCCTGAAGGATATTGGTCTATAATTTTTTTTAAAGATTTATTTATTTATGCATACAAGAGCTGGGGTTTAGATCAGAGGTGCTGGTGGGGGTGGGAGGTCAGAGGATTCACCAGAGACAGAGCGGGGAACAGGACAGGTGGACTGACTGAAACACACGGCTGAGGGGAGCAGCGGGGAGACAGGAGAGATCTGCTGCGCCATGTGGGTTGCTCCCTGGCAGGGGATAACCCAGGCCTCAGAGGCTGGCAATAGCTTGATAGCGCTGAGACTTTACCCCCACGCACCAGGGAGGCGTTCAACTTATTTGTTACCTCGAGTGCCCTTTGTCATATTCTGCAGTTGTATTCTGTTTACTTTCTCTTTTTTCCCCAGCAGTTGTGGCATATTCTACTTTCACATTTAAAATTTTTATAGACAGGGATAAACTGTCAGATTGTTTTCTGGCATCCGTGGGAGTATCAGACAATTGGCATGGGCGAGGGCACAGGATAAATGAGGACTGGGGCAGGAGGGCACCGACGGGCCCTCTCTGGTGTCAGGGAGTCAGTCCCCCTCCCGGGCCTGGGTACCAGAGTTGTAGTGGGTGCTCAGGGGCCCCTCTGCATGCCATCTCTCGGTCTTATCGGCTCGTAGTCTAGTGCCCACTTCCATGCTAGGCGATCTTTGACCACTAGATGCAAGGCTGGGCAAGGGCTCCAGCTGGAATGAGGTCACAGCCTGCGAGCTTATCCTCTCCAGCCCTGCCCTGGGTGCCCTTTGGCATAACAGGGGCGAACTCCACGCTGTGAGCGCGCTCCTTTGTTTTGGTTTGTCCTGGGATGGGCAGGGCAGGGGTTCTGAATAGCCAAGCCTCATAGCAGTGGCACCAACGCAGGCTGTAGCTGCTCAGTATTGGGCCTCGGGATGCACCAGTTTCCTTGTTTTGCACACGGATTCCTAAAGCTCTCGGCAGTGCAACCTCTGGCCTACGCGCCGAGTCTGCAGGCCCCCTTACCAGTGCAGCGCTGGGCATGAGAACCCCTGTATTGGCGTGTGTCTGAGCCTGCACAGCGGCCAGCCCCTCTCTGTGGGCTATGCTGCCCCTGAATCGCTACAAACACTTTCACTTAGTATTTCCGGCTCCTCCTGCCAGAGGCTTGGTCCTGGCGTGAGCTCCGCTTCTGTCCCTCCCTCGGGGCCTTGGCTGTGTCTGCTGCGATCTAGCGGGGATCACTTTGCCACCATGGTGCAAACTCTAAGCACATAACCCTCGGGTTCCTCCTTTTCTTCCTTCCAGCCCCCACTTCTATTAAACCTGTCCTGGCCTCCACGCTGGGGAGACACATTGGAGCTTTGCCTTCTCTCTCCCGGCAGGGTCGTCAGGGGAGAACATTCACTTTCTTTCCTCAAGAGCTGGCTCCCTAGTGCTTCGTTTCTACCCAGGTCAGGCAGCAAACTGTTGCTTGGAAATAATTTCTTGCCATGGTCCTGCACAGAGACAGAAAACGCCGAGAAACTGCACTTCGTGAACATGAACGGCTACCGGACAGCAGAGGACGAGAGGCCCCAGAGAGGGAGAGCCGGCAAATCACGTCTCTGAGAAGAGCCAGACCCAACTTGCGTACGAAACGCCAGACAGTCAGGGAACAAAACACACGCCCCAAAAAGTCACAGAAGGAAACACCCCCCATCCGTTTTGTACTGACGGGCTTCACGTCTACACGAGGAGACGTTGCTCCGAGACCAGGGGCGGGCGGCAGCGCAGGCTCGGCGTTCTCGGGCCACCCCAGACGCCCCGGAGCACGGCTGCGGGCAACGGACAGAGCCCCGCGGTGCCGCGTGGTCCGGAGCCCTGGACCTTTACCGGACCGCTGGGGGGATGGACCGGACACGGCTCCCGCGGGTGCCGCGCGGAGCTTCCTCAACACTTCATCCAAATGGGACGACGCACCGTCCTGCGCCGGGGACCGGGACCCGTGGTTGGCGGCACGGTGACCCCCGCCCGGCCCGGTTTGGGATGATCCGTCCGGCCCCATCCCATGATGACACAACAAGGCCGGCGAGTCAGCCCGGGGCGCTGGCACCAGGAGCCGCACCCCACAAACCATGACCTCTCCAGGGCGCTTCCTGGAGAGCAATGGCCTCTGCGGTAGGAGGTCACCGCCGCCGGGCTAGGTGCTGACCCCACGTCGCTCTGGGGCCGATGCGAGCCTCGGCCTGGTCGAGCCCGGCCACCCCCTGTCCCTGAGACCGACGCCCCGACATCAGCCTGCTGAGCGTGACCTGCGGGGGATCCCACATCTGGGGAGTTCTGGGGACTCTGCCACAGCCCCTCACACCCAAGGCGTCCGTGTCCACTCCCTCGGTCCCTCCAGTCCTCTGCTCTGCCTGACTCCCGGGGAAGACTCCTGCGTGGACTCGTGAGCCGCCAGGACAGCCGCGCCGGCCTCCACGTGACGGGGCAGAGAGTGACAGCGGCCCGGGCTCAGGTGGCCACCCCGGAACATGAACGCAAAGGTCAGGACAGACGCAAGCGGCAGGGGTGGGCTGGCTGGGGAGGCTGCGGAGGCCCCGTGACTCCAGGATGAGGGGGTGCGGGCCCGCCAGGTCAGGCCGGAGCCACAGGCTGGTTTATTGTACAGCGGGGTTCCCGGCACAGAAGTGGGGTGGGGGCTGGCTGCCCCCCGCTAGCGGGGCACTGCGCACAGCTGATAGGGGGCGGGGGTGACCAGCATGGCAAAGACCCCACGGTCGCTGGGCGGGGGCTGCCCCGCAGGCACGGAGAAGCTGAAGCGCTGCAGGAGGCAGGTGAAGAAGAGGAAGAGCTCCATGCGGGCCAGCGGCTCCCCGAGGCACGAGCGGCGGCCTGTGGCGGGATGGGGCAGGTGAGCCGAGAGGGGACCCCCCACCTCCCGAGTCCCTCGGCCGGCCGGCCGGGCTCCCCGGGCACCTGCTGAGAAGGGCATGAAGGCCTCCTGCCTCACGAAGCGGCCCTGGGCGTCCAGGAAGTGCTCGGGGTGGAAGCGGTGCGGCCTCTTCCAGATGGTCTCGTCCTTCAGCACCGAGGACAGGTTGGGGAAGAGCGTTGTCCCCTGGGGGAGAGGCCCGGCATGGGTGTGCTCTGGGCTGGGGGAGCCAGATACCCCACCCCACCCCCGCCAAATACCCCGGGCACAGAGCTGCTTCCTGGTCACTACACCTGGCACTCCAGGAAACTTCTGGAAGCTCCATGTCTCCTTGACACAGCTGGTGAGCAGCCTGCCCCCAGAGGCGTCCTTGCCACCTGTCCTGCGTGCCGGGGCTCCCCCACACTGGCAGCTTCAGCTTGTCTCCCCACCCGACCGGGGCTGGGTGTGGACAGGGCAGGCCCCGCCTCTGCTCTCATCCCCACCAGGCTGCACACCGGGTCCGCTGGAATTTCTGACTGGGCGGCTCGGGAGCAGTCCAGGTGCCGCCTGGCCACCCGCCAGCAGCCAGCAGGGACAGGAGGTGCAATCGGGGAGGAGAGCGCAGGCCTACCTTGGGGATGAGGAAGCCCTGCACTTCGATGTCTCGGGAAGTCATGTGGGGCACGCCCAGAGGGATGATGTCCCCGAATCGCTGCACCTCGTGGACCACGGCCATGGTGAAGGGCATGCGGGCCTGGTCCGCCATCTCTGGTCGCCGCCCCTGCCCGATCACCTCATCGATCTCCTCTTGGACTCTGCCTGGACAGACAAGCGTCCCCACAGTTGTGAGCACCCGGCACAGGCCCACGCCCACCTCCTCCTGACCCCAGACAGGGGACTGGGCCCACGGGGACCGGTTAAGCTGTGGGCCTCTGATCAGAACTCCCGGAGGCCGAACCAAGGTGGGGGCATAGATGCTCCCACTACCATGCATCACCCCGTTCCCCAGGGCCCCAGGCCGGGCTCACGCTGCACATCGGGGTGCAGGATCATGAGCAGGAGGGCCCAGGCCAGTGTGGTCGAGGTGGTCACCATCCCGGCAAAAAACAGATCAGACACCACCATGCGCATGTTCTCCTCATTGAAGCTGCTCTCCGGGTTCCCCTTGGCCTGGATGGTGCAGAGAGGGTGGGCTCAGGGCTGGGGTAGGAGACCCCAAATATTTCCAGCTCTCCCCTACCATTTCAGAGCCTGATCACCGGGCGTTGGGCCCACAACCCACACCTCACCTTCTCCACCTGGTCCAGGAAGGCGTCGGCCAGGTCTCGGGGCGGCTGGTCTGGGCTGCGGCTCAGCCTGTGCTCAGTGAGCAGCTCGCCCAGGGTGCTCATGAAGAGCTTCGGTCCTTCCAGTATCTTGGCCGCGAGCCCGGGGATGCGCAGGAGCACCGGCATGGAGTTCAGCAGCTGTGGGGCCAGGGTTGGGGTCCTGCTGCACCATGAGCCCCGCTGCCTCCAGGTCACCCACCGTCCACCTGTTCCCCCAAGTGCCCTTCCCGGCCCTCTTTCCTGGGCCAGAGCTGTCAGGACAGACCTAAACTCTGAACTGTTTGGGCTGCCAACGTTCCTGTTCCGCCTCGTGTGCACAAATGCTCTTCCAGGTGTAACTAGCTCGGGCCCAGGAGTCCTGGGGCGCGCCTGTCCCCCCGCCGGGCTGGCCCCCCGCCCGCACCTGCTGGAGGAGAATGTTGTCGTCCCTCAGGGCCGTCTCCATCATGTTCACGATTCTCATGAAGCTCGGGTCGTCGTACTGGAAGCGGCGCCCGAAGATGAGCGAGGCGATCACGTTGCCCACCGCTTTATCCAGGAGCAAGTGGGGGCTGAAGGGGCGCCCTGGGGGGGCAGTGAGGTCAGGGGGGCCTCCTCCCGCGCCCGGCCCCCCCCTCGCCGCCCCCAGCTCTCACCCGCCTGCTCGGCGATGGCGGCGCAGAGGCAGGTGGCCTCCTCGGTCACCCACTGCTCCAGGGACTTCTTGCCCAGGCCGAAGTCGCGCAGGGTGGACACGGAGAAGCGCCGCTGCTCCCGCCACGCGTGCCCGTAGCGCGCCTGGACCACCCCTGGGGCGGGGAGGGGCGGGGCTGAGCGCTGGCCCCGCCCCCCGTGCGCTGTTGCCCCGCCTCATCCCTCTTCCCCCCCCCCCCGACCCCCCACGTGCCCAATTGGCCGAGGTCCCAGCCCGCCCCGCCCCTTCGGTCCAGGCCCCACCCCTTTCCTCCCAGCCCGCCCCGCCCACTCGGCCCCTCCCCTTTCCGTCCAGGCCCCGCCCACGCCAGCCCCGCCTCACAGCTCGCGCGCGCTTGGGTCTCCCCTTCGCGCACACCCCCCCCTGTCCCCAGGCTGGGCTCAGGCTGCACATCGGGGTGCAGGATCGTGAGCAGGAGGGCGCAGGCCAGTGTGGTCGCGGCGGTCACCATCCCGGCAACAAGCTGATCAGGAGGCCGCGCCCGCCCCTCTGCTCTTTCCCGACCCCCTGAATCCTGGGGCGCAGGAAGAGCCCCCAGTGACCTCGGGCACCGCCCACACAGGCTCCGCCCGCGCCGTCAGCCCCGCCCACCCCGCGATAGGGCCGGCCCCGCCGATCCTCCCCGAAGCCCGCTGGGCCGCAGCAGACGCTCCCGCCGGGACTGTCGCGGCCTCCACTTGGGCCCACGGGGTCCGCCGCGCTGCCCCCTCCGCTTGCCTTGGGCGCGCGGCCCGAAGCCCAGGTGCTCGAACAAGTGCACAGGTGGGCGGTCGGAGGAGCCCTCTCCGCGGTCCACCAGCGCCTCTCGCACGGCCGCGAATCCGTTGACGACCACCACGGGCGTCCAGCCCAGCTGCAGGCTGAACACGTCGCCGAAGCGGCCCCGAAGCTGCAGCCGAGGGTCGTGGGGTCAGGCAGGCCTGAGCCCGCCTGCTCTAGTCCCGGTCTCCTCGTCCCGGGGCTCCCCGGTTTGCCTAGACAGGGGGTGCGTGGGCTGCATCTGAACCCCAAGCCTGGGATCGCATCCCGCGTGGTGCATCCCTCCTCCAGCTGGGGCTGGTCACCGGCGCGCACCGGCTGCAGGCCAGGGTCGGCGAGCGGGGCCTGCGCCCATGTTACAGGTGAAGCAAGCGAGGGCCGCAGGATGAGCAGCGAGGAGCAAGAACCCCCCGGGCGCACAGTCTGAACCCGTCACGGCACTTCTCTCCCCTGCCGTCACAGGTGCTGAAGCGGGGCGTCCTCTCCCCATTCTCTTGTCCTCGCCCCCGACAGAGTCCAAGAGACCCGACTCACACCACGCCAGCCTGGCCAGCTGGGGAGTCCACCCCACGCCGGCCTTTGCCCTCTCTGACCTTCCTTGGAAAACTGCGCGTGTCCTTGAGCCCTCACCAGGGCCCGCCCCCCGGGGCCTCGGCCTCTGCCGCCCCTGTGGGCCCAGTCCTTGTCCAGCCCGCGGCCTCTCCCCACCCGGGCCTGGCCCTCGTGAGGCCCCAGGACGCGCCCCCTCCTCACCCGGCTCATGGAGTACGGCACGTTATTGAAGTCGAGCTGCAGCAGGTTGCCCAGCCCCGGCACAGGCGTGGGGCCTGGCGGGTAGCGGCTGGCCCAGCGAGCTCGCCGGTGCATGAGGTCCACGAGGAGCAGGAACACGGCCACGGCCACGGCCAGGAGCCCCAGCGTGTCCCCGGTCAGCAGCGCCATGGCTCCTCAGGGCTCACCGGGCTCCTCCGGGCACCGCTGGCCTGTCTCCACCCAGGCACCGGGACCAGGACAGGCAGGCCCTGCCACCACCCCACCTGGCGCCCTGCCAGGCCCTCTATAAACGGAGCTGAGCCTGGACTTTGCTCTGAGCCAACGGTGGGGCTGACTGGCAGCCAGATGATGAAAAAGGGGCCTGGAGGCGCAGGGTGTCCCACAGTCCTGCCCACGAGCTCGTAGGTGGGGATAGGAGTGGGGGAAAGAGGCAAGTCCCCCCCCCAGGTCACTCACCCCACTCTCCTGGCCTGTGTGCTCAGAGAAGGGGTGTTCAGACTTGACCTGGCCCCAACCTCCCGCCAGGCTCGTGGACCCGAAAGTGGCTTTACCCTTGTCCCCAGAAAACAGCCCTGTCCGGCATCGGTCTCCCGCCTCCTCTGCTGGCTCGGCCTGGTCACTGCAGGGGGCGACAGTGATGGAGGCTTGGGCGTGGGCAGAGCTCCTGGCGTCCCCTCACCTCCCAGCGTCACTGACTCCCTGATGCAGCTCCGCAGCCCAGTCCACCGACACCCAGGACGGCCCGCTCGGGAATGCTGACGCTACGTTCATCCCGCGCCACAGACTGCGCCCCTCAGCAGCCGCAGCACTGGTCCTCCGCCCCCCGACTCTCCCGGGGCTGCAGGTGCGGATGCCCCCCTGGCTGCTGGCCTTGCCACCGGGCCGACCTGGTCCTGGCAAGGATGACTCTGGGGGTGGGGGCAGTAGGGCGGTTTAGGCCCTGGCACCCTGATACCCTCCTAGGGTTGCTGCAGATTGGCCTTGGGCTCCCCGGACCCCGGGCGGGATCTCATGGCTGTGAGGAGACTCAGCCGGGTGGGGCTGGGGGCTCTCCCTTGGCTGAGCAGCCGTCAGCTCGTCAGCTCGGCCGTGGGTGTCTGACCTCAGAGCAGCGGCTGCCGCCTCCTCTGACCATTTGCGCTTGAACATCAGCCCCTCAAACTCTGGAAGGCGAGGGGCTGGGAATCAAGCGGGGAGCATGTCCTTTCCTGTGCCCTCCTGGTCCGGCTGAGGACCACAAAGAGGGGATTCTGGACCTCCCCGCCTCCTAGGCTGGGGTCCCCTGCTCCAGCCCCCTCCCTTCAGCCTCTGTGGTCCTTAAGGCCAGCGGCCTCCCTGCAGCCACACCAGCCAGCGCCGCCTCCCGCCTAGAGCCGTGCCTGTCCCACTGTCCCTCTCACTCGGCCTCTTGCTCCCGCCAAGCAGGGGGCTGACCGCACCATGAAGGGCAGGGTCGCGGCCACTGGCCTCACACCCACCTGCAGCTGGACGGGGGGATCGGAGGCAGAGTCTTCCTCCCCGAAGGGGATGGGAACTCTGAAGCCAAAACCCACTCACACGGGAAGGTGCGGGCCGAGGGCGGACGGCCCGTCCCCAGCCTGCGCAGCCCGGGCGGGAGACAAGCTCTCATTCTGAAGACAGCTGGAGCATCTCCTGTCCTGGCCCTTCCTGCAGCTGGCCTTGGCCCCGGGATGGGCGTGGCCTGGGCCTGGGTGGGGGGACCCCTGGGCCCTGCCCCAGGGCACTCCCAGGCCAGGCCAGCAGTGAGGAGAGTGCTTTGGGGGTCCGGAGCCGCTGACCCCGGCTGGGGCAGGGCTGGCAGTTAAGATGGCCTGGCCTGGCCTGTGCAGGCGGTAACGCGGGCAGAGGGGGAGGCAGCTGGACACTCTGGCTCTGCAAGAATCCGGGGAAGACGGGATTCTGGGGTCCCTGGGAAGCAGGGAGACCAGTTTTGAGGCCACTCCACAGACCGGGAAGGCAAGACCCACCGGCACGCGAGGGACTTCCAGGACCAGCCTGCGGCCTCTCCCCGGGCCTGAGCCCAAGCTCCTTCCCGGCCGGCGGCGACTTCGGCCCCAGAACGGCCGGGGGCCGGGGCTGCGGGCGGCTGGCGGGAGGGTGTGCGTTTTCGTCAGGGCCGTGACCCGTGCCTTGGAAAGGTGACGCGCACCCCAAGGAGTGCGGCCGGGGGCGCCGACAGCCGGTCCTCCAGGCCGCGGCCTCGCCAGCGCGGGGAGCGGCTCGGCCGGCGCTGCGCACCGCGGCCCCGGCGCCCGGCTCGGCGGGCGGAGTCTCGGCAGCGCCGGGCCCGGCTCAAAGTTCGCCCCGCGCCGCCCGCGCGGCGCCGCCCCCCGGGCCAGCGGCCGAGCGTCCCCCCGAGACGCTCAGGCCCCGCGGGCTCGTCCGGCGCGGCCGCCGGGGCTGCGGGGGCGCCCCGAGGGGTCCCGGCCACCGCCCCCAGACCCGCGTCCGCGCGGCCCCGCCAAGATGGCGGACGAGCGCCCCGGCGGGCTCCCGGGCCCCCCAAGGCGCGGGGCGGCCCCCGCGGGGGCGCCGGGAAAGGGCGCGCCCGCCCGGCCCGACCCCCCCGGGCCCCCCGCGGCCCCCCGGAGGAAGCCCCCGCCCGCGCCCCCGGGACGGGCCCGGCCCCCGCAGCCCCGGGGGGCGCGGCGCCGCGGGCCTCACCTGCTCGCTCGGCCGCGGGCACCGCGACGGGGCCGGGGCCGGGGCCGGCGGGGGCCGGCGGGGCGGGCGCGGGGGCGCCGGGGCGGGGCGGGGCCTAGGCCGGGCCGAGGAGCGGTCGGAGCCGGGAGGCGGCGCTCGGGCCCGCCGGCTTCGTGCTCTTGGGTTAACCACACTTCCCGGGGGCAGGGGCCGGTCCGCGGTCAGGCCGGGGCTCCCCCGCCCGGGGCTCCCTGCAGGCGGCGCCAGAGCGGGGGCGTCTCCCGCCGAGTGGACCCCGGGGCCGCGCCCGCCTTCCCGAAGGGGCGAGCTGGGCGCGCGGGGCCAGCCTGCCGGGCGCGGCGCGGACGCCCGAGGGGGAGCCTCGCGCCACGCTGCGGCCCCAGCCCCGCGCAGTGGGGGGCTGTGCACGTGCGGGCGGGGGGCACAGGCCTCGTTCCTTCTGCTCCCCACTAAAGTTGCTCCAAAAAACCAGAAAGCCCCTCAACATTCCACGAAGTCAGAAGCAGCAGGCGCTGGAGGGCACGCGGGCTGCCGCCGTCTCCTGCTGTCCACGGACAGCCACGCCCGAGCGGCCACTCCCGAGGCCAGCGCGGGCCCGCGCCCCCTTCTGCACCCCAGCAAGCCGGGGCGGCGGGGGGAGACGGCACGTCCCGGACACACTTGCTGGCGGGGAAAGATTTTCCTCCAGACTTTTTCCGGGTTGTGCGGCGGCGCCCTCGCCGCCCGGACCGTCCCTGTCGCTGACCCGGTGTGGGCGCCAAGGGGGGGGAAGGGGCCCCGCGGGAGGAGGGGGCCGCGCTGCCGGCTTCTCCCGGCTCCACGTCCCTGCCGGCCTTTCTGTCCCTGCGAGTCCACTAGCGCCGCCTTGTGGTTTCACAACCGTTAAAGTCAGGGGTGACGGGCAACACGGCCTCCCCTGGCGGAGGGGACCCGCCGCCGCCGCCCAGGCCCTGCGCCACGGGCCGCGCTGGGCCGGCACCGCCAGGCCGGGGGTCTGTGGGGGGCAGAGCCAAGCCACCGGGGGGGGGGGGGGGGGGGGGCTCGGGGCGGGGAGGGCCGCGCGCACGTCACACTTCACGGAAAAGGAAACAAGGTTAAAATGAAGTTTATTATTTTTTTGAATTTTTTTTTTTTTTAAATAAAACTGTTTGTGAAACAGCTATTTTCTCCCCATGGCCGAGTGACCCGTGAAAGATGCACTAACCCCTTCTTAAGGCCTTAACAAGATTTTTTTGTACTTTTTCTTCTTTTTTTAAAACTCAGATATTTAAAAATTATACAATTTACAAACAAAACAGCACAACATAAAGAATCCTGTGGCGAGGGGCTGCTCCGCAGACAGGCCCCCCTTTCCTTACAAAAACGAAAGCGAAAAGAAAAAGGGCCCCCCCGGGGCACCCCTGGCGCCCTCACCCACCCGCCCGCCCCCCTCCAGCTCGGACTCCCGCCCACCCGGCGGGGGACTCGGGGCGCTCACCGGCCGGTCACCCGGGACACAGCTGTGGCCTTGGGGCATCTGCCAATTTCATCTCCCCCAAAAGATAAAAATTTAAAAAATAATAAATAAATAGTGTTTCTGGAAATGAAAAAAATTTATTTGTGTTGAAACATCATCCTCTCACGCCGGGCAACATGGAGTCCCCCCCTCCCCAAGCACCCCACTTGTGACAAACCGACCACGACCAGGGCCGCTCGGTGGGGCAGCGGCCGGCCGGGCACCGGCAGGGGCAGGGAGCCGAGCTCCAGGCCGCCGCCACGCGCGTCCTCAGGAGATGAGTGTGTTCCTTCAGTTTCGTATTCAGATTTCACTGCTGCGGGAGCGAATTTGGAATTCTCCACCGGGTCATTTTAAAATAGAATCAAAAGGGATAGCGCACCTTTCATTAGACAAAGTCTTTCCAGACTAAAAATAGATTTATAATATATATATTTTTATCCCTCCCTGTCATTCCCCCCACCCTTTCCCGTCTCCCCTCCCCTCCCCCCTCCCCCCACATTGTCACTATGGAGATTGTGTCCATGGAAACAGCCATCCCGACTTCTTGGGTCTCTGCTGTGGTGTCACCGGGTTGAGTGTGATGTAAGAACTTAGGAAGGAGGCGCTGGCGTGGGCAGGCACGGCGGGGGCGGGCGGGGGCGGCTGCTCAGTAGGACGATCCCATTCCATCGCGAGTGTCCACCACCTTCTCATCTCCACAGTCTCACCTGCAAGACAGGGCACACGTGGGTGCCGGGCAGCCCCGCCGGTCCTAGGGCCGGCTCCCGGCCCCCGCGGGCGCTGGGAGGACTCCCAGGCAGCAGCCCCCTCTTGGGGGGGGGGATGGGGTGGCTCCGGGCCAGGTCTCACGCCTGCCTGCCCCCAGCACATGGAGGGACAAGAGCTGGGCAGGGCTGCGGGACGGGGACGGGCCGCGCTCCCAGGAAGCCTGGCACAGGGCCCCGCCCCAGCGGCTGCCTAGTCAAGCTGTGAGAACCGTCACGACCCCCTCACAGGAACCCCCCACTGCAGCTTCAAGCTGATAACCCGCTCTGCACCCTAACGCTCCTCCGGGGAGCCGGGGAGAGAGCAACCACAGCTGTCCTCGGGCGCGCCCTCCAGGCTCTCCAGGTGGCCCCTGCCTCCAGCATCTCCTCTTCCGGACCTGGAAGATGTCCTAGCAGCCCATGTGGAGGCTGTAGCAGGGGCCTCCTCGATGCTTCCTGGTCATCACGTGGGCAGTCTCAGGGAGACGGCGTTTCCAAGGAATTAAGTTCAAAGAGAATAAACTAGAAGCCCAGGGCGGCGGCGGCAGCCTCGCCTGCACTGGCTTTCTGGGGAGCTGGTGTGTTGGGTCTCCTCGCCAACAGACGTACCTCAGAAAACCGACTAACAGGCAAGATAAAGGCTGCTGTGTGCTGCTGAGCTGAGGCCATTGGCAACACACACCTCCCGCCCGTGCCCAGGCGACCGCCCTCACTGCTCAGCAGAAAACACACCTCTGTAGGAAGGCGCTTGGCAGAAACAGCAGAATGAGGTCGCTCACTCACTGGCCTGTACAGGCAGAGCCCACCTGGGGACGTGGCCAGTGGCCGGCCTGTCCTGGGGGTGGAGGCCCTAGTGCCGGCTTAGGCCCCGCACCCCTCACAGGGAGACCCACCACAGCCACACTTTGCTGCTGAGGCTCAGGCTGCCAGTGTGAAGGGGACAGCGGCCTTCTGACCACCTCCCCCCCTGCCCCCCAGCAAGCCAAGACTCTCTGCCAAGGTGCTGACAGGGTGGGGAGCATGGAGGGCCTCAGGCAGCACCAGACAGTCCCCAGGGTGCAGAGGCCAGAGGCCCCGCAGCACTGTGCTCTGAGGGAGCCCTAGGGCAGTCCCCCACCCCTGCCGTGTTCAGCAGTCTCCGGTCTGCATCCCCATCAGACTGCTCTGAGCACACGATCCCTGGATGTAACGGGACCCGAACTTCTCTGAGATATAAAAACTACTGAGTTATGGAACTCTAAAAACTACTCCTCAGGGAGAATGGCAAGAAGTTCTTTATGCTCCTATGAAGCACCAGGCACTGTCGGGCCTGCCCCCCATCTCGGAAGTGAAGATGCAGAAGCCAGGTGAGGTGCATGGCTGGCCAGAGGGGAACAGGATCCCCCTGGTAAACTCCCTGACGGGCTCCAGGGACTCTGCGCTTCTCCTCAGTGGCTATGTGGTCCTGTCCCCCAGCTGAGGGGGACAGGAGCCCCAGCATGAGCAGGGAGCAGATGCTAGGAAGCCAGCGGCCACTGGGAGTGGACCCAGGTGACAAGTAACCAACTGGATGACAAAGCACAAGTGCCTGACGCCCGGTAGTAGACAGGCACGAGCGGGAGGGGCCGTTTCAGGGGAGACTCGGGGAAGGTGGCGTCTGTCAGGAAGATGAAGCAGCACCAGCTCAGAGGTCTGAAGCACTAGTCCTGGGGAGGAAGCCCGGCCTATCTGAGCCTTCCAGAGACTTCTGAGGGTTCAGAGGCACAGTGGAGTCTGGACTTGATTCTAAATTTGACAAGAACCTCTGAAGAAAGGAGGGGCAGGACGGGAGGGAGGTTTGCTGGGGTGGCGCTCCGGTCCTGAGAGGCTGGGCCTGTGCAGAGCAGCGACTGTGGGGTCGGGGCAATCTCTTCATGTGAGTTGGGGTGTGTAGCCTCCAACGCGGCAAAAAGACACTGCTGGGAGGAGGCCGAGCCCTGGGGGGCCCTTCTCTGCCACAGGATATGTCCGGGGCTCACTGTTGGAGCCTGCCCACCACCCAGAGCCAGCACAAGGAGCGCACGGCTGGCCACATTGCCAGCTGCTCCCAGAAATGGGCAGAAGGCCCATCCAACAGGCGATGGCAGAGGTGCACAGCCCAGAGTCCTGGGATTGGGGCTGGATAGGCACCGCTGCCCAGTCGGCAGCCTCAACCCCTCCAGCTCCGGTCATGCTCAGCCAAGCAGCAGGCCAGGCCAGCAAGTGGCCGCCTGGCCCTGCCCCGTCGCTGCCTGCCGGGTGGGCCGCTGCTCCTCTCACACGTGGGACAGGAGCCTGGTCACACAGCACTTCCCACAGCGCGGTGCGAGTGGGCGGCTACTCTTTATCTTCTGTTCCTCGGCCCTGCCAGGGCACCCGACAGCCCGGCCCTGGCACGGACCCCAAGACAAGTGCTCGGGGGGAAGGTTGGCGTTTCCGGTCCCATGGGCTGCAGAATGTGATCGCCCACAGAAACCCATGGATCACCCAGGGTGAGGGTCCAGCTTCGGAGCAATAAGGGGAGAGACACGCAGGTGGGCAGAGGGGGTGCACTATGCCCGTCCTTTCCTTCCCTCCCGAGGTGACCGACCTGAGCTGCAAAGGAGGGAAAACAGCCCCCCTCGGTGCCTGCATTTCTTTTGAATCAACAAGAACAAGGACCACAGCCTCCCCGTGGCGAACAGCAAAGTGAGCGGTGAGCGGAGGACAGAGATGCTGAGCGAAATTCCCGGGAGGCAGCCCAGGCCCAGAGTTCTCCTCTCAGACACAGGCAGCGTACCAGGATGAAACCAAACTGCTGGTGCCTCCCGAGCTCCTTCTGGGAAGCCACCGTGTCTGAGAACGGCTCCCGCCTCCGGGCCAGGCAGAGGGCCCCACGGGAGAGGCAGGGCCAGGCCAGGCAGGGCCACACCCGGAGCGCACAGCAAGCCGGCACTTCCACGGAAAACCACCCAAAATGCTCTTTGCCCTGAGAACTGCTCAGCAGCGAGGGGTGGAGTCAGGGGGCCCGGAGGTGCTGGAAGCCCACTGGCCGCTGCACATGGTCCCCCACGCAGCCTGGGTTGGTGGCTGGTACCCGCCATGCAGTCCCCTGCCCAGACGGCCCCTCCCTTCCAGCCCCGCCCCTCACACAGCAGGAGGGAGGGACCCCCACACTGAGGAGGACAACGACATTGGACATTGGGAGACACAGTCTTCACAGCCGTTGGATACTCAGGAGGAGAAGCGGCCCCTCCAGCCGGGGTCCAGCGCCGGGGCGGGGGCTGCACAGGACAGAAGCCCTAACAGACAGCCCGAGGCCCGGCCGGCTGCCGGCTCCTTCTGCGGTCGCCCCCCTCACTGCTGCGCGAGGGCGAGGGCCGGGCGGGCCATCCCGCTTCCCTGCACACGCTCAGCGCCGCTCGCCTCAGCGCTTTGGAGTAAAATGGACTGAGCAGATACGGCGTGGAGGGGGAGCCGCCGCCGCGGGACGCCGGGAGCAGGGCAGGGGCAGCAGCGCCGGCCCCCGAGGACCCCGCGAGGCCGGCTCCGAGGCCGTGCTGAAGGCCCCCGCCTTCCCAGACACTCCAGGGAACCCAGCGGCTAAGGGACAACCCTCCGCCTGGCGTGGGCATCGTGGCGGGCGCGGGCGGGCAGAGGCGGCCCCGCTCGGCCTGGCAGGGGGACGGGCGCCCGCGCCGACTCACCTGTGCTTGCTGTACTTTCCATCCCGCGCGCACTGCCCCCCTCACCCCCGCTCCGACTGCTCTGTGCTGAGGCTGCCTTTCGCTGTCCTGTTCTGCAGCGGGGGGAGAGGGCACGGGAGGGGAGGCTGAGGCCGCAGAGGCGGGAGACAGAGGGGGCGCGTGCGGAGCGGGGAGGGCGGGGGAGGAGCGGAGTGGCACATGGAGAAGGAAAGAAAAAGCACAGTCAGTGTTGAAGACAAACGGGACGTGCTCGGACAGGGTTTTCTGAGGCAAAATGGGACCATTAAATGGGAAGTTTAAAAAAACATAAGTAAAATGAAGAGAATGCGGCGAGATCCGTCTCTGGAAACCATTTTTAAAGAAAAGCACAAGCAAGCATCTCTCCCAAGTGCTCTGAGGGCAGAGCTGTCAGGATGACCTCTTTCTAGTATTTTCTAGCTCAGCTTCACCATGGAGCCCGAGTGGCCAGCGACCACCAGGTGTCAGTGTGACCCCAGCCAGGAGCGCCGCAGGCCCGTCCCCTGCTCGGCGCAAGCCGGCCCGCGGCGCCTCAGAACAAGTCCGCCCGCGCCCCCCTCCAGTTCCCTGCGTGCCTCCTGAATTAGCTGCGGGACGAGGGGGGGGCAGCCGACCATCGGCCTCATCCTCAGACAGACACGCCTCTAGGGGCCCCCGAAACCGGTGGACATCAGCAGCTTCACTGAGTTTGCTTTCATATCACTTAGTGAACAAACACGGCCCCCCATTTTCTCCCAGCCCCTAAACTGGGCAGGATGAGGGGCCTGCCCTGCCCCCAAGCCACCTCTCGCACCCTCCAGGGAATCCTTCACCCCCAGCCCAGGGGGACACAGGCGCTCGCGCTGACTCACCTTGTGCTTGGGGCACCTCACCGAGAAGTTCTCCTCATGCAGCAAACAATCTGCAAGACAGGAGGGGACAGTCAGAGCCGGGGTGCGGGCTCGCGCTGCCAGACGGGGTCAGATGTGGAGATGGAGCCCCCTACTCTGACTTGCGACAGGAACCATCAGAGACACCCACATATAACTGTGGCACCTCAGCACGACAGAGCATCAGTCCCTTAAGCAGCCCACATTTCCAACCAGTTCACCACTCGGGACGGGCGGCTGCTGGGAAACCAGGACACACGCACATACGCACACGGGCCTGAGTTCACAAAGATGCCTCATGTGCAATAAAAACAAAGGAAACCTACCGACGTCAAGTGATTCTCTTTGAATAGCAAGATTATAGGGGATCCCTGCCTCCCCATGATACCATATTCTTACATGGAAACAAACTCCAGACACATTTTTTAAACCCCCCCATCCCAGGTCAGGGCCTCCAGGCCCACGTCAAAGCTCCCTGCGGGGACGCCTGGAACAAGGGCTCTAGTGACAGAATGAGGCTGGGCCCCGGGGACCCGGGAGCAGCTCCCCCACAAACCACCCGGACTGCTTCCCAGGATACTGGGACCCACGCGGGGCTCTTCATCCCGGAGGAAAATGAGTCAGTCCGGCTCTGATCAGGGGACAGCGGCGCGGCGGCGGCAGGACCTCCGCCCCAGGTGAGCGGCCTGTGGCGCAGGCAGGTGTGCGAAGCGGGGAGGAAATCTAATTAACGTGCTCACCCTGCGCACCACAGCGCCCGCAGACCGACAGCCGGGTCAGCGGTGCAAGATGCGGAGGCAGGATGCTAATAAATATTGATGGCACGTTCTCAGCGAGCTCCCCGGCGCCGTGGCGGGAGGCAGCCACGCTACTTAGCCTTGTTAAATCTGCAATTTAACTCAGGTCTTAACTGAGGTCCACATCAGCTGCCAGTGGACGCGCAGATTTCAAGAGAGGGAGTCATAAGTAAGGGAACGCACGAACGAAAACCTTCGAGGCCCTTCCGTACCTAAATGAGGCAAAAAAGACCCTCTGGTAATCTGGCCAAGCTGGCATCCTCCCTCCCTGCAGCCCCCGAATTCCTGGAGAGGCCGCCCCTGCCCCAGGCCAGCCCGGGGCCCAGGAAGGCAGCAGGACCTGCTGCCCTGCCCTCCCAAGCAAGTGACACGGCAGTAAATGAAACGTGTTAATTTAAAACCCACAAGTACGTGGCGTGACCAAGGTCCCCCGCTGCTCCAATCTGCCAGAGCTGACGAACAGCAGCAGGGCGTGCGCTGCGGCTCAGAAGCGCCCTCTTACCTGCTCCGGTGCCGCTCGCTGGCAGCTCCCGCCAGGCCACAGAGCAGCTGCACAGCGCTGTGGGGCTCAGCCACGCTCTGCCACAGGGTTGAAAGAAACATGAGAGTGGGGCCGGGCAGCTGAAAGAGGTGCCACGGGAAGGCGGGGGTGGCCAGTCCCCTCCCAGGCGAGGTGACCGGCCATGACGCGCCACCAGTAACACGTGTCCACGGCCAGGGGACACAGCCCTCCCCTTTAAAAGCAGAAAAGAAATAAGACAACACAAGTCTGCCCAAAGGCACCCTGGAGCCAATGGCAGGGACTTCTGGAAGCGGCAGTCTCCTGAGTGAACCCGCCGGAGTCGGGAGCCCAGCCTCTGGCAGGAATGCTGCAGACAGAGGCTTGCAGCTGTTCTTGTAACATCCACAGGCACCGGGAGCTGTGATTCATGTTCCTGGCGGGCGAGAGCCACAGCCGGAGAGCTTGGCTACTCGCGAGGGCACAGCTGAGGCTCTCGGCGGCCTCAGCCAGGCCCTGCGGGGGGAAGAGCGAAGAATGCCAGGCCCACAGCCAGCCGCCCCGTCTCTCGACTTGTTTTCTCTGAGCTCCTGGCAAAATCCCACACTGTCCAGGGGGCCTGGTCAACACTTCCAGCCCGTGAAGTCAAAGCTAACGGCATGCTGGGTCATCTCCCAGGCCGTCCCGTCAACATGATGGCTTCCGGACACAACCACTGTGGGAAGAGCGCTCTGTCTTCACGCTTCTCTTGAAGCCGAGGTCTAGGCAAGGTGGGTTTTGCAGAGTGCCACATAACAAGCGACGCGGGGCTTGGCACCCACACGCGAGCACACACTGGAACAGGTGCTCCAGGAGAGATGGCGCCGCGTCCCCTGGGTCTGCCCGCACCAGTCATTATCTCCAGTTCCTCCACACCCCGCCTCAGGCCTGCACCAACTAGCTATGGAGGCAAACCAGGCTGGGATGCTGGGACCCAGGGGGCGGCAGTCTCACGCCACCTTGCTTGAGAGGCAGGCTCAGGCTCGGGGGCCCACGTGGGTAGGAGGCAGAACCTCCAGGAGGGCCAGGTCGTTGGTCACTCACGATGACCTTTCCAGGGCCCTGGACCTGCCACTGCAAGATCAAAGCCTGCACCCCAGAGAGCAGCTTTCCAACGCAGCAGCTGCTGCAAGGGGGGCTCAGAACGCCAACTCCCAGCAGTTTCCTCAGGAGGGGAAAGCAGACAGCCTGCGGCAAGGTTCTCCCAGCACAGCGGAATTATGCATGAGCTGCTCCGTGGACCGTCCTCTGGTCCTGACTGTTGTGGCGTTGTGTTAAATACACGAAGCCTTTCTTTTTTTAACCAGCGCCCAGTGCCTGGGATTGCACTCCCCTGGGGCGTGGCCTGTGCCCACGACACGAGGAGCAGACCAGCCACGTGACGTCACAGATGCAGGACCCACATCAGGCGGGCAAGCGCAGGAGCCACAGAGGCTCACAAAACAAAGATTCCGCTGCCATGGAGATGTCCCCAGTAATAAAAGTTTGCTCTGAAATTCCAATGGCTCTTTAAAAGTTTGCACGGTTAACAGTGAGGTTGCGACGAAAATGCCAACAGTTCCTTACCCCACAGATGCGGCTCTTCCCGGGACCCCGCCTGTCGGAGCTGGAAAGGCCAGTCAGGGGGGCCTCCCCTGGACACAGAGACCCAGCTCCGCAGAGGGCATTCCAGAGGAGAGCAGTGAGCAGGGGAGACACCCGCGGCCAGCCCGTGAGCAGGCCAGGCGTCTGGCTCATAGCGGCCACCTGGTGACGCTGCCTCCTGGGCCCCCAAGGTCCACACGGAGCGCAAAGCTGGGGCAGGACCTAGCGTTGGGCCCTGACCTCTACTGACCCAGGCAGTCTCCTGGCACTGGCTACTTAGCAACTGCTGACCAACAGTTGCCAACAGCTGCGGGGCAGCCACCTATGACAGGCTCATCATGACAAACACCACTGATGTACTGACCCTTAGCAGTAAAGGAGCCCCTGCTTCTTGGTCATGAGCACACATGGCCACTTAAATTTAAGTTTAAATCAATTTCTAGAAAACAAAAAAAGTTCATGTCTACTTGCCCCACATGCGGTGGTGACACGGGCGGTGGCTGCGCGTGGCCTGCGGCTCCTGTGTTGCAGGGCACAGATCAGGACAGCCCTGCTGCTCGCTGAACCTTGTGGCCAGGAGGCCATATCTTACCAGCCACTGTTCGGGGCGGCCAATTGTGTGTGATCCCCAGACAGAACCTACAAGCCACTGCCCCAAACTTAATCCTCAAAAAATCTTCATCTAAAAACCAGGAAGCTGGGCCTCCCTGGTGGCGCAAGGGGTTAAGATGCAACCTATGAAGCTATCTGCAGCCTTTGCAGCACGAGTTCCATCCCCAGCCAAGGAGCATCCCACATGGCGCAGCAGACCTCTCCTGACTCACCCACTGCTTCTCTCAGCAGTGTACTTCGGTCAGTCTGCCTGTTCTGTTCCCCGCTCTGTCTCTGGTGAATCCTCTCACCCTCCCGCGCATCTGGTCTGTACCCCAGCTCTTGTATGCATGAATGAATAAATCTTTAAAAACACAAAAATAAAAACCAGGAAGCTGAAACTAGAAAAAGAAAACAAACATTCTGATGTAAGTGAGGGCAGTATCACGAAAAGGAAACTGAGGCCTGCGGGGACAGGGGAGAAGGATCCCAGGCTGTGCCCCAGGCCATGGCTTAGAGCAACTGGGACACAACAACGGGGCGAGAGGCGAGGACGGCAGACTAGCGACCCCGGTCCGCAGGGCCGCTCAGCCCGCGTGCGTGGGAGCATCGCGAGATCCAGCTCCGGAGGGCATTCTCCAGGACCTTGTACCTTTCTTGTTCTTTGCAGTTGCTCTTCCCACCTCCAGAAACATGGAAAGAAAAGAAGAGGGAGGCAGGGAGAGACACCCGAGGGGGTGTGTGAACGCAGGGGCCAGATGAGCTCAACTTTTCAGGCTGGTCGGGTCCTGCTCCCCGAGCAACGGCCTCTGTCCATTTCCATCGCGTGGTGGGCCTGGCCCCGTGACTCCACATCACCCACCTTAGAGACAGGCACTGCCTCCGAGGCAGCCCCAACCCCCCAGCACCTGGAAGCAGGTGGCGGCAACGGCCCTCCAGCCTGGCCGAGCACTGTGCAGGCCGGTGAGGGGAGGCTCAAAAAGTAACGGTGAAAACATCCACCCAGAGACACGCGTCTGGAGGAAGAAGGGATTGTTCCAGGCCGCCGAAGCCCGAGTGGGCGCGCGCCCTGCACAGTCACCGCACACCCAGGACATCACCCCGGTGCCCCCCCAGCAGACACAGGAGCAACAAAACTCAACAGTGCTTCACGGTAAAGACACCAGCCAACTAGGGGCAGGAGGGGCTTCTCGGCTGCGTCAAACTCGTGTGAAAGCCCGCAACTGCCTCCATCACAGGGAGAGGCCAAGACAAGGCGGGGCGGCGAGCTGGCCACCCCGTCCACGCTGCGGGGGTCCAGCCGGGGCAGCCACGGGAGGGAAGCTGAAGTGTCTGACTTGTAAGGAGGAGTCAACGATAGGCGACATGCCTTGGACACAAAATTCACTCAAAGCGACTAGACCCGACCGACGAGTTAAGCAGTTACAGGTCACAAGATCAACCCACAAAACGTGACCACATCTCTACGCACAACAATCCAGAAGTTAAGAAGGCCATTCCATTCCCGATAGTGCCCCCCAAAATACTCAGACATAAATGTAATAAAAGTGCAAAATTACAATGCAAAAAAATACAAAACAAGGTCAGGAGAAACAAAAGGCTGAAGGAAAGGGGACAGCAGCCCGGGATCGTGAGTTGGAGGAGGTGATACAGCCGAGACACTGCGCGATGTGCGCGATCTGCGGTCTGCACGACCAGGACGAAGTTTCCACGGCACGTTCTAAAGAAACGGACACGCCGAGCCCACAATCCACACGGACTAGCGCAGGATTCAGAAAGAAAACAAAAATCTTGAAAAAAATGACCCCTTGGAGAACTCACGTTCCTCAATTTCAAAATCCTCCACAAAGCTGCAAGTTAAGACACTGGGACGGGGGAGTCGAGGACAAAGCCGCGCCGTGGTCCGTGCAGCCAGGGCCATCAAGGACGCACGGCCAGTGTCCACCAGGGCGCCGGGACAAGCGGCACCCGGCGGGAAAGAACAAGCTGGACCCGCTTCCCATCCCGTGCGAGGATTAGCTCAAAGGGACCAAAGCCCGAGGTGGAAGCGCCGAAACCCTAACACTCTGAAGAGAAAACTGGGCACGACAGCCACGCTTCCGGGTCCGGCAACGGCTTCCGAGATGTAAGAAAAAGCAACAAGCGGCCAAAGAAAAAAAATAAATAAACTCCCCAAATTGAACACTTTTGTGCCGCAAAAGAAACCATCAAGATAAGGGAAGACACGACTCGGAACGGGAGATACATTTCCCAGTCATGTACGCAATAAGGGGGTTGGATGCAGAAATACAGAGAAATTCTTACAGCTCACAAGTTAAAATAACGCAATTGGAAGAGACATTTCCTCAAAGAAGAGACACCCGCCGCCTGTCAGGCCACGGGAAGGTGCTCGGCGCCACGAGCCACCCGGGAAACGCGACCCAAGCCACAGCTGCCACCTCACGGCTCTGGGCTGGTCACAGTGGGGGGGGGGGCAGACGCGGACACGGGCCAGCGAGGACATGGAGGGGCCGTTGTCCTCCCGCCGCTGGCCAGATGTGACCTGGGAAAGTCTGGCTCCGCCTCAAAAGGTTAACCGGAGTCACCACTGGGTCCAGCAATTCCATTCCCGGTTCACAGCCAAGAAGACAGAAAACATGAAACCCGCTCGCAGTCTTGTACATGCAAGTTCACAGCCCAACGCTTCGTTCATTGTCCAACAGCAGCAATCACCCAAATGTCCATCAACTGATGAGTGACCATAAAATGTGACACAGCCTCATAATAAAATATTGCTGGGCCCTAAAAATGAAAGCAGCACTGATGCGGCTGCCAACGGGGTAACAAGCCCGTCCGGAGCCCGCAGGCGGCCGACGCCCTCCCTGTGAGAGGCCCAGGCAGGCCGGCCCCAGACAGCAAGCAGACTCCTGGCTGCCGGGGAGGTGCTCCGGGAGCACGGTGACCACCAGCGAGCGGGAGTTTTTTTACGTGATGAGAATGTTCTACGATTTAGTGTGATGAGGTGCCCAACCCCGGACCAGCTACAACCACTGAGCTGCACACAGAAGGGGGGCACCGTGCGCGCGACCTGAACAGAAGTTTAGGAGAGTATTACCCCACTGCACTCCTCTCCAGAGTCTCCGCTCTGCTTTCCGTGAGCACTGACAACAGAAGAGGGCCAGGAGAGGCAAGAAGGACCCCACGGGGGGAGAAGGCAAAGGGTCAACGTGCACATCCTGCCGCGCGCGGGTGCTGCGGCTGCTTCTTACCTGCGTCAATGGCACACGGGTAATGGTACCGGAAGGAGCAGCCTTTGTTGTAGCAGCCCAGGGTGGCACCTGCCTCCTGGCAGTGGGAGCATTTCTGGAAGGAAGCAAGAAGTCAGGCACGTCAGCAGCCGGCCCCAGCCTCCCCGGCCCTCCCAGCCCAGCCCAGCCCACGACCCGCTGATTCTACCCCCCACCCCCACCCCACAAGCTGCCCACACCCTGGAGGGGCCCAGCATGAAGGCTCCAGGCCCCGCCCCACAATCATTCACAAAGAAATCACACAGAACAAGGCAGGGGCGAGGAGGGCCTGCCCCTCACCGTCCTGTGTCCGCCCACCCGGGCCCCCAGCCTGTCTCACTCCTCACCAGGCCGGAGTGACCTCAGGGCCCGCCACTGTACGCGCTGTGCAGCCTGGGTGGGCGGAGGGCAGGGGGAGGACAGGAGAGTTATCTATCAACCTACAGACTCAAAAGTGGAATTTGGTTTCAATTCTCGAATTTGTAAGATTTTATTTTTATTCTACTTATCCCAAATGCCCAATACAAGTGTATTTCTCCTTTCGGAGAATATGGGCTGCGTGCACATGGTATTTTTATACACAAATCCTATTTTAAATGCACTAGGAAATCTGCCATGGATTTCTGGCTAAGGGAGACGTTGCTCTGTCATCAGATGCTCCCCCTTATATGGGCAGGTTCTCACAGAGCGGGCACACGTCTCACCCCGAGCGTGGGGCTGGGAGCGCTGCACCCTGTCCTGCCAGGGGCCATCATGCAGGTCACCCCCACCTGCTCGGAAGGGCAGCTCTCCAGGTGGCCAGGCACCCAGAAGCCTTTCCGGGAGGCAGACACTTGTTCCCAAGTCTACGAACACTGAAAGGCAAGCAGTCCTGAGCGTCACACTGGTGGAGAGTCGTGCACCCCGCGCCCCCCAGGGACAAAGAGACAAAAGGGTGGTGCTCGTGCCACACACAGGCCGCCCTAGGGGTCAGTGTGACTTGCAGGAGAGGACTTTGAAAACTCCCCATTGAGTGACACCCCCTTCCCAGGTACTCGTGTTCCCACAGCCCGAGCGCAGGACCCCGCAGCCCTGCCCCCCACAGCTGTCGGAGGGAGGACGCGCTGACCCAGGCCCAAACGGGCTGGACCAAAAGTGCTCAGTAAGTGTGATCCAAACGACAGGGCCAGACACACACTAGACAGTCCACTCTGACACCCACAAAAGGCACCCCACGCGCAGAGCGGCCCTGCCACCACTGGAGCTGCAGCCAGCAAAGGAGGAGCCGTACTCGGCCGTCGGCCTCCTCCCTCCACATTGGCCCCTCTGCTCGGCAGGGCTCCTCGGTGCTCCCTTGCTCTGAACCAGCCGCGGATCACAAGTCTCGTCTTCTTCACGAGAAAGCAAAATCAAGGGGAAAGAAAGAAAAAAGAGCAAAATGGCCCCCACCAGGAAATTACATCAATTAAAATTTCTAATTAAGAGGCCCAATTCCTTTATTGCACTGCACCCGCCCTGCGTGGCAGAAAGGACTTTACAGGGAATGTTTACCTCAGTGGTTCTCAAGGTGTGGTCCTTAGACCAGCAACATCTGGGAATTTGTTAGAAATGCAAGTTCTGGGGGTTCTGGGAAGACGGAGCAACGCATCACCAGAAGTTCCTCCCTAGACAACAACTGCACGGACAGGACCTGTCTGACGCTCTGTTCTGGAACTCTGGAGGCTGCTGAAGGCTTGCAGCTTTCCAGGGGAAGACTTGGATGGTAGATCAGGATCACTTTCAGTCATCTATGGTTTTGAGAGTAGCAGCTACCTCCTCGCCACCCCCTCCCGCTCCAGTGGCAGGTGTATACGTGACCCTGGAGCAGCTAACCCTCGGCCTGCTTGCAGGAATTGGACAGGGTAGGGAGGTTAAATGCATTTTACCACATAAAAAATTAATAGAAGGCCTAGTCTCAAGTCCCACCTCAATTTGTGCTGTGACCAGTCTCCAGGCAGTTGTTTTGTTTTTTTTTTTTAATTTTTAAAATATTTATTTATTTATACAAGCACTGGGTACAGTCAGAGGCGCGGGAGGGTGAGAGAATCCACCAGAGCCAGAGCGGGGAGCAGAGCAGGCAGAAGGACCGAAGTACACCGCTGAGGGGAGCAGCAGGCGGCAGGAGAGGTCTGTGCGCCATGTGGGACCCTCCTCTGGTGGCCGGGGAGCAGCCGGGGATCGAACCAGCACTGCAGAGGCTGCAGGCAGCTTCGCAACCCAGCGCTCAACCGCTGCGCCACCGGGGAGGCCCCAGGCAGTTCTGATATACATTACAGCTTGAAAATCGCTGGTTCAACTTCAACCCCCGGCCTCTGAGATGAGGAAAACAAAGCCCCTGAAAGAGGCAGGGACCAGCTGGACCAGGATTCCAGGTTTCTCAGGCGCCACTCAGCGCTGCCTCTATGCTGCTGTCCCCCCACACAGGCCAGTCTAGGTCATGAGGTGTGCGGTGCCGAAACGCCCCCCTGGTGTCGAAGATGTCCAGCCTCATCCCTCACCCGTGACCTTGCATGGCCAAGGGGCTTCACAGATAAAATTAATCAAGGACAGTGAGACAGGGAGGGTGTGCTGGGCTTCGAGGTGGCCCAGTCTAGTCACGGAGTCCACATGTGCAGCCTCGCGCACTGGCAGGCGGAGTTGTGGCTTTAGGGCGCTGACCCCTGGGAGCATGCCGGAGAGATGGAGCGCTGCTGGCTGAAGATGGATGGAGGGGTCATGAGCCAAGCGATGCAGGCAGCCTGCAGAGGCAGAAACACTAAGAAGAAAATGCCTCAGCTTTGCTGACACCTTAATTTAAACTCGGTGAGACCCACATGGCCCTGCAGAGCTGACAAGTGTGTGTTTTAAGTCACCAAGTTTGCAGTAATGTGTTGCTAGTGACAGAAAACTAGTAAGGAAGGGAAGGAGGCCCTGAGAATCTTACAGTAAGAGCAGTGACTCTTACTTCATTTTCCTTTCACATTCTTCAAAGATACAAAGTTCTCCCTCACAGAAACACCCACAATTTCACTCCCTTTTAATGAGGCAAATTTCTGGCTGCTGCACTGGGAGGGACATGGGTCTTTCTCAACACGCTTTTTCTGGTTGAAGCAAGAGACTAGAAGAAATGTGACTTCCTGAAGGTCACATAACTAGAAGAAACAACCTAGGAGATCAGGCTTTTCTCCCTGAACTCCAAGTTCAACAGTCTTTATACCAGAGCTGCACTCTAGTCCCCTCAACATTTGGAAGGTACGTCCAGGTGCCCAAGACAGAACATGAAACTTTCCCCTCTAGTCTCCTGCTTCTGCTCTCTCCTTCTATCTCCAAAATCAATGCCCAGGCGAGGGCCACGTCCAGCGAGATGTTACTCTTTAACTTTACCTGGAACAATGATGCGCCCCATCCCTCCCCATACTGCAGAGACAACAGGCATCCAGCACAGAATTCCCTGGTTTTGTGGGTGCCACTGCCTCAAGCCCAATGATGTCCTTTCCTAGGAGAGGCAGATCCACGCAGTGCAGTTTCCCACGCAAATGAGACACACAGTGGGGCATCATTTTCCAAACACACAACAGTCCAATTTCTCCAGTGAATTTTTTACTGACTATAAAAGGAAATAAAGGTTTTTATTAAGGTTTTCTAACAAGAATCCTACATCTCTTGATACTGGAACCTTGGGAAGTTAAAGAATAAATGTACTCTTAGTCTCGGCACAAGTCTGAACAGGAGGTAGCCTGCGTGGCGCTGTCCGTCCTGGCCCTGTCACCAAGCGGGGCAGGGCCGGCAGCCGCAGAGGGGAATGGCGGGGCCGAACCGCCAGCAGTGGTTTAGTCTCCCTGGCACGGACGCAGCAAAGGAAGGCTGCCCACACCGGGCTCCACGGGACAGGCCACACCCCGCGCTGCCCGGGACACACGCTTTGCTCGCACTCCGCTCATGCTCATGGTAATTGCTTATTTGTGCTTGTCCGCCGCCCCCAGCTGTGAGATTCATTCTCGCATCCCCGGGCCTGGCGCACGCACGCCGTAGGCCCCGCGACGAGGCGTTGGGGAGAGCGTGACGGCGGGCAAGCCCGAGGTGGAGGAGCGGAGGCAGCCGCCCTCCCATGGGGTGCGGGGCTGAGCGGCGGGTGGCAGGATGGGGGCAAGGTGTGTGTTCGGCCACCAGCAAGAGCTCTCCCGCTATCTAGGCCGGCAGCCTTTGCTGCCCGCCCAGCCACATGGCGTCTACACACAGGGAGCCTCGTTTCAGGCCCCAGGAGCCTCTTTCTCAGATGCAGCTCTGCACCCCATTCATTTTCGCTCAGGAGCACCTCAAGGTATTGGCCAACGCAACCCACGAAACTCCGTGTGGGAGCCTGGCTTCCTAAGACTAAGTAATCTCCTCACGGTCCCGCACGAAGGCTCGGGAGCCAGATGAGGTGTTTTGCTGCGGGTCCTTTCTCACCGACTCAGGAGAAGGGCTGGGCAAGAGCCCCCGAAACCTACACCACAGCCCAGTGCACCCCCAAACTTCCAAGCCAGCCTCTTAGAGCCCTGGGTGCCCAGCTCATGTCAGGGATTTAAAAGCTGCACATACGGCCTCGTAGTTGCTCCCGCACATGCATCGACTTCAGGAACGGAATCCATTCCACACACGTCTTAGTGACGGGGATGCCAGGGCAGACGCATGGCTCATGTCAGCGGCAGTCCCGGCCGCAGCTGGGCATCTGTTCCGAGACGAGAGCTGCAGGCTCGCCCGGCTTTCCAGAATGACCGTGGCCGAACAATGTGAATATTGCCCAGGCAGAAGCAGCAGAAGGGCCAGCGGAGCAGAATCCGAGCGTGAGCTCGCGTGAGAGCCGGAGAAATCACCTTGACTTTATCATCTGCACAGTGGGCGCTACGGCCTTTGCTCTGCCTTCCTCATACAGTTGCATGAAAGAAACAAGCACGTGTTTTATAAACTAGAAAATGATGTAACTCTTAGGGCTTATATAAAAATAGATAAAACTTTTCTCTACAATGTGTCCTATCGTTGGCACTTACTGATGTCAAAATGGGACACAGCATGTACCCAGTAGGGCCTACTCTACTA